AAAAAAAAAAAAAAAAAAAAAAAAATGAGCACTTGCCGATCCATGCCCAGAACTGCGCCCAGCAGATTGCCGAAATAGACTTCGGGAGATTGGTCGTGGTCTTCAATATCTGCGTGAATATCTGGATTGCTCCGGTCTCTCCGGAGTCTTTGCTATAAATAGGATGATCAGCGGGTTTCGCAGAAGACGTTGAACAGTGGGGAGTGGGGGGGCAAACCCATCAGACAAAAGAACTCTTTCTTCAACGGCACAGGAGGTTATGCCAACAAAGACCAGCAGGGCCAAGGCTGAAACAACCGTGAGTTGCTTGAATTGCGTGTCTCCTAGTGCAGTGCCGAATATGGCTCCAAGGTCCACAGCACCAGCACCGTACCCTATGAGATGCCCGATGGCAACCATACGACTTGCTAAGGACCATTTAGCAAGCAGTCTTTTAAATTAAACGGCCGCGCGTAACCTACCCCAGGCAGACCCAAGTTGTTGCTTGGCAGTGGGCAGCGTATCGACAATGAGGCTCCTACATGAGGCTTGTACTATCCCCATTCTGTCAACCAAGGCCACGAGCCTACAACATACAACCACCTACCAGCATTGATTGCAAAGTCGATAACATAGATGCATAAAACAGCCGATGTGATGGTCACGTTCTTCTTCAACTCACTATCGGCAACGAAGTATGCGACAATCTCAGAAGTCCATCCCAGCATAAGTAGCGCAAAAGCCACGATGACGGCGCCTACGACCATGAATGGTCTTCTTCGGCCCCATTTAGATTTGCTCCTGTCCGCGATAATGCCCACCAGCGGTTGCATCAAGAGTCCAGAAAGGGGCCCGGCAATCCACACTAACGACACCTTGCTCTTCGTGAGGCCGAGCTGGAGGAGGTAAGGCGTGCAGTAAGTCATCTCGATTCCCCAGGTAAATCTGGGCCGTGATCGTCAGTTCTGGACTCGACGAGAAGGTGGAACTGCTCAACGGCTTACTGGATCCCAACGAGAGAGGCGGTCAGATATGCCATTCGCATGGCCTCGGAAGAGCCCTTGATCGAGGCCTCACCCGCCCATGCTTTGTCTGGAGCCATGGCGGCGAGCTGCAATGTGGGCAAGAAGGGACGCGACTCGGTCACAGGAGCTGCTTTCTTCAGAGCAGAGATCAGGGATCGATATCTACAACGGGGAAATTGGCACGCGAGCTAAGGACATGTGTCCAGTGCGCAACACGCCGTACAGGGGCCGTGATACGCGCAAACGGATCGACGACGATTGTGGGACGGTTGTTTCGAACGATTTGAACGGGGGGGCATATGGTCGCTCGTCGTCAATGGCAGAGCCCGTAGTGGAGAAAGGCTTCGGGGCGTGGAGCGCGCAGCGGGTAGGTGGTCAAAGTCGTACTCGTAAGCTTACCGACAGGGGCTTGGTTGCCGTGTGCCGTGAAGCCGTTGTCCACGCACTACCTCCTCACTCAGTTTGTGGGAGGAATGGAAGCAAGTAACAATGCCAGCATGACAGTGCGATCCAAATGTGCAAATCTGGCCGTGCGGCACGCTAGTTTCGGCCACCAGGGTCTTGATCTTCTTGCCGTCAACCGCATCGCAACAGCCGCATGGAGATGAGCACGACTAAAACCCCGCGTGGAGATTCCGGCGCCCGGCACCGGTCGGAGGTACGGATCGCTGGTGCTGCAGCTGCTGCATCAAGCATTGGGGTCCCAACGTGGCCGTGCATTGCCGCGCGTTGAAGCCCACCAACTTTCTCGCTCGTGTTGCTCCATGTCAGCCCATGGTCCTTTTGCCCTTTTGTCTTGAAGCTGTCGACGCACGGGTTCCCGGCAACTGGGATCAAGCTGTTGCTGACTTGCTCATAGCTTCCCGTGCACTGACTCTGCCTTCAAAGTCCCTTTCCCCACCTCTTTCCTATCGTACTTTGACGCGCAATTCGACCTCGTCTGCCCGTACCGGTCATACCTCGGTCCAGACTGGCCGTGCTCATGGTCTAGAACGACTAAAAACAAAATCAAAAAAATATGCTCACTATCATTTCGATAGCGAATCTTCATGCATCAGCCGCGAATCGAACGCGGGGCCCATCGATGGCAACGATGGATTTTACCACTAAACCACTGATGCTTGATGAAATGTTTATTTTCGAGTTACCTTTATGTATTGAATACGTTTTTTCATAACCCCGGATTTTCTGCCCACTCCACGTGATGATACACCTGGTATGGTTTACAATATGTCATTATTCACTATATGATCAACAGAAATCACAAAATAGATGGAGAGGACACGTCCCACTAATGCATCCCAAGCTGAGCGAAAGTATATCCAACTAAAGACTATCAAGAAATGAGTATTCGCCTTGGTAAAGCTTTGAGATGATCACTCAATGCTCTCTCTCAAAGTGTCAATAGTTCTCCAACGATTGACCTCTTGTGTGGCATGAATCAGTTAAAAACAAGCATCCAATGGACCACGTAAACTTACTTCGATAGCTGTTCTAGCCAACCCCGGCTAGATCCCTCCAGCAAACATCCATCACTGAATCATTCATCATAGTGCTACACGCGCGGGGAATGCTTACAAAAACGTTGTTGTGGAACACCGTAGCGCTCTTATCGTTTTGACAACAAACCAAGAAATCCTATAAGCAATAAAATATACATTAAGCAACAGAAATCAGAAAATTCTTTACTCCAAACTGGACAGGTTTTTAATGACAGTTAACAATTTTGAGCTACAAACTCGGGATCGTCTAGAACTTACATAGGCCAGTGGTGGCAAACAGAGCAACAGTTATTGTAGTGTATTTTCCGATGACTGAAGGCAATTGATAAAAACTGGTCTTTGTGCTCAAGGAGATTTTGTCAGTTTCTGATATATTTCGTGATGGTGAGAAGTCCAGACTATTTATATATCCCTTTGACCCTTACATTCCGTCAGCGGCGGTGTTTCCCACGGCCAATTAAGATCAGTTGCGACACTATCTGCTGCTGCAATGGTCTCGCAGTTTTGTGCAAAATGAAGAGGCATGCACAGTGAGATTTAGTTAAGTGACGAGGATTCCGAAATTTTCCACAAGCATTCAGTTACGCGCACTTCGTACAGCTGTTTAACATGATTAGCCAGGGTCATACTGAGCACCATATACGTGTACGTTTGCTCACCATGCACAGCATGCAATCCAAATCATTCTTGTTGTTCACTGTGTACATCTCTCTTGAGAAGATAAAACATGCTCAACGAATGCTAGATTTATGTTTTGATGAATTATCCGTTGAGTTTTAAAGGAGCGCTCATTGTTACATTCACCAAAAGGTGGTGAAATAGAAAAACATTGTGTTGTAGACGCGAAAAAGCGGAGGATAGGATATATGCAGACTATGACGAAGATTTTTTGCTTTTATGTTTGAATGCAGGGTACAATTTTCGCATGCGTTCAAGGTTGCATCGGTCCTCGGATGCCGCAGTCTGCGATGTGTCTGCCCGAGGTGCATACATACGCAGGCTGCATATGCGGGCTGCAATGCATATATCTATCCGGTTACCCTATTGGTGTAACGATGCCACCCATTGGCCTCACTATGGATTAGCATGGCTTACGGTTAGATATATGCCGAGACGTATCACCACGAAGCCGAGAATAAATTTTGATACGCCGCCTAGGCGGACTGACATCAACTTGACTACCAGAGATTTGTGTTTCTCCATAGATGTGATGGGGTGTTCCACAAGAGCTTTGTGTCAGCGCCTCAAATTAGGTCCATGGATAATCATACCTTTTGAGGCTGAAGTAGGCCCGGAGTGCCCCTCAAGAGTGTCCCAGACTGCCTCGAAACCGAAATTGCCAGAACCTTTTTTGATCAACCAGTCGCAACCCAACCACTAACTGCAAACCCACCCGATCTCAATCCCCTAAAGGGACGCTCCATCCTGAACTCGCTAGCTGCCTCCAACTTCCGCCGAGGACCATGGGAAGTCCTTGGCATCCAACTCGGTGCAAGTTAGGTAACCGATATTGTGCTCTTCAAGGTTGAGCATGAGGTTATTCTTGCACATGTCCCTCACAATCTCCCGCGCATGGTCCTTCAGCATTCTGAGATCATCGGCCAGGTCGTCCCAGTCCAGATTCATGTACTCGAATGCCTCTTTCAACTCTTTAAGCACCTTGTCGTACGGCAGGAACGCATCTCCACCCCTCAAAATCTGGCGGAACAACGCACCAATCCCGGGAAGACGATCCGTGCTATGGTGACCATTGAGGATGTGGCTCTTGGGCGTATCGACGTTGGCACCAAGGATTGGCGATTCGATCAAGTGCAACTGCCTGACGAGCCAGTCTCTAACGTATTGAATCACTATCCAGGTCTCAAGCTGATTTCCCATATCTATGATGGGTTGGTTGCCCTCTAAGATCGTGTTGCGGAGGAGTTGTTCGACAACTCCTTTTTGAGCACGAAGAAGATGCTCTCCTTTCTCTTTGATCAGTGACAAAGTAGCTTTGCTGACGTGTGCCTCAGTCGTCGGCCAAACCCATGCGGGTGAAGACACGCAGTGGATGAATGCCTCTGTGTAAATCATTGTTGATTCCAAGTGAATAGACAAGTTCAACCAGCGCGGCGGGTCTTGGGCAATAGCCTCGAACAAGCGGTGACGGAACTGGGAGAGGACGTTACCGACATGCGGACGGACGGAATCCATACTCACATACTTGTGAGCCAATGCAAGAACAAGCTCCGCATCATGTAATGCGTATGAGACATTGTTGGTGTTCAACGGGGGTCGTCTATTGTAGAAGCTTGAAAACAAACAGTCGTATGCGACAAAGGCACCAGCTGCATACCGTGATACTTGTGATGAAGGGCTGGGTGATGCGCTCTTTTTTATCAGCTCGGAATCGGGGGTAGGTCCACGGGAGTCTGGAGAATCAGTTTCCATTCCGGTCCCAGAGACAGACATGTATTCCGGCATCTCGCTGAGGGGTTTAACCATTAGCAATGGGATCGTGGAACGATCACCGACTTTAGGTGTAAGAAAGTAGCGGACGCTGAGCCGTGAGGACTGGACAGTTGCTGTCTCTTCAGAGTTCCCTTTGCCGATCAAGAGAGGATCAGTGTCCGCACTAGCAAACAAGCTCCTAAGTCGCGGTGAGCGACTCTCAAGAGTAACTCTGTCGAGCCGCCAAACTCTCTCCCTCTTTCCATCACTCATGGCAATGATGACATCGCCATCGTGATTATACGGAAACGTACTCTGTCTGGCTGGCAATGTGGGACTCATGGTGGCTCCCGACCTGAGGCGCTTCACAAACTGATTGGTTTCTGGTGTCCGACGTTTGTGCTAGTCGACATTAGTTGGGGTTGATGTGTGGCAATGTGTCTAAAGCTCACTGAAGTAGGTGAAGATGTGAGAGGGGAAGGAGGTTGTAGGCCACCCTTGTCCGGCATGATAGGAGACACAGTTCGTGTTGAGCTGTCGTCTTCTTCCATGTTGGGTGTATGCGAAGACTCACTTGTGTTTGGTGTGTCTATGTTAGCCTTGGAGTGAGTTGGTGTGTTAGTGCTTGCTTGAAAGGCTGCCCTGTTGAGTTGAGAAGAACATGTGATGCTCTCCAATCAGTGGTGAACTGAGTCGGAAGGTTGCTGGCCTAGACCGGGCAGACAAAGAAGTCTTTGGACTGACGGTAAGACAAGGTTGGTATGGGTCTGGGACTGCGTGTGTGTGAGACAAGTAAGTGTCTGCAAGGTTGTTATTATTGTTGATAGTCTGGTCAAACAAGGTCTCGGACTTATGTGGTCACTGGCGAGACTTGCTGGTTGGTGTCAAGTCTCAGGGACTTGTTGGCATGGTGTTCCTATGAAGACGAAGCAGTGAGTTGACTTGTCGGTTGATGTCCAAGTCTTAAGGACTTGTTGGTGTGGTTTTTATGAAGATGAAGCAGTGAGTTGACGGTAGATGTCCAAGACTTAGAGACTTGTTGGTGTCCGTGGCTTTTATGAACATGAAGCGGTGAGTTACGAGAATAGGTAGGCATGATTGTTAACCAAGACGCGTTTGCATCGTCCACTGGAGTAAATCGAATGAACTCCAGGAGGTGAGGCTAGATAACAGTATAGGATCCCAATCAATAATCGTATTTTGGAGAGGGACAAAAGACCGGGGTCACGGGCACATGGACCAAACAGAGCACCCTAGATCAAGTCCTGTGGTTAATTTTTCGCCACACCCGCCTGTTCCTGTGCGCGGTAAATCACGCATAAGAATGGATTGTATCAGGTGCATTCCTGAGTGGGTGAATGAAAATGCAGTGGTGCGGTCTCGGACCGAGCGTGGCGACCCCCGGTCATGACGCAGGAACCCTGGGCCGTTACTGCGCCAACGGTTTGTTTAATGACGGATTCCACCTTTTACCTCAGGCTTTTATCCCCGTACTGCTCCCGACACGCTACAAAAGCCGCCAGACCGCAACCCCGTCCAAGCACCATCCGCCATCGCATCCATCAACTTACTCCACCACGCATTCATCGCTTCAACCACTACTACCTTCCACAAACCAGCGCAATGTCTGCAAGCGTCCTCTCCGACCGGGACACTAACGCCCCCATGAAGGCCACCAATGTCGACGATGGCAAGCCTAAGTCAATGGAGTACCACCGCCAGATGCTCGAATCAAAGATGAAGAACGGCCAGTGAGTTTGTTCCTCCCTCTCTCTGACGTTAGACTTGCTGCAAATTCTAAGACTCCCCGTTCCTAGGATGGAAGAACAAACCTACGTTTCCCCCTCCGATGGAATCCAGTCCCCGGCCACCCAGAAGCTCGCCGCCTTCAAGACCAAGCACGGTCTCAAGAAGTATGATTGCCCCGACACCTCGGCATGCGAGCTCCGAACTGACTTGGCTGTTTTACAGGGCCAAGCCTCAATCCCTCTTCGGCAAGATGGCCTCGAGGAACATGGGGAACAGCGGTGCCCCCATGTTCGCCGACATTCCCCAAAACAAGCAAACCAACTCGGCTGCCGTCAACCAGAGCTCATAGGGACGCCCGTAATACCCGTTCCGTTTGCGGGGACGGTTTTGGATGTGATTTTGTCCAAGGCTGTCCAGCGGACTGCGGCGGTCGCCGGCTGACGAAACACGATCGGGCGACCACCGACAGAGCTTCTTCATGTATTCTACTACCGGATTGGTTTGGATTTGATGATGGGGTGGTTACGGCGCTTTGATACCCGGAGAGGTTATTCGGGGGATCGGGACAACGGTCACTACGGTTTCCTTGGTTTACTAATTGGCGTTTCATTCGGAAAAGCCCAGAATACTATAGAGGCACGGCTGGGATAGGATATTCAGAATAAAGTGCTTTTTCTTCGCTTCAGCAAAAGACCGCGATAACGCTCGGCGGAGATCGCCGCTTGTCCAAGTTCCCCGCATCACTTGCGCGTCGCACCTCTCGCGTCCAACACAGTCCAAAACGATGCACTATCCATGACTGCTTCCCACGACAAGCAGCAAGCTCTCAAAGATGAGATAGCTGATCTTGAAAGGCGCCTACATCATGCAAAGAGTCAATTGAATGCACCTTTGGAGGCGGCACCGGCGCCCACCAACGATGCTGGTATCAAACCCCACGCCTATACAACAAACAACTCGAGGCTCACGATCGAATGCAGCTCTCCATACCCTTCTCTTACTAGCAGACTCTGCCTTGCCATTAGGCTCGTTCGCCTTCAGCAGTGGTCTCGAATCCTACCTGGCGCATCACCGCCCTTCTGCGCCCTCGGTCTCCCAGTTCTCACTCTTCCAAACATTTCTCCGCCTATCCCTTGCGACGCTCGCAAGCACCGCTCTACCCTACGTCCTCACCGCATATCGCAAGCCGTCGGAAATCGAGACACTCGATAACGACTTTGATGCTAGCACGCCTTGCACTGTCGCGCGTCGCGCCAGCGTTGCTCAAGGCCGTGCACTGCTCTCCGTCTGGGATCGCAGCTTCAAGGCGCAATACACCAACGAGGATGCCGATGCGGACATCAAAGCGGCTATAGACGCGGTCGTGAATTTCCAGGCTCTCCTCCGCACGCCCACCTCCAAGCTCGAATTCCCGCCCAACGCGCACCTAGCTCCGCTATGGGGTTTGCTTACGCGGGTTCTCGGATTACCGTTGCATGATGCGGCATACGTGTTCCTCTTTTCGCATGCGCGGACAGTGGTGAGTGCTGGAGTAAGAGCTAGTGTAATGGGACCTTATCAGGCGCAGACAGTACTGGCTGGGAAAGACCTGCAGGAACGGATACGAGCGTTGGTCCGGGAGCTATGGGATACAAAGGTGGAGGATGCTGGACAAAACGTACCGGTCATGGACCTTTGGGTCGGTAGACACGAGAAGCTTTACAGCCGGATCTTCAACTCGTGAGCGAAGAGAAGGGTAAAAGAGGCATACGTCAGACATCGACCTAGCCTGTATACTTTTGTTTCCTGGGGATTGGGGAAAAAACGTAAGCCGAACATAACTTTGGCTTCCGGGCTTGGCTTCTTCAAACTTAGTGCTTATTACAGTCTAGTTTCCCATGCGAAATGGCGACTAAACAGCAACTAAAGGTTATACGTCGTCATGGGATAGTGTCTACAATACCTCCATCGGTAAGAAAATTCACTTGTGAGCTTTCAAAAAGAACATGCACAAACGATATGGATGTGCGAAAGTGTCAATGGGCCACAAAAACCCCGCACTTGCAGTCTGCAGCGGAACTATAACTGCCTAGCAGATCCCATTTCTAGCAACCGACGCAGAAGCCGGTGAAAATTCACGCCCACCGTGGAGATCTTGTCGTCGTCAATGAACAAGTTCGGCAATGGGACCCTTGCAACTAATAAAAAGTAAGCAATATATGTTGTCCGATTTATCGTCGGTTGCGAGCCCGGCACTTTGGGTCATTGTGAGACAGCTTTTACCCCACATCTCTACCCTGTCACTCAAAGGCCTCTAACCAATAGACCTAGCAGTATTGCATTTTGACGGTAGGCTGACAGGTAGTTCCTTGGCTAACGGAAATCAACAAGACCTCGGCTATAATAAGATCCGTAGGCTCCTCTACTTTGGGGTCGCGAAGCCGCTTCTCTTTCTCTCATCTGCACCATACCTGAGCACTCGGTTTGAGCTTGCCTCCTCAGCTTGGTGGCCAAAAATCACCGAGATAAACGGAATTCGAAGAGTCTGACCTAGGTCTGCTCGGACGCTTATAAACTTTATTACGTTCTCTATACCGCTGGCAATATGTTTGCGATACAGCCTCTTGCCTCCACATTGCAAACAATAAAGGAGCATTTATTTCTGCTACTTTTCATAGGCCTCATTACCCGACTCCTTTACAACAGATATAGACCAGGACTCTACACTATTCCTGGCCCTTGGCTTGCAGCATGGACGGGACTATGGCGTTTCTTCGACGTCCAGCGTGGCAATGCACACTGGACGCACATTGAGCTCCACAAAAAGTATGGTCCGCTGGTACGCATTGGACCGAACCATGTATCGGTCGGCGACCCGAAAGAGATAGCCAACATCTATGGATTGGCCAGAGGATTTACGAAGGTAAGTATCATGATACCTTCATGTTATCCCTATTAGCGGCCGAAGCTAACAGTCTCCCGACAAGACGGCTTTTTACCCCCTCCAGTCAATCAGTTGGAAAGGAAAATTCCAAATGAACATTTTCTCGACACGTGATGAGGCCTACCACCGAGAACAAAAGCGCCCCATAGCAAGTGCTTACAGCTTGTCGTCCCTCTTAGCCAAGGAGGAAGCAGTTGACTCTTGTTCGATCATTTTCATGGAGAAAATGAAGGACTTTGCCGACAGAAACGAAGCCGTGGACCTTGGCATGTGGTTGCAGTATTACGCTTTCGATGTTGTTGGAGAGCTCAGCTTCGCGAAGAAGCTCGGTTTCCTGGAAAAAGGAGCAGACGTCGATGGTATGATGGAGACCATCGCGGGTATATTGGTAAGTATTCGATATGTAATCTTAAGCACTGCCTTTGCTTACCGCCTGGATAGGTATATGCCAGCCAGGTGGGCCAGCTCCCTGAGTTCCACCCGCTTCTGCTAGGAAATCCATTGTTTCCGATTTTGATGCCTTCAATGGAATCCTGGAACTCCGTTCTCACCTTCACTTTGAAAGCGCTCAATTCCGTAAACGAGAACCTGAAGATGAAGCGGAATGCAGAGCTCGACCCCAGCGTTCTCGAAGCTAAGGGCGATATGCTGTCGCGCTGGTCATCTGTTAGATTAAAAAATCCGGAAAAGATGTCCACGCGAGACCTTATCGTACACCTTAGCACCAACGTCTTTGCAGGATCGGACACGACCGCCATCGCGCTGCGCGCCATCGTCTATTTCCTTTGCAAGAACCCTGAAAAGATGCGGAAGCTTGTTTCCCAGATTGACGACGTCGACAACGCGGGACTTTTCAGTGACCCCGTCAGCTACAAGCAAGCCACCACACATCTACCCTACCTCGGCGCCGTCATCAAAGAAGCGATGCGCCTGCATCCCAGCGTGGGTCTCTTGCTCGAGCGGCACGTTCCCGCAGGCGGTGCCACGATCTGCGGGCGCCACATCCCCGGCGGAACGATTGTCGGCGTGAATGCGTGGGTCACGCAGCACGACGCAGCAGTGTTCCCCGAGCCCGAGGCGTTCATCCCCGAACGCTGGCTTGAGAGTTCTCCGGAGAGGCTGAAGGAGATGGAGCAGAGCTTCTTTGCGTTCGGAGGGGGCGCAAGGACCTGCATGGGGAGATGGATTTCTTTGATGGAAATGTCCAAGATTGTGCCGCAGTTGTTGAGAGAATTCGAGGTCAGCTTGGATAGGGCGGATAGGAAGTGGAAGGTCAAGAATGTGTGGTTTGTGCAGCAAGAGGGATTGATCTGCAGTCTGAAGAGGAGAAGGTGAGGTGATATAGGCAGATGACAAGCCACTTTTGACGTACGTAGAGATTCAAGAGGTGGTATGGGGTGGTATGGGGGGCAGTGCTGGGGATAGATAGATAAGAATATATAAATCAAGAAGAGAGTAGTGCCGTCGCATAGTGGAGCCAAGTCCGTACCACGGCGGGCCTACCCGGACAGCAGATCGTCACCGCGTAGGAACGTCAACCGCAACGTCGACTTGCGGCGGCCCAGCAACAACTCACAGCAAGCGCATCGCATAAAAACCCGCCGACACGACCCCGACGGCCAGATTCGCCCAAAGCCCTCCACCCATCTCCGAGCAGCTACTCGATCAATTCCTCCTCCTTTCCGCAGCTCGCCCAGCCTCAACGCCGAGCCGCAACGCTACCTACATACCTACGACACGCCAGCCCCCAACGCAGCTCCACGCTCCACGTCCCGCACTCCCCACACGCACCGTAGCGCGCACTCTCGCCCGCTCGCCACGGCCGCCACCACCTAATCCCCCCAAAACAACGCGCGCGCCCGAAAAATGTCCCTCGAAGGACACCCCCTCTCGGGCAGCCCCGAGCTCACCATGGCCTACGCCAACGCCTCGTGCCTGGACTTCCTGCTCATTGAGCTGGTGCCCATGGCGTACCGCATGGCGGCCGAGCTGGCCGCGCGCGAAGACGAGTACCTGGCGGGGCCGAGCGCGCCCGGCGCCGTCGGAGCCAAGACGCGCGCAAGAGCGGGGAGCGGCGCCGGTGGCAGTACGATTGCGGGCGGCGCGAGCGCGTCCGGCTCCACCGTCGACGATGACGAGACTAGGGAGGCCGTGTTTTTCAGGCTCGAGATGCTCGGATACAGAGTCGGGTTGGGCATTGTGGAACGGTGCGTTGCTTTTGCTTGTGAGCTGGTCATTGGACGCGACTTGGTTGAGAGGATTGGTGGTAGCCGTGTTTCAGTCGGCATGCCGCTCTTCATCAACCCTCACTATTCCCTCATCCCGACCTGACAGCTCAAGAGTACATATGCTGACGTTTACCCAGCTTCTCCCGCGACAAACCCCGCTTTACCGACACCCTCGACGTCATCAAGTTCGTGTGCAAGGACCTGTGGACCCTGGTATTCCGCAAGCAGATTGATAACCTCAAGACCAACCACCGCGGCATCTACGTCCTCACCGACAACACTTTCAAGCCGCTGACACGCATGAGCCTCGAAAAGGGCGCCGACAACACTGCGCTGACCAGGGCGCAACCTGTAAGTCTATGCTCCAAATCTTTCTACTGTCTGCACCACATACTTCCGTCTGCTTTTCCCGCGGTGCCATGCCTATATCCGATGCAGCCGTCCTCGTCTTCCCTACCTCCTTTCGCACACTCCAAACCAAACCGAACACACCGCTGACGCTCTATCTTCCATCTCTACAGTTCCTCTACTTCCCCGCCGGTCTGATCCGCGGCGCGCTCGCTAGCATGGGCATCACAGCGACTGTCCAAGCGGAAACAACGGCTCTACCGGGTGCGACCTTCCAGATCCGCACGCAAGGTTCCAAGGCCTGAGCGCAATGGCGGTCCATGCGCCCACCTTGCCGCAAAAACACCATGGAAAAAAGAATGAAAGCGAAAAGGAAAAGAATCAACAGTCCTGTGTATCTGATGAGAAGTTTCAAGCAAGAAGAGAGAAGAAGTGGAAGAGGAAGAAGAAGAAGAAGAAGAAGAAGAAGAAGAGCAGCATCACTACCCCACACTGCGAAAGCCACTTCATCATGCTCAGATAAAGATCCGGCCCGCTTTCTCATCCCATTCATCATCCCACCTATGCTCGCACTCCCCCAAGGCACCCTCCTTTAATTTGCGCAGCTCTGCCTCGTCCGTGAACAGGTCTACCAGCAAGTTTTGCAGCTCGCCTGCATCCCCGAAACCCCTGCCATTGACGCCTTCCTTGACCAGCTCCGGCCAAGCTTCGAATCGATAGCCGACGACGGGCAAGCCGGCGCCGAACATGTCGACAACCTTCATCGGCAGATCAACTCCGGAGGAAGACATGTGCAGCGAGACGCCCAGGTCGGCGTAGCTGAGCAGCGAGGCGTAGTCTTCCATGCTAAGCCAGGCAGTCAGGATGCGCACGTGCTCGAGCTTCTTTTCTGCTTCCATGGTCCGGATCTTGGAGAGGTAGTGCTCCTTCTGGGGGCCCTTGCCGGTGATGATGGCAACGACGGTGGGAAGGTCGCGCGCAGTGCCAGCGAGGCCGGAGTATCCAGCGAGCGCATCGAGCAAGAGCGAGAAGTCCTCGTCTGCGGTCCAGGAAGTCGAGCTGACAAGGACCCTGGTGGGACCGTTCTCGTTCGGCCACCCAAGCCGCTTTGCCATGTCTGCGAAGCCGGCCTTGCGGTCTTGGGCGGAACGGCAGGGCTGGAAGTGCGATGGGGGGCGATCATACAGAGGGACGACGTGCTGTCTTCCGTGCTTCTCGCGGAGGAAGCGGGCCATGGCCTCGGTGACAGTGAAGTTGATGTTGACGGACTGGGAGACGGCATATTCGTACTTTTCCGCTATTCTCACTAGAGGATGCTCGTGGCCGAGCTTGAGGGCGAGGATCGAATGGCCAAAGTTGTGCCAGTCGATGCAGAGAGTGGTGCCGCGCAGGGAGCAGACTATGCGCGCAACCAGTAGCGTGGGGATAGAAGGGGGGTTCTGCACAGGCATCAGTAGGCGGCTTTCTCCACGCGTAGAGCATACAAAAACAAATCCAGCTGTTGTATTCCACAAATGTTCTTGGTGATAATATAAGAATGAAGGGGAAGCGCGTGGTACGGATGAAGCAACCAACTCGGATGCATGAGACGAACGAAAGGATCCATCCATCCATCCATCCACCTATCTCTCTCACTCACCTGCACGAGCATGTACTTGGCCGGCGGCGTGCGGTACGCCACGGCGGCCCACAGGCCCCACGCCTGCCACAGCACCTTCAGCGGCGCCAGCGCCAGGAACAGCAGCTTCCGCTGCGGCTGCAGCTGCCGCGGCCACGGGGGCACGCCGTACACCCTGACGCGGGCATGGGCCTCTAGCTGGGGGTGGAGCTCGGATTCTGGGTGCACAGGCAGTAACAAGTCAACATGCATGAATGCAAAGCTGGGGATAGCCATCGTTCTTCCTTTGTTTTTCGTTCTCTTTCCTTTTTCGTTTTTATATAAAAAGAGACAGAGACAAAACAACACATACCTCTATACCCGACAACGTCGACGACGCGCCCCTGCCGCGCCAGGCTCAGCGCATGGTACTGCATGCGCGGGCTGCGGCCAATGTCGCCCAGCACGACGAGCTGGACGCCGACGCGGCCGGCGCTGGACGCGCGCGCGGAGGCGGCCGTGTGCCGCGTTGGCTTGAGGAGGTAGATTAGCAGCAGCAGCGCGAGCAGGCTGGCTGCCAGCTGGAGGGGGGTGGGGGCTGTTGTAGCCATTTGTCGTTGTTTGACGGCGTGGCTGGCTGGCTATTGGGTCGGGACCGGGTGAGTATGGGTACGGTGTCGATTGTGGAGGAGGGCGCACGTGATGCGTGCGTGCTTCTTTAGTAAGGTATGTGGTGGTGAGGTTGGACCGGTTGGACCCCTTCGAGACAGACAGACGCGCGTGCATCCACGCGCGGTGCACACACACCATCCCACAATCAATCCCACAACCCCACAAGCCACATCAAAGCACCCTACCTACCTTACCTACCTATGACGACACAACGTCAACACCCGCGCGCGGAGGCGGAACGACTTCCATACGACGAACGATGAACGGTGGTTGCTGGTAGGTAGGTTGCTGGTGGCCCTGCCCGGCTTGTCTAAGGTTGTCCATCACATTACATCAAATCAATCCAATTCATATCAAAATATCAAGCTTCACTATTCACGGTGACGACGACGACGACGAAGCCGACGAGAAGAAGACTGTAGACACCGGACGAACGAGGCTGCTTTCTTTCTAGCTCTCTGCAGAGGACAAGCCAAGCCAAGCCAAGCGTGCGTGTCTGTGTCTGTGTCTGTGTCTGTGTACGTAGTACGCGCCCGTCGACCTGGGGGATGCGAATCGATGGACGATTGCCGCTCCTAGGATCCGATCTGCACAGTCCACTGTCCAAACAAAGCCCATGTTTCTGCAGGGGCGTGCGCCGCCCTTTGACAGTCGTCAGGCCTGCAGTCGTCGGGAATAACAACAGTGTGCGAGTGCGTGTGTGTGCCACGTGGGAGGCGCAAAATAAACGAATGTCTTTATAAACTTTCGTACATAGCCAAGCTCTCAAATAAACAAGACCGGAGGTCATCAAATCTCTCTCTCTCTCTCTCCCAATCCAGCAATGCAACGCTCAGAAATAGGCAGGTAAGTCCAGAGCCGGTGGCATCAGGTCAGACCAGATCATAACACATGGCCCATGCACGAGTATTGCGGGACGACCCTCCGATAAATTCCGACACCTGTGGCTATATCTGGTCCCCCCGTGCCCCCCTCGCGCAGCCCCTTCTCGAGGCGGCTGCTTCTCCTTCCATCAACCTCCCTCCTCGAGCGTGCTGAAGAAAAAACAAAACACCAAATGTCATATCCGAAATCGTAAATGTCATCACAATCTAACTACCGGGAAAATCAGCTCCCCAGACATTAGCAAATCTTTCGTTCTTCCTTCTCTTTCAAACGTCAATGCCTACAGGGCCCGTCATGCTTTCGCGCAATCATCTTGCGTTCCACATCGGCATCTCCGGTGACAGGGATTGGGGGAGACGGTGGCCACCTACTTGGAGGGGGGGTTCTTGACAAAGTCGATGCCCTTCTCAATGTTGCCCTTGAGGCCCTTGTAGCACGCCTCGAGGAGCTTCTTCTCGTAGTCGTTGGCGTCGCTGACCACGTTCTTGACCTTTTCAACACCGTTGGGCTGCACCAATGCATTAGTCTCTCACTCATCACGGTATAGTAGAACTGGGAGCAAACTTACGCCGAGCACAACAGGGACGGCGAAGAAATCGCAGCCAGTCGCCTTTGCGATCTCAGAGCCGCCCTCAACACCGGGCAGGTAGACGAAGGAAGGCTCGACGATGCCGCTCTCGCCCTTGACGGCCTTGAGGACCTTCTCGGCGAAGCGGAAACCGGCGAAAGCCATGGACAGCGTCGCAGAGCCGGCGCCGTCCTTTGCCTTCACGACTTCATCGCCACCGAACTGGACGCCTGGGGATTCTGTCAGATTATGCTCGCTGCACAGAGCGCGGGTTACCTACGGTTGACCAGAGCGTCGAGCTTGTCCGACGAAATGTCGGCCTTCGGGCTAGCCTGGCTGAAAAGAGGGACAATGGTCTCTCCGGAGTGGCCGCCGATGACGGGAATGTTGAGCTGGGAGGGGTTCTTCTCGCCCGTGATTTCGGCAACGAACGTCTCAGCACGAACAACATCAAGGGTGGTGACACCGAAAAGCTTCTTGGGCTTGAAAGCACCGGCCGCCTTCAGGACCTCGGCGGCGATGGGAACCGTGGAATTCACGGGGTTGGAGATGATCAAGAAGAAGGCATCCGGGCAGTATTCGGCAGCACCCTTGATAAGATCGCGCACGATGCCAGCGTTGATCTTGAAGAGGTCGTCACGCGTCATTCCGGGCTTGCCTAACGCCTAGTAAGCATTTCAATTCTAGCAGAGCTGGGCCATGTGCAGACTTACGGGGAATGCCAGCGGGGATGACGACGATATCGGCACCGGTAAAAGCGTGCCTCATGCCATCGTCCTTGGGCAGGTAACCCGTGACTTTCTGCGGGCAACGGATAAGCTTAGATCTAGAGTTGTAGCCAGAAGTGGGTATATACCGCGGGGGAGGAAATGTGGGACAGATCGGTGGCCACACCGGGGGTGTTGACGACATCGTAGAGGGCGAGCTCGTCGATGAGCGGGGATGACTTGAGGAGAAGCGAGAGCGGCTGTCGTGGCGGTCGGTTAGCTAGAGATAACAGCGAGCTGGGGACCCTGGGGAAAGTCGTACCTGGCCGATGCCACCGGAAGCTCCTGCGACGACTGCAAAAGAAGAAGTTCAGCGGGTGTTTTCCAGGAGCGCTGTGGGCGTTGCGGAGCCCCACCTGCTTTGACCATGGTGACGGATCTGGGGTTTGGATTTGAGGGGAGGAGGAGACTGGGGTTATGGCTATGCAGTCAGCTCGGTTGGCTATTGCAAGAGTGGGAGGCGAGGCTGGGCCTACGTGAGTGCTATGGGAAAGGTGACTTGAAGAGTGGTGGTGCAGCTGGGTGAGCGAGACGAGCTGTCTTGTTGTTGGGCGAGGGGAGTGGAAGCGATGAAGCTCGGACGCGGGGGAGGCGCCCGGGGCGGGGCGACCGAGTTGGTTAGGCGTAGTCTACGGAAAGTCTTGCCTCAAGCTGCTGCTCGGCCTCGCAAACGGCGGGCCAGCGGGAAACATTTTACGCGGTGTCACCGTCACGAACAGCTGCACTTGAGCCTCGGTGCCGGAACCGGGTGTCGACATCATCACGCGCACGCGGCGGCCAAGGAAGAACGGAGGCCGGACAACGCCTGCTTCCATTTACGCCGCTCCTTCCGTCCATCCATCCCTCGCCCGTTACCCCTTTCGTATATTCACCAAGTCCCATGCTTTGCGCGTTCCCGAAAAAAGCAAAAAGTCAACATGCAAGTCGTCGATGCACGCGGAGAGAGAGAGAGAAAGAGAGAGAAACTATTACCACCGCCTGCTAACCTACGCCACATAATCCTCCCGGTCCCCCTCAGCATCCGCATCCTCCTCGGGATTATGCGTGCCGTAGGCGTGGCCAGGATCAGCCGCCCCGGTTGGATCCGGAGCCCGCTGCCCGCCGACGGGATACATCTGAAGCGCCGCCCGGTTAGAGCCCACACTGACTGCCTCGGCTGTCTGTTGCTGACCGACACTCACCTGCTGCGGCGGTATTTGATAACCCCCGTACATTGCCGGATCAAACATCTGTTGCGGCGCTTGTCCGTAGGCTGCCGACGGGTCGCTCTGCACTGGCGGAGCAAACATGCCCGCTACGATGAATCAGCATGACATACATTCCCATTCCTGCTCGTGTTGCTGCTTACCATAGTCTGGGGGCGCCATTGGGTGCGGTGGTGGGTGCATGCCAGCTTGCTGCTGAACCGCACCTTGCTGAGCTTGCGCGTTCGCTGACGCCTGCGCCGCGCTGCTCTGGCCGCCGCTGCGCTTGTGCGAAGATGCTTCCTCGCGCGGGACAATGTCAATGAGAAAGTCGAACATGTCCGACTTGGCCAAAGCGGACGCGATATCGGAGCGCTGCAGCGTGCGACGCTTGTTCTCCTCGGCGTGTATCCACGCGCGCATGGTCAGCTCGGTGATGAAGATGTCACAGCCCTTTGCGAACAGTATGGGAGCTTCGGCCGATATCATCTTTACCTCGGGATCTGCCTTCATGACCTTCTTTATCCGCGCAAGTGGCAATTGATGGAGCTTGTAGTCATGTTCGTCCGTCTCGAGCTTGGTGACCTGCTGCTGCCAGTACGTGTTAAGGATGTCGCGATATTGACCGGTGAGGCCTTGGTTGACCTGGACGCGTGTTAGCACGGTCGTTCGGACGCGTACGGGGAGGGGAGTGATGGCTTTACGTTTGCCCATGCGCCGGTGAAGACCTGGGGCTCTGGCGCATGGCCCTGGGCGGCTATCTGGAAACCAAAGAATCAGCGGTAGAGCTCGGTGGGAGCTATGCGGATGCAGGACGGACGTACACTGGCGCTTGCTCCTACAAAAGAATGCGCGTCAGTGGGCTTGGCCGGCAAAGCTTGGGTTATGCAGGGCGACTCACCGTAATGGCCGCCATTGGAGGGGTCATAGAGCGGGTTGCCGTTCTGGCCGTCGTAGCGACGTGGGGCGGCCTGCTGTCGCATCTTCTGCTGGCCATGTCCTTGGAGATTTGCTGGGTCCATGTTGCGCGCGCGATTGCCGCTCACGGGCTAGCATGCGCTGACGTCGGTCGGGGGGAGGTGGAGGCGGCTGCTGTCCTTCGCCAAAGCGCGCAAGAGTGCAGCAGCGCGGGCAATTGATTCGCTGGGTGGGGAAAGAGTCGCGCGGTGGATGAAGAAGTGGATGGACGGGTGTTGCAGCGCCCGGAAATGCGGTCAACCTTGGATGTCACTGGGCCAGGAAACAAGTGGGGAAGGGCGAACGAGTCGCGCAAGGCTGCACTGTGCGACGCTGAGCGAGTGCGACGGGCGGCATGAGGAGGGCATTTACCTTTGAGGCCTCGAGCAAGCAGTTGGCGCGTCACGGCGTGAGGGTCGACGGTCGCGCGGTGGAGCGTTATGGGCGAATCGGGTGGCAGGTCGGCCGGCGAACCACAGCGCTGCTGGGCCTCTCTGGGCAGGGGAAGGCGGGCGCGCTACGGGTCGAGGATCTGCTGGAGACGAGACTTGGTGCCCGCGTGGTAAGAGAGCAGCAGGTGGCACAGGCACAGGCTGGCGATTTGGGGCAGAGATCGCCCGCGTGTCGCCCTCTGCTGCTTTATAGCTATGCTGCCCAGGTACGACGTCAACCCGCGACAGTTGTCTCGCCTCTCATGCCAGCCCCATCACTATCACACTACTCTCTCACGCACGGCAACATGCAAACTGCAAAGAAAGAAAAAAAAAAAGCCAGGGCGATGGGGGCTTTGCTCAGCCTGACCTCCTCTGTTTTACCGGCGCTGCGGCACGGCCCAGACGGGCGCAAGCTGCCCGTCCCCGATTGGTCTGTCATGCTTCATGATGCGCTGGCCGAGCTGCAATCGTCGCTGAGCTGCCGCAGCCCCTCTCCGAATCTCTTCGATCCTTGACCCGGCCGCGAGGAAGCGATTTTGAAGGTGGAGGCGGCGGCCGAAGAATCGCGATGATGCCCTGTGCTGCTGCCGCCCCGTTGTGCCCGTGCCTCCCGCGCCCGCCCTTCCATCGGCGAATCCTTCTCCCGTCGCTCCTTCTTCACATGAAGTGGACAAATCACCACACCACATTACCTTAGGTACCTCTTCTCGCTCGCACCACTACTACCTATCCATACCACTGCCAGCGCATCAGAATCAAAGTGCCCTCTCGGATGCCCAGGAATGCCTCCCGCACGACCACATTCAAACGCCTTTTGAGGCGGGCTGAGGTCAGACTGCGTGACATCAAGGCCACGTCTGTCTGCCCAGCTATTACAGCTCCCATATCTGCTTCTGCCTCTGACTTCAGGATGCCCAAGTTTGCTGCGGGCTGTGCCAGCAGAAACGCTGCTCTTGCTACAATGACCTAATGAGTGCACAGCGCAACATTCTTGATACACGTTACCACTGTTCTCGCCACGAGAGAGCCTCAGAAGCTTGCATGCGGACGTCATCTTGCTACAATGTTCTGCGTTCTCAATGCTGTGTACACCATGTCTTGCAGGGAAAGCCCCTGCTAGTCTCGATGACCGGTCAACTCAAAAAAAAAAAAAAAAAAAAAAAAAAAAAACACCCGTCGGCCGTTGCCAATGCTTTACGCAGCACCCAGTTCTGAAAGCACCTGCTTCACCAACGCCTGCGGACGCATTAGTACAGCCAATTAATTCGGAACACCTCGAGTGTCACTCACCTGCATATCCTTTGCTGCTTCTCTGCCTGCCTCGAGGACCTCTTCGTGATTCGCCTTTCCTTTGCTCAGGTGCGCGTCAAGTTCTGCGCTGGTCATGTTTTGAATTTCGGGATCATCACCGCGAGGGCCAGGTTCAAACACGGCCTTGTTCGTCACCAAACTGAAAGCCAAGACTCTGATGCCCGAGTGGCGAGCAACGACAATCTCCGGCACGGTGGACATGCCGACGACGTCAGCGCCAAATCCGCGGAGCAGACGGCACTCGGCGCGTGTCTCGTAGCTGTAAGTGGTATCAGCTTTTACCCTTCAGGACACAGGATTCTTCTGCCACTTACCTGGGTCCAGCAGCGAAAACATAGGTACCCTCGTGAATCCTGCGTTTTCCCTGGTCCAGGCCAAGATTCTTCCAAGCCTTGTGGACGCGCTTGCGGAGCTCGAGGTCGTAAGCATCCGACAGAGGAGGGAAACGGACACCAAAGTCATCAATGTTGGGGCCGCGCAGGGGGTGGAAGCCAACAAGGCCGGCCAAATTGAGATGCTGTTCCAAAACTAGCAGTCAGTTTCGCGCCCGCAGGTCTAGACTCGCAGGGCAGTCTTACGTCGTTGAGCAGCACGATATCGCCAACGTTATAGTCTGGGTTGAGGCCACCGGCCGCATTCGTAACTACATAGACGGTCAGAGCTACTCTCTGACAAGCTACCACATTGAGACAACGCACCAATCATGGTATGGACGCCCAGGACCTTGCAGACGCGGGTGGCAAAGGTGACGAGCTCCATGCTGTGGCCTTCGTAGAAGTGGGCGCGGCCGACGAGCAGGACAACGGGCAGCTTGGCGGGACCGATCAGGCCGAAAATGAGCTTGCCTGCATGGCCCTGCACTGTGATGACGGAAAAACACCAAGGATCAACACTGGGCTTGCTCTTTGCATATTATCGATTCGAGACCATTTCGTTCTTACGCACCGGTGCTCTGGGGGAAGTTGGGGATGTTGGCATAGGCCGTCTCGAAGACGGGCTCCGGGTGGATCGTCTCGGCCAGGCCGCCGAGGCCCGAGCCGCACACGATGGCAACCTGGGGGTGGCGGAGCTCTTGGGGCACGTTCTGGCGCAGGTAGAGGGCCGTCTCGGTGGCGCGCTGGAAGACGTTGCGCGGGGGAGCTTCGTCGGCCATGGTCGCAGCTTGCAGTAAGTGGTAGGAATAGTACTAGAAAGTGCTTTGCTGTGAGTTAGCAGGTCGCACGCACGAGAGAGAGCGGCGGTCAGCGGGTTATATATAGGCGGTCAAACGCTGTGCTATGAGGACCTTAATCATCGGCGGGCGCCGCGGAGGAGGGCGCGCCCCGTCTTGGCGGGCGGTGAGGAAAATGGATGGTGATGAGCTTCACGACGACCGGCCCTCCGATACTTACATTGTATCTCGACAGCCCGCACCCACCATGGCCGCCCCGTCGTACCTCAGGTCGCCCTTTGGCGCCCTGAAGAGGGTCAAGGTGAGCTCCTCCACCCGGGCTTGACGCGCGCCCGCATGCCGCCCGATAATGACACGCACCTGCCTTTTTAGATCTCTCCGCCAGCGGCAATGGCTGCGGTGCCGTGCCAGCAGCGCTTCTACAACCGGACGCTGGAGGGCTTCCGCCTGGACAATGTTGATGTGGATGACCTCGCCAAGTAAGGAATTGGGCCCGTGGATTGTTACCGTAACTGACATTGCATCCCAGGAAGCGCGATATCCCGATGCCACCCAGAGCGCAACCGTAAGAGAGCCTTCTCCTCCTCCTCCTCCTCCTCCTCCTCCTCCGCCACCGCCACGGCGCGCGCCCGACTCCGCAAGCCCCATCTAACACGCACAAAACGTAGAGCGGACGTGTCGGACGCGCAACGCGAGAAGATCGAGCAACTACGCCGGCCGCGCAACGTCGAGGCCATCTTCAAAGCGCCACTGCGACGAACAGCCGAGTACGGGATCCCGGTGTGCGACCTGCAGCTGCGGACCTTCAGCATCCGCAACATGGAGTTCTTCGCCGACTTTGCGATGCGCGCGGCGTACTACCTGGGCCTGCCGGCCAAGGGCCCGATCCCGCTGCCGCGGCGGGTCGAGCGCTGGACGGTGCCGGCGTCGCACTTCATCTTCAAGAAGTCACAGGAGAACTACGAGCGCGTGACGCTGAAGCGGCTGATCCAGATCCAGGACGGGCACCCGGAGACGGTGCAGCTGTGGCTGGCGCTGCTGCGCAAGCACCAGTACCACGGCGTCGGCATGAAGGCCAACGTGTTTGAGTTTGAGAAGCTCGACGTCATCAAGGCCATGGATGAGGCGGCGCAGAAGGACGCCGACCGCACCGACAAGGCGTGGAAGGGCTTTGGCCGCCGCAAGGGCCTCGACCAGTCCCCCGAGGAGCTGGCCGAGTGGCTCAACGACGAGCAGTTCAAGCGCGCCGTCCACTCGGATCCGCCCATGAGCAGGATGCAGCACGAGTCTTGAGCGCGGGGTGGGGGTTTGTAGATGTACATATATATCAAATACATGGGTTTGTAGGAACATCGAGATGTTGCGTGTCTGATGCCTAGGTTGATTTGATGCTTCACTCACCCACCCACTTGCCCAACCTGCCCAGCCAGTGACTGCCCCCCCCCCCCCCCCCCCCCATAGTGACTGCCTACCTATCTACCTACCTCCCACTCACCACCACCACCACACGCACTCACTCCCTACTACTACTACTACTACTACTACTACTACTACTACTACTACACGCAGGCACACACAGATTCACGTACCTACCTACGCAGGCACGGGAGGAGGACCAAGTGAATGGATGGATGAATGACTGAACTGAACACAAGTAAACACCAAGTGTGGCTGAAGCCCGGAGCAGCAGCAACTGCAGTTGCAACGCTTGTTTAGAGTGATCAAAGGGAGTTTGTTTATACAGCCCATCAGGGATTGCTATTAATAATGCTAATCATACCTATCCTATGCTATACACACATCCGCCTCTTGTCATCATCACTCATAACCAACCCCCTTACTTACTTATCCACCCCACCACCACAACATACTGCTAGGTACATAAACCCATCCAAATCTCCAACCTCCAACCTACAACTTGAACCCGCCCGGCGTCCGCTCCGTCCAAAACGTATGCGGATCATAGCGGTCCCTAACGGCGCGGGCCCACTCCGTCTGGCCCAGCCTGCCCCAGTAGTCCTGGCGGAAATAGCCATCATTCATGAAAATGGGCAGATAAACATCGGGCACGCGGCCCTTGTCCACGGCGGCCGTGACGCGGTCGCGAATGCCCGAGTAGAGCGCGACGGTGGCGTCATCGACGCGCTGGTTCAGCGTCGCGGGCGCCATGCTGACGTAGCTATAGTCGAACTCGAAGATGATGCGGTCGGCGGCGTCGTCGAAGCCGATGAGGTCGCCCGTGCCGCCCTCGGCCGCGTCAATCTCCTGCGCGCGCTTGGCCATCGACGCCGGAAACGGCTGGAACGCCATCGACGCCACCAGCCCCGGCACGTCCAGCACCGTGTGCGTCGTGTTGATCCAGTGGTCGTGGTACTCGTGCATCAGCGCCATGTCGTCGGCCGCCGGCACCGGCGTCATCTCCGTCGCGATCGTGTACACGCTGCCGTGCAGGATCGACCAGTCGTTGAACCCCAGCAAGTCGTAGTAGCTGCGCGTCTTGCAATTGTTGCTGAGCGGCTTCAGGTCCGTGAAGAGGTTGAACGTGCCCTCGGGCGGCGTCGGCCCGTCGTAGAACAAGAACAAAATCCAGATGTGCACGAGGCTGGCGGCCGTGATCTCAGACGTCACTATCACGCCCGCCTTCTCGTCCGGGTAGTTCGCCGTGAAGTTGCGCACCGCGGCGAGCAGGTCGTCCGTCTTGTCTGCCGCAAACACCAGGTTCCCGCCCCAGACCTGGCCGATTTGGTGGGCGCGCAGCGTGTACGCCGTGACGATGCCGAAGTTGGCGCCGCCGCCCTTGAGCGCCTTGAAGAGGTCGGGGTTGGTGGTGCACGACGCCGTCGTGATGGTGCCGTTCGCCAGCACCACCTCAAACTCGACGACGTTGTTCGCGGCCCACCCGTACTGCGCCGACAGGAAGCTCAGCCCGCCGCCGAGCATGTACCCGCCGACGCCGACGTTGCCGATGCGCCCGCCCACGACCGTGTAGCCCGAGCCGTCGAGGACCTTGTGCACGTCCTCCCACCGGTTGCCGGGCCCGACGCGCACCGTCTTGGCCTGGGCATCCAGCGTCACCTCGTCCAGCAGCTTCGTGTCAATGAGCGGGCCGCCCTTGATGGCATTGAAGTGCTGGTTGGGGTTGTGCCCGCCCGACTTGATGGCGAAGAGCTCATTGTTCTGGTTCAGCACCTTGACAATGTGCGAGACCTCGTCGGCCGTCGAGGGCTTGATGATGCACGCGGGCTTGAGCGCCGAGCATCCCGTCGACCTGGGAGGGCGTCAACACAGAAGGGAAGGAAGAGAAAGGATGCAGACGCAATTGGTAACCACCTACCAGTACAGGCCGTTGTCATGGGTGTAGCTGAGCTCGAATGGGTGGTCAAGGGTGATGTCGGACGTGTTGGACAGCGTCTTGCAGGTCAAAGAGTCGGCAAGCGCAGCGCCAGACAGCGAGCAGAGCAGCACGGCCAAAGCGGCAACGCAGCGACGGAGGGAAGCCATTGCGACAACGAGGCAGGCACACGGCGGCCATGGCGGGAGATATAAAAGTATCTACACCTCCCTTTTGGCCCAGCACGGTCCTGGCCCAAAGCGGAATGCTCAGCGGATCGACGCCAGGAAGGCCTGACCTCGCTTGCTCTTGGAGCCTCTGTGCCTCTGCCGGGCCAAGCCTCGCGCGGGCCGCTCAACCGTGTGGATCTGCCTCGCGAGACGGACATTTATTGGCAGATGCAGCCACCACGCATGTTGCAAAAGAAGAAAAAAAAAAATGCCCGACGCCCACCTGTCGCCGCTTTGGGCCCCGCTGACCCCGGCAGATAAAAGAAAAAATAAACGCGCGACCAAGGAAAGGAGATCGCGCGAGCTCATCTCGCGTGCGTGAATAGCGATCGACGGTGCTGTGTGCTGGACACTCCCCACACCTCTTCGAATAAGGCCCGTGGAGAGAGCATCAGGCGAGCGTGCCCACCTCGCTTGCACTGTACGAAGCGGCATGGGCGGGCGGGCTTGCTTTGCATGCATCACCACCATCTCACAAGGCCGTCTCGCCCTCGCCTACAAACACCTCGACCAACCGGCTTGCCCGCTGCCGCCGCACCATCCGCTCGCGCTCTCTGCCCACGGCTACCGGCACGCGCACCATGGCCTCGGCCAGCGACCCCGCGATGCCGCGCTCCACGGCTTGTCGCCGCTGCGCCTCTGTCTGCGCCCGCTGCACCTCGCTGGCGCTGCGTGCCCGCCCCATGCTGAAGGTCCGGCTGAGCCGGTTCCCGGCTGCCGCCCCCGCCTTTACTGGCTTCATGGCCTGCTTGACCTCGCCCGCCACGCGTGCCCCCATGCTCGTCAAAAGCACAAAGCACACGTTGTGGTTCGGCGCCCCAGCCATCACCTCTAGCACCCATGCCCGCTCTTCCTCGCGGTTCAGCGTCCGTCGTGTTCGTGTTTGGTCCTCGTATCCTGCTTCCAGCTGTGCCCACTGCTCTTCCGTCACTACCCCATCTGTCAGGCTGTTCAGGAACAGCAACAGCATCTCCGCCAAGCACTCTAGCCGCAACAACATGGGCGTATCTGGCTGGAACGCCGTCCCCGTCTCGATGGCCAAGTCGGCGTCGAGCGCGTCGGCAATGTCGCACTTGATGCTCTCGCGAGCCTTGTCTTCCTTCAGCTTCCATGTATCGGGCGAAAAAGGCCAGCCGTTGGCGCTGTTGCCGCCTGTCACCTCCCACGGTGGCGCCGCCCCGTCGGGATGCTCGGTCATATCCCACTCGGCTACGACGCGCTCGACAAGGTCTTCTAGAGCCTCCGTCAGCCGGAACAGTTCCCGGGGCGCCGACCACTTTACCCCGGCGTCTTTGCCCGAAACGGGGCTGCTATCGCCCGTCGGCCGCTGACCCTGGAGCTTGCGGATCCCGCCTTCCGGGATCCGTATCAGCTTGTCGATGGAGCGCCCGAAGCTGGACTGCAGCCAGCTGGCTCGTACGGGCAAGAAGTGGTCGCGCCCTTCAGAGACGCGCAGCACCAATATGTCTTCGAGCTGCGCTGTGCCTTCGTTGAGACCTTGCACAAATTTAGTATCATCAACTTTCAAGATGAGTTCGATGTTGCATGCGTCACCAGGCTCCAGCGTGTAGGATGCCGGGATTGAAGCTTCCGTGGTCTTGTCTGGATCGCGGTCGAAGCGGACAGAAAGCCAAGATGGCGGCTTTACCTCGCCCTGCTCGGCGCCGGGCTGGCCAAAGAAACTGATATTCGCCGCGACAGGTCCCGTATTGGCAATGGTGACCATGCGTCGCTTAGCCTCCAAGAACTTGACCTTGCCAAAATTGACGCCCTCGTATTTGCTGTCATCGCTGCTTTCTCGCTTGTTAAACTCCTTGTCAACAATCAACGTGACTCCCGGGCGCCCTTCGTTTTCTGCTCTGTCCAACTCCCGTGCTACTTCTTGATGAACTTGGGCTTTGAGCTCAGGCACCACCGAGTCGTATTTGAGAATGAAGACTGCATCGAGGGGCTTGTGGTCCGAGGACAGAACACGCTGATGCGCTGTGTAGTACTCCAGCTGCAGTTCATCGTCGAACCCTTCCTTTGTCTCGACAGGTATCGGATCTTCTCTGGAATCGCGAGCTTCGTCGTAGTTCTCGTCGCCATCAGTGGCGGGGTCATACTCGAAGAGGACTTCCTCAGAAGTCGACTCCAAGCCCCGCTTTTTCATGTCCTCGTCCCGCTTCTTCGAGTCTTCCGCCTCTTTAATTTTGTTTTCATGGGCCAGCCTGTCCCGACGGGTCCTGTAAAGGATACGGTCACACCAGCTAGGGCAACGGCGCTTTTCGCTCGAGTCGAACACGCCCACGGTGCCCACATCATACTTGTAGGTAGGTAAGAATTCTACGTCTCCTTCACGCCAGTCTGCAAAAGCTTTCCCCTTCCTCTGCTGTTGCCGCAATTCATCATGGGGAAGCAGAGATGCGAGCGTCGTCTGTAGTGAAGCCGGGTCGAATTCGGCCGGCAGCTCTTCGGCGTCGTTGTCGTCAAACGTCGAAGGATCGGCCAGTGACGAACTGTCGTCGTTGCAGAAAGAGGAAGGCCCGGATGTGCGATCTGTCGTCTCGCTCGATCTGCGTCCTGAAGTTGCGATATCTTTCTCGATCAGGCCAGCTGTGCGCTGGGACAAATCGTATTCGTTGCGTGTATGGAGCATTAGGATCCTGCGGACATCATCGCCCGGCATGCCTTCTAGCCTGTAGTTGAGATCACCGAACCAGAATGCAAAATCCGCCTCAGCGATGCTCTCGCCGTTGGCTTGCGCCACGCCCGATGAGTCAACTATGGGGTCAAACTTGGTGCGTGTGAGGATCTGGTTGGCGTCCCAATTACGCCGCTCCAGCGCTGTCTTGTCCGCGCCCGCAGCCAGGTGGGAATTTATAAAGACCAGGCGGGTGGTTTCGCCCAAAACCAGTCTCGCGGTGACAGCTCCTTTGTTGCCCATGTAGCCCATCAATCCAGTGCCGACGCTTGTTGTGCTGACTGAGCGCACCTCGGGCGCCACGGAGGGGGACGCATAAACAAGGAGAAGCAGGCCTATCAACTGCTGTTCAGCGACAAGGCGATATCCCTTGGGCATGGCGCTCTCCATGGCGGCCCTGAACTTGGCGGCGGTCGCGGGGTCCGAGTAGGGCCGTAGCGCCTCAGTGGCCGAATTTATGTCTACTACCTCTTGTAGCCCCAGCGCGTATATGCCTATTTCATCGCCGCCTGGCAGGCTCGGCGCATCGTTCTCGGGCAGCGTGGAGGCGTTGCTGGACCGCCTGCGCTCCTGCTCCTCGACGGTTTCCTTCTCTTTCACATGCTCGGGCTCGGCAGGGATGGGCTTGTCGTGAGGCTGGTTGGGATCCGTCACGTCCAGGCCAGCCAATGCCTCCTCGACGCCCCGGCCATGGACAAACCAGCCGCCCACGTCCTTCTCGGTGCCCTTGAAGGCGGCAACGTTCCAGGTGCCGACCTTGATGCGGATGCGCTTGGAGCGCACATACTCGTCGCGGCGGTTGTGGACAGCTTGGTTGAGGCTTTGGGGAGTGCTCGACGAGACGGCAGCGCTGGGGAAAGCACCGGGGATGTGCTGGTCGAGGTCGGACGAGGCCGACGAGGAGGGCGGGTTGGAGGCCATGTTATGATGGAGAGGTGAGAGAGATTGTGCAGGCGGGCTTTACATCCTGGACGCGCGAAGACAGGGCGCTGCAGACTCGCGTCATGGGGCAGAATTATACCGGGATGTGGCTGTGCACAGGCGTTTCATGCCAACAAGCTGCGACGCGCTGGACGGCGGGGCTAGTACGGATTCCTCCTACGACGACACCGCGGACGGCCCGTGCACGCAGTGGCGCCCTTGGCAGCGGAGCGGAAGCCGCTAAACGGCGCCAAGACGGCGCGCGCCGGCGCTAGTCGGGGTAGCAGTCGTAGCTTCCTGCCGCACGTCAACACCTTTGACTCTCCATCACTTATCACTTTGCCAAACTCGCTCCTTCGCTCATTCACCACCCACCACTCCTTGCCTGTTTACGCCCCGCCAACGTGCGCCGCCTTCTTCCGCCTTCTTCCGCCTCCTCTGTGCTTCCATTGCCTTCTCTGCGTTTGGTCACCATGGCTACCAGGCGGTCAAAGTCACAGCGTGCACCCGCTGCCTCTGACTATGAAACCGACACCGACGCCGCCCACTTGTCCTCTCTCCCTCCTCCTCCTCGTCGCACGAACGATCAACTGAATCTCTCCGTCTTGCGTCGTTTCGAGCCCGACGTCACCTCGATTCTTTCCTACGCCTCGTACTCGGTGCTCTACATCTTCCAGCCAGACGGCCAGTGGGAGAAGTGCGGCATCGAGGGCACCCTGTTCGTCTGCGCCCTCACTCCATCACCAATTGGCGCAGAGCGATTCACCGTCATCATCCTCAATCGTCGCGGCCTCGACAACTTCATCACCGAGCTCAAGTCGCCCGACAACGTCGACGTCACCGACGAATACATCATCTTGCAGGTCGCTGGTAAGGACGGTGCTCCCCAGATCTACGGTCTTTGGATATTTGCAGAGCCACCCCCATCTTCTACAGCTACTGCCAGAACCATGAATGCCAACACCATCTGTGGTTGTGCTGAAAGGGCTGAGAGCAGCCGTGTCGCTGCCGAGCAGCAACAAGGTCACCAAGCAATGGCTCAAGCCGAAGCCGCCGCTGAGGCTGTTACTGAAGAACATGGCGCCGACATGGACCGCTCGGTGTCGCTCACGGAGTTGTTCGGTCAGCAGCGCGAGCAGGATAGCGACTTTACGATCCACAATCATCACGAGAACCAGTCTGCCTCTGAACAGGCTACTGCTCAGCCTGCTGTCCAGATGCCAGTCCCCTCAGCTGCAGGCATCATGGCTGCACCGGCGAACACTGGCACCCCCCAGTTCGCCCCTACTCCCGACAATGCCTTCTTCCTGAGCGGCCCTCGCCCTGCGGCTCAGCCTCCGCAAGTTGTCAACCAGGCCCAAGCTGCCCAGCTGTTGCAGCTGTTCCAGCCCCCCCAGGCTCCCCAGGCCCAGCCCCAGGCGTACAGTGGTTTGTAGATTGCCTCGCACAATGCAAGATCAAACTTTCTTAAAGGAACTGTTGATGTTGCGCTATAGGATACCTCCACCCTCATCTCACGCTTCCTTGGGACGTTCTTCAGGTGCGCATTCCCGGACTCGTTGCGGTCTTCGAAGGTCGCGCCATCCGCATCGATCGCCTTGCCAACGGAGACCTGCACATCGAAGCTATGCGTGACGCCAGAGTCGATCCGTTCGACCCTGAGAGCTATCTGCCCCTGTCACCCACTTCACGCCTTTGGTCCGGTCTGCTTGACGAGAATCCCTTCTGGGATGAAGTCGAGAGCACCTTCTGGGAGTGGCTCGAGGAGGACTCGGCCAACTGATCCAACACACGTTTCTGATTGGCACCCGCCCACAGCGGATGATTCTTGATCGGCGATTTGCGGCTCGTGCGACTTTGCGCTGTTGGGATTTGGTCCTGTTGCATGACTTTGGTAATTGAAGGTGAGGTTCTGCCCTGTCACCAACTGACGCAAGACGCTTTATTAACCGTTCTACCTGTCTAGGTCTATGTACCCTCATAACCAACGAAGTTATGTGGTTGGCGCCCGACAAATTGTTGTTGTTTTCTCCCCCCAAGCACCACATGACCTGGCGAGCATCGGAGGAGTTTCATGGAGGAATTATTGATCCTTGTGTGTTTCTTCTCAAAGACACAAAGTGAGCGGGGCGGTTCTTGGGGATAATCCATTCGTTTCTTGTTTTTGGTTTTTCTTCTCTCAACTTGCGAACCACACACTCTACGACAAGCCTCTCTTCTCTTCCACGAGCGTAGATAGGGGCCCACTTCACTTGGTAACCCACGGTTCAAAATACAATCGCCGATCAACATCTCTTACTTTGTCCTTTGGTGTTGTGGTGTCGTGTCTTGAGTCTTTCTGTTCTCACGCCCTCCTCAATCCCGCTCCAGACACATCCTCCACGATCTCGTCAATATAGTGCTTGACCTTCTCAGCAACAGCGATACTAGTATCAAGCTCTGCGACATGTCGTCAGCGTCCACTTCTTTCACCCCACACAGCAGAACGTCGTCATTCCGAATCGCACAACGAAAAAAGAAAAAGAAAACTCACCCGTGCAAAACCCATGCGGAATGCCCGTCTCGTCGACCTCCATGACGGGCCGCCACGCCTCGTCGCGCCCGGCCCGCCGGCCCCGCGCCTCGACCAGCTCGTCGCGCGTCGAGTCGGCGACCCAGTGGTCGCCGCGGCCGAAGAGGAAGAAGAGGCGCGCGGGGGGTTCGGCACCATCGTCCTTGGCCTCGCCGTCGGCTTCGCCCCCAGCAGCACCCCACACGTCGCGCCCCCACTCGTCCTCCCCAATCTCCCGCAGCTCGTCCCGCGCCATGCCCAGCGCCTGCAGCACGCCCCAGCGCGACGCCAGGAACGCGGCCGTCGTCGCGGCCGCGGCGGGCGGCATGCGCGTCGCGGCGCGCACGAGGAACACGAGCACCGTCGCGGGTAGCAGCGCCGTCAGCAGCGCGGCGAGGGCGTGCGCGATCGATGCGAGCGGTGGCAGCAGCGCGTAGAGGGTGCTGAGGCGCTGCCCGGAGGGCGAGGCGGCAATGTGCGCGATTGTGGGGAAGAGGGCTATTGTGCCTGCCAGAGGAGGAGGGGCGGTGGTGGTGGAGGAGGAAGAGTGCAGCCGTGCGAGCAGGCGCCAGCGTCGCGTTATTTCGAGCGCGATGTACGCGCCTACGGAGTGGCCGATGAGGATGATTTGCGGGTCTTGGTCTTGGTCTTCCTCCTTCTCCTTCTCCTCTCCCGCCACACCCCGCTGCGCGGCGGCGGCGGCAGCTTCCCGCGCCTCCTCCCGCCACTGCTCACGCATCCCCCGCACCTGGTCCCGCAACACCCACTCAACGCCCGCGATCTGCGCGCGCAAGCTAAACGGCGGCGCGGAGCCGAAGGCTGCGGCTGTTGCTGCATTGACACCGCTATCTGGAACAGCGGCAGCGGCGGCGGTGGCAGTGGCCGCGGGAAAGGCGCCCGGTTCTGCGCCTGTGGCTTCGAAGCCGGAGAGGCTGCGGCCGAAGAGCTCGAAGGATGGGGGTGCGTCTGTGCTGGAGGTGTTGGTGGAGGTGTCGCCGTAGGGGAGAGGCAGGTTGTTGAGCCGGGCGTGCAGGTGCGCGAGGAAGGGCGCGTAGTAGCCGACCAGGCCCGGGTTGCCGGTGATGAGGAAGACGAGGTAGCGTGGTTGGCTGCCACCCGGCCGCCTGGGGGGCGCGGGGTGGTGGATGATTGTGGGGGCGTGCATGGAGAGAGAGAGAGTGTGTGTGTATGTTATGTAGGTGCGGGGTTTGAGGTGTGAACAGGGCTAGGTAGGTAAGTAGGTAGGGATGTATGTACGTATGTATGTATGTAGGGGTGAGGAAGTGGTGGTATGCGTATATGCGTGCAAGGGATGAAAGGACGATGCAAGCAAATCCCACGCTCTAGGTCCTCCCTCTCTTTTCTCTCTCTCTCACTCCTCGCAGGCTGTCCCACAGGGCAAAGACAAAACAGAAGGGAAAAAAAAAAAAAGAAAAGAAAAGATATCAGGCAATCTTATGTTTCCTCTCTGCCGCCACAAAGCAAACCCGACGCCGCCACTGCTCCCCTAGCTTTTCTCTGCGCGCAGCACAGCACAACACAGCACAGCACAGGAGTCGAAACCAAAAATAGACGGGACACGAGAAAGAAGGCGGACGCTACGCACTCGCTCTGTATCTCTCTCTCTTTCTCTCTCTCAGTTCAGCCGCTCGCTTCACACTTCCGCAACGGGGCGAACTGGCTGCCTCGTGCTCTCACGTGCGTGCCAGCGCGCGAAGATGTCGTTTCGGGGCGTGCCAGGGCAGACAACCAGGGGCGGGGGCCGGTTTTCCAGATCGGATAATGAGGAAGGAATGGATGATGAATTGATGGTAGGATGGACGATGGACGATGGACGGATGCGGTCGGCATCATCGTGGCCTCGGCCGAACCGCGGACCGTAACGCCCTCCCGTCCCGTCCGTCCCGCGGCGTTGATCGTCAATCTTCAAATCTAACCTTACATACCTGCTTGCTTACTCCTACGATTCCTGGCTGGTGTTTGCTCGGTGCCACGTTGTCTGGCTGCTGCTGCTGCCGCTGCCGCTGCCGCTGCTGGCATTTGTCCGGCGCTGGGTCCTGGCAGTTGCAGCGCGCGGCTTGCTTACGGGCTTGCAGTGTCTCACGTGTTGGACGACATGAAATATCGTGGTAGCCGTGGGTTCACCGTCATTTCGCACGCGTGGGAGCCCGAAGTCAGTAAAACCTTGTCCCGGAGTTGCTTGAGTACTGGTCTTTGATGTGTCGTGTCTCTGATTGCTCACGAAGCCGACACTCTCCTAGTGCGCACATTAGCAACCCGGAGCGGTGCACCACCTCAATTCATCACACAAATGTCATGAGAAAGCCTTGCCTTTTATTGCCAGTGTAAGCGGGAATCTATCTACTCAAGAACATTCCATACGGACAACCAACAGCCGCCGTGTTCTTTCGGATATTCCAAATCTGCCCACCAGCACCAAGTCTCTCCAGGTCTCTCCAAGTCATTCCAAGTCGTCATCATAAAAGTAAAAGAAAAGGGCAAGAATGATTGATCCACCAAAAGATAGCGAGGTCTCGGATCGTGAGCAAAACAAAAGGGTAGTCATCTCAATCATCAAGTTTCCAAACCAAACCATACCGTTCGTTACGCCTGACGAGCCAATGAAGGCTCCACATGAAAGCGATTAGAATCGCAAATCTTCCAACCTTTCAATCTTCAAATCACAAACCTTGATTGCTGCGTGGAATTCAACAAGTCCACTTCAAATCGAGCTGATCAGGCCCGTGAGCTTGCACAGTTGCTCTTCACACTTCATCCAAACATCGTCCTGCTCATGATTCTCAGCACGCATATGCTGGAGACGTTGCTCAGCCTCTTCAACAGAGATATTGACCGCATAATCGGGCTGCGAAGAGTACGTAACCCAGCTGAGCTTCTCCATCAGCTCCTTGGTCCTATCAGGCTTGCGGAAACTCTCGGTAGTGCCGCTCGTGCCGCTCGTGCCGTAGAGAATCTTGTTTTCTTCCTGATCGATGAAGCGACGAAGCTCTTCCTGCTCTTCGGTCCATTCGCAGAAGCGGACAGCCCACGTGCACTCGTAGCCCGCCTGGAGGTAGTCATGGCTGAACACGGGCTTGGGAGGAGAAGGCTGATAAGTGCGCACACGAGTCTCGTCCATGCTGCAGCGGATAAGAAGAGACTCGATCTGGCGCGTCATGTTCTCTTGGACTACCGACATCCGCTCTTCGCCGTCCTCATCGTCGGTGCCGCCGGGGTAGAGATACGACGAGAAACGAGTGTTGGCCTGGTCCAGGACTGATTGGGCGACCTTGAGAGCCATCTGAGCAAGTAGTGTGATGGGGTTCTCCTGCGACTTCTGACCACCGGTGGTGTACCAAGCGTTCACTGCGTACAGCAGGTCGTCAATGTGCTTGTTGAGGAGACTCTCCTCGGAGGTGATGGACCCGCTCCTCGAAGACTTGCTCTTCTTGAAGAACATGCTAGTAGCAGAGAGCGTAGGCGTACTCTTGTCCTTGTTCTTGTTGATGCTAGCAAAAGAGAAGCTGCGCTTGGTCTTGAGAGTCTTACCCTTCTCAAAAGGCAGCTGAGAAAGAGGTGCGCTCTTGCTGGCCTTGGTGCTATCGGAGAAAGTCGTGGGCGGTGAAGGTATGTAGAAGCTACCGCTCATGGGCGTTTGAGGAGTCATCGCAAGTCTGGGACGCTCAGCAGCATTGCTGACCTTGCGGGTAGTGTTGATGCGTGGAGACGGACCACCATGCACGACGGAGGTCTCGACAGGGAACGAAGCTGACTTTGACGGCGGAGTATTGATAGTGGACTGAACACCGCTACCGGGAGTGCGTTGCAACTCGTTGAACGTCCTGTTGAGCTTTCTGCTTATATTGCGACCACGAGAATTGGTCGAGGCGCCAGTGAAGGAAGGGCCAGCATTGGTCGGAGAGTTGATGGCGCTAACCGGCTCTGAAGGAGGCATGGAAGCCTTCTTCTGCATTCTGAGCTTCTCCTCTTCGAGCAGCATGCCAGAGAGGACACGAAGGACTTCGGGTGGTGCGTTCTTTTGGCCGGTGGCAACCATCCAGCATTCAATGAGCTCATTGCGAATCTTCATGTAAGCAGCATGATTCTCAGGGTCTTCAGACAGCCTAAACTCGGTCGGCTTTGAAAACTTGGCCCAGAGATCGGCATAAGGATGGATGGGATCAGCCAGAAGTTGCTTGGGGGTTGTCGACTCTTGACTGAAGCGATAGGGAGGAAATAGGGTCATAGGGCTGACTTCGATAGGCTTCGTCGGCTGAAGGAAGCGGGTCGGGCTCGATTGTTCGTCCGCAGGGCCATCCGGAGGCGACGACGTGTCATCAAAGCTGAGGGAAAGTCCTGAAAGACCCATCGAAGGAGTATCCTTAGCAGTGCTCGGGGCTATAGTAGAGATTTTGTTAGCATCAGAGACTTAAAACAACCTTCGAGACTACAACTTACCACTCATGTCCAGACCCAGACCAATCGGAGACGACCCTTGGGCTGCAGGAGCTTCCTTGCCCTTGTTGGTAGGCGTCTTCATGCCTTCAGGTTCTGTCTCGACTTCGGTGTTGGTGGGAGCTGGAGGAGCTGGCGGGGCAGGCTTCTCCGGAGGAGGCGCCGTCCGAAGATGAGCAAACTCATACTTGGAGTTGTAGCAGAACCCTCCGGTGTTAGCAAGCTGTTGCCTAAGCTTTAGTCTAATAGCTTCCAATGCGCTGTCTTCAGACTCGCTCTTCTCTTTCTCTTCTTTTTGTTGCAGTCCTGTGTCAAAATAATCACTGATTTCTGATGTGGGGGCAGACAGCATCTCAAATGATTCCGTACCGGTCGGCGAGCTCTTCTCGTCCTTGGTGACCGGCGGGTCCCGCGCCTTCTTGTTCATGAACTTCCATGACTGAAGTCCTTCTTTGATCTCTTCAGTCTCTGTAGAGGAAGGGTCACTGCCCTTCAGCTTGCTCTTGCTCTTAGACTTGCGCTTCTTCTTATTCTTGCCATTGTTGACCGGTGCAGAAGGCAAGTTTTCCGGCGTCTTGGGGGCCTGAGAGACCTCTGGTGAGGTTTGTGAAGTGAAGCTGGCCGGAAGGTCCGGCATTGGGGGAGCGTCTTTGAGAATTGTCGCCAAGTCGACGATCTCGTCATCCAAAATTTCGCGCTGCAGAGCCCCAGAGAGCTGTACACGCTGGCCTAGGGTGGTCTGGCTGCCCATGCGCTTGAGCATGTCAGCGCGGGTGTTGTTGTCGCCCCTCATCTTAGGGGTGGTGTCAGACATGATGGAGTTGGCGAAAAAAGAAAATTAGTAGTGGGGGGGTGGAGTGGGTTTAAATAAATTGTTAGGGTGATTAGGGTGACTGCTCCAGATGACCGGAAGCAGGAATGGAAGGAGCGCGGTGAAGGTGAAAGACAGAACTTTGCTGGTCTATTCACGTCGGGGCACTTTCACACGCTAGTCACTTTCAGACTGCAGTCACCGTCAGTGCCGTTTGACGGTTGTTAAGCGTGTTAATGCATTCTCACCTTTCTTGATGTAACATCACCTTGCGCCTCTAGTACTATTTGTGATGTCAATAGACTTGAGTGAGTGAGTGACAGAGTACATTCCCACGGATGTGTAATGCGTACTGTTGCCGTATTTGCACAGCTCCATGTACGTATTCAGGTGCTCCTCAATTATCAAAGCGAGGGCTTCATGTTCCGCTCCCGAAAGTATATGTTAACCTGTACCCAAGCTCTTGTGTTGTCCGCTCCGAATATCTTACAAGGCCGCGGGTACACCACATGGAGTTAGGTACGAAAGTTTCATGGAAGGATGAAAGGCTTCCTGAGTAGAAGCATGTGCACCTTCTGTAGCCCTACTGGTATTTTTGCATGGCTTAAATTGTTGATGTTGTTGTAGTCCTGAAGTAGCGCACACCCACGTGCCGGTGGCATCTATGACTGGAGCGTACAGAAGCTCAATCGCCATAGTCGCAATGGTTATACGGCGCTACAATTGCTCTCATGTACAGTTGAGGCCGACCGCACTCTGGGAAACAAAGAATTCTATGTATGAGTGCAAGGCTTCGCTTCATGGTTTCGTAGACGGATTCGTGGTATAGTAATCTGATGGTTACGCAGATGAGCAATATGGTACTGAAGTTTAACCGTTCCAGTTGTGGTCGTTCCATGGAGAAGTGGATTCGCCTGTATACAACATCAGCCATTGATTCAACAGAAATAAACTGCTCTTCGGAAAATCCACAGACCAACGTCGATAAAAGTAAGATATGGCGTTCATGTTTCTCGGGCCTGGGCACTTCTTTGTTCATATACGTAATGTTCGTGAATAATGCAAGCCTTTGAATTTATGGTAAGCTTCGTTCCTACAGGCATGGAAAATCGGTCATATTTGTGCAAGGGGACGGATAATTTGACCGCCCCTCTTGGATATTTTGACCGCCCCACGTGATATCTAACCCGAGCGATTTCGTGTCTTATACTACCTAGTTTATGCCTTTATCTTCTACTAAGCCTGCTACTACTACGCTATTTGTTCCCGCATGCTTTTCCTAAACGTTGTCCGTAAATTTAACTTTACTGCGCTTGGTTATATTATTTAGAAGTGTAGTACGGATTAGTAGGTAGAGTTAGGTCATGTTTGTGTTACCTACTTCCTGTCGGTTGCCGTAGAGTAACCAATCCATTTCTTCTTTTCTGCCGAATACTGCCGAAGCTGGTAGGCGGAAAGAGGGTGGCCAAAATATCCAAAGGGGGCGGTCAAATTATCCGGCGCCTTTGTGCAAAGACGAGGGCTCTACGGACGAAGTGCGAGGCATTAACTTGTGCGTTAGCTCGCGGTGTCTAGACGAAAGGAGAGGGCTGTACCTGTCGAGATGTTTCTATCATCACGAACTTTAAATCTTGGCCCATAGCTCCTGCATGGGTGTCAGCTTGGAAAATATAACCATGTGCACCCCAAACAAAGGTTGAAAGACCAGATAGCGCTCACGCACAAAGGCAGCAGCGCTGTGGCCAAGGAAACCGCCAGTGTGGCCAGGAGCGGCAGCTGCAATGCTGAAGAAATAGAGGCAGGCAACACAACGAAGAGCTCCCAAAGAAAAATATATATTCTATGCATGCCACTCTATGAAAAGGGACGGGCCCTATAACGTTCGATCCGAAATCTCTCTCTTTAACAACCTGCTAATGAATCCCCGAAAAGCTCCTATGGCCGTGTCAAATGGCTCTATGCAAAAGCAAATAATTACAAATGCGATAGAACCGAGGTAATGCATGTGATGATGACTTTTTCTCGCTCCCTAAACCCGAAGAAAATAGAACTGAGAATCTTTTCTCTTTGGATATATCGCCTTCCGTGGTATTGCTTTTTTTATGATCATCAGATCATCAAATGCCGAGTCATGCTTCGTAACTTTCTATTCCAAGAATGTAAAAAGGTTGGTGTGCACAACGTTCAGAGCACGGTCGGCGTCGCGCTCGTTAATGACGCAGGAGATGTTGATTTCGCTGGCACCTGAGGATTTGTTAGCTTTTTAAATTGCAAAACCACCGCTTTGCGATTTTCCAAAGGACGGGAAGCTGCTAACCTTGCGAGATCATCTCAATATTAATGTTGTTCTCACCCAGAACGCTAAAGAAGCGGCCACTGATGCCAAGCATGTTCTTGAGCTGCTTGCCGACCAAGCTGACAATGGCCATGTTGGGCACCAGATCAATGGTGCCGACCTCACTGAGGCCAATGACGCAGCCCTTGAGATCCTCGTCGATGATAGTGTACTCTTCACGGCCGTCGTAGCTCAGCATATTCGACTCGGAGTGCAAAACCAACGACACGTGGACTTCCGAAGACGAGATCAGGTCCACGGACATATTCCACTTATCCAGAATGGAGAAAATGTTCCGCAGGAAACCCGGAGCGCGAGTACGCTTGTTAGAGTGGATGTTCAGGACCACAATGCCGCGCTTGATGGTGACAGCCGTAGGCCGCTTGGGTCCACTGACCCCATTGAGCGCCGCAACATTGCTGGATGAGCGGGTGCGGAACAACTTAGGGTCGTGCAGCGGGTTCTTGATCTCCTCGACGGTGTCGGGGAAAATGATGGTTCCAGCGTTCCGCGGGTTCATGACGTTCTTGATGCGAATAGGGATACGTGCGCGAATAACCTGCTCCATGGTGAAAGGATGAATAACTTCGGAGCCGTAGAAGGTCAATTCCGCGGCCTCAGAAGGCGTAACAGAGGACAAGAGTGCGGCCGTAGGCACCTTGCGAGGGTCGGCAGTGAAAATACCGTCGACCTCTTTCCAAATCTGAAGCTCCGCAGCCTCGATACCAACCGCGCACAGCGCAGCACAGAGATCAGTGTAGCCGCGGCCAATGGCATTGAGGAGGCCGCCGGGGACATTGCCGAAGTACCCGGTGATGACGGGGACCTTGTCACCGCAAGCCTTGAGCTCCTCGCCGAGCGCGTGCGCAAGTTTTGCATAGAACGTCTCATCCAACGTCTTGTATCCGCTGGCGAACCTGCAGACGTCCGACAAATCCACGTACTGCGCCGGCACGCCATGCTCCTCTAGCAATGCAGCCATGTACCGGCAGCTCAGCTTTTCACCCTTGCTGATGATCTTGTCCTCGACCCGAATGCTGACCTCCTCCAGGTGTTGCGCGGACTCGAGGATCTTGACGAGCGTGTGGCATTCGGCGTTGACATCTTCCGTGTATTGCGCAAGGACGTCCTGGTTTTGGATCGTGTCGACGGCGGCCTGGACATGGTCGGCGCGAATGGCCTCGACGATATCGTAGAAGCCTTTGCCGCCAGGGATTTCGGCCTCGCGGGCGCAGCGGAGCAGCCTGAAGTGGCGGGAATCAGCCCCGCGCTTTGTGCAACGTGAGGTGTGACGTACCTGTTGGTGGTGCCCTCGAGTTTGACCGAGGTGCTGCGCGCAGAGCACACGATGGCTACGCGGTTGCCATCAAGACCTGCCCTTCAATTGCACTTAGTAGCCGATCGCGTGGCGTGTTTGGTGAGCCATGACTCACTTCACAATCTCGGCGATGTTGACGGCAAACTTGCCAACACTGGTACCGCCGAACTTGAGGACGACCCATCCGCCTGGCAAGTTCTTTTCTTCCTGGTGAGAAGTTCTTGATGCGCCGTTGACGAGTGTGGGAGACATTGTGTGTGCGTGGAGATTCGGAGCTGCGGCGAGCAATTGGTTATAAAGTAGGGGGAGCAATGGCGTCTTCGTGAGGTGATTGGGGAATCAGAGCAGAATCGCGTGCGGTGGTGAGAGAGGGTTGACACAGCGAGTTCGGCGGCGACTAGGAGTCATAGCGGGCCCGGGCAGCCTTCGGGCACGCATCCCTACCCGCCCATTGTTCATTTTTTTCCCGCTCACCCAATTGCGTCACTAGCCGCACCACGCCACGTCGACCCAATTGTCGTGAATCCAATTCTAGAAGCCTGGCCTACTGCTACAGTAACGGGTATCCCCTTGTTTCGTCAGCGTCCCTCATAGCACCCGGGCCCTCCGATTGCGCCGCGCTATGCAACCCAACCACGTTTGATACCCCGTACTCCTTTGTGCGCCAAGAAACATGCCATTTTATGAGTCCTTCGACCTCGACCTCAACCAACTCTTCCCCTCTAACTACCCTCATCGCCTGTAGATGTCCCGGTCGCGGTCCCTGTCGCGGTCCCGGTCGCGACGGTCGTATCGGTCTCGATCAGGGCTCCTACTACGCGTTCCGCGGCGCCCACCCTCGCCGTAATCCAGGCCAGACTCGCGGTCTCTGAATCCTCGCCGTTCATCGCGTGACGGTGGCCCGCTCCTTTCGCGGGAGCTACGGTCGTCTCTGTCTCTTGATCCCCGACGACCGCTTTCTGCTGCTGCCGCACTGTAGCTAGGAATGTAGGTATCCACGTTTCCTCCCGCTCTAGCATTGCCGTACGCCCGATTGGTTGGTGGGTGTGGGAGAGGATGTCTACTTCCTTCCGGAGGAGGTGGTGGGAGGTTGTGTCGTCCACCAGGAGGGCCAGAGTACGGCATATTGTCGTGTCCCCACGGTTGGCGTCGGTAGTTCGGAGGCGGACCGCGATGATCATATGCTCCTGGTGGTATTCTGCCTTCATACCCTCTTGGAGGGGGTCCTGGCGGCACGGCTCCTGGTGGTCCCCTGTCTTGTGCATATCGTCCGTACCGATCACCATTCATATAGGGGCCTCCATTCGGAGGTACCTCAGGCCCCCATCCGCCGTTCGGGTTTGGTCCCATTCCTACAGTGCCGCCGGCTGGTGCTGGTGGAAGTGCCTGCTGTTTGCCGCGCGCATTCCGCCTATCCAGTTCATGGGAATCTGAGAAGCTTGGAAGCTCTTCAGGTTTAGCGGGATAGGGGTATTCCTTGAAGTATGGATGTTCCAATGCATCTATGGCGTTTATCCGCTTCCTCCAATCAAGTTTCAAGAGCTCGTTCAGAAGAGAAATTGCCAAGGAGCCCTGACTGTAATTTCGGTCAGCTCTGCAAAAAAAATATCTTGCAACAACTTTACTTACTCTCTGAAAACATGGCCAAGGTTGCCCTTGCGGGGTGCAAACTGCCTGACGCCCTCGCACCCAGGCAAGGATGACCATCCAGGCATGTTCTCTTCAGTCGGCGTACCAACAAGATCGAATATGATATGAGCTTGGTTGAGATCGCTATTGCCTGCCAAAATGGGCTTCCTCTTGAACATTTCACCAAAAACACAGCCTGCTCCCCACATGTCAATGGCGCAGGTGTAACGGCGCAGCTGAAGAAGTAGCTCAGGAGGGCGATACCAACGCGTGACGACCAAGGCTGTGTAGTCTCTCTTAGCCTCGCCACCCCCTGAACCCGGTTTTGGTGGAGGTTCATCGAAATGGCGTGCTAAACCAAAGTCGGCGATTTGGAGAATGCCCTTGTTGTTGATCAACAGGTTGGCAGCTTTCATATCGCGGTGCAATATACGGTTCTGTACCAGGGTTAGCATTCTCCGATTGCATGAGACCGCAGATTACCGCATACGTCGTGGAGATATCTCAAGCCCTCGAGCAATTGCAGCATGTAGCATTTGATCTGTGGTTCGGTGAAGCGGACTTCGGGGTTGTCGAGAAGGCCGGAAAGATCATGGTCCATATAGGGAGTGACCATGTAGAGGATTGCGCGTTTCCGCCCTTCTCCTGGTAGTTTGTTAGTTATGAGCTGTACCTGCACACCCATGTTTACATACCCTTCGTCCTTTCCACTGCCATCTCCTCGAGCTTGAGCACGTTTCGGTGTGAAAGTAACTTAAGCAACTTGATCTCGCGAAGAGCCGTGATAGGAAACTGAGCGACATGTTAGCCACTGCCAGCTGATTCGGCAACAGGGGTCGCTCATACGCCATCCTTCTCATTGTGCATGAGGATCTTTTTGAGGGCGTAGATCGTGCCGGTCTTTCGTGAACGAGCTTTGTGAACTTCACTGCATCATCGGTCAGCACGGTGCATCGGCATGGTGCCAACTGAGCGGCGGAGGTGTTAGACTCGCCCAAAAGTACCCTCTCCAAGCTTTCCCATGACCTCATAATCGACAATCCTGGAGCATCCCGTGAATCTGCGATGGGCGAGGCCCGGCGCGGGCGAGTGCGAAGGAGCTTGCGCCATGATGGGCGAACGCGAGGAAGTGGGTGTCGGACGGAGAGCAGGTGAGATGGAGCGGGCAGGTCCCTAAGGTGCAAGATTCGAGAATGGATGGTCGCGGGACTTGTGTCGCGACATGAAGGCTATGGGCGGACGGGGGCTTTCGTTGTCCGGATGGCCGCCATCCAAAGCGTCAAAGAACCAAGGAATGTTGCGACGGCGCCGATGGGGTTGTTTAGTCGATTGTCAGGCTGTGTCGCGCAGATGCGCAATCACTGCCACGCGTGCGGGAGGTGCTCAGAACTGAAGGGCGAACCAGCCAGCCGACGATCGCCAAGCCTTTCGTACCGCCCGCTTCGGGGGACTGGCGATCTCACCGCGCAACCTCAGTCCATACTATCCGCTGCAACAACCATACATTGAGCTTCCAACGTCAGTGACCGCACCATGAGTGCTCTCGCTCGGCCCCTTGTGATGCCCCGCAGCTAACGACGGGCAGAATCTCACACAATGGCTGGTCACGGTCCTGCAGGCCACGGCGGCCACCCCATCCACGTTCACCCTGTGCGCCCTCTCTACCGCTTCTTTGCTACCGGCCTCGGCGCTAGCATGTGGTTCTTCGTATGCCGTTTTGCCTGCCATGCGTGATCCGCCGCTGACCGGAGTTACAGTTGATGTACCGCGCCAAGAAGGACGGCGCTGCGCTCATGGGCTGGAAGCACCCTTGGGACCACTGAGGGCAACACGGAGAGCCACGGCGCTTCTTCAAGGACCCGATCTGGTGCTTTCAAATTATATCCGGCATTGTACATACGAACAAACAGACTTTGGGACTAGATGATGCTCCACCCAGAATCGCCATCGGGAATACCTGCGACCCATTCTGTACCATTCCAATTATTTGCGCGCGAAACACCATTGTCCGATCATGATCATGGAAAGAGCCTAACAACGTGACCTGAGACGTGTCAAACATCCAGCCAATTAGCAAGCAGCTATTACTACACGACGCTTCTTCACTCCTATTTCGCTTCTTGGTAGGGCATTGGGCGAAACTCGGTCATCTGTTCATTCTCTCAATCGATTCATTTGATTTATTTAATTCACTTGTGTCTGTTGATACTGACATTAAGATCATACGTTTGTGGAAAGCCTCGACCTGCTCTAACCGTTCCAGTTAGTTCGGCTGCAATCTACTACGATTATGCAGTTTCGGATATCAGTATTTATAAGCCTCTCAAACAGCTCATGGGATACTCCATGTCTCTATTTTCGTACGCAAACAGCTTCGGGCAAGCCATGCGGAAGATCTGCCAGCGAAGATACTGAGCAGCAGTCTTCACTTCTCTACGTGTCCTTTAAAATGCCGCCGGATTTCTTTTTGTTCCTAGTCATTCTTCCAATTATCAATCCACTTCAATGTTGCACTTCCAACATTCATCCCACCAACTTGAACATTTTCATTCCTCGCGGGTATGTTTGGATGAAAGCAGCAGTACGGCTCTCATTAATGAGGCTGTTGCGTTATTGATATAGCTTGGACATGACGTCATACAAGGCTACGGACAGGCTGCAATTCAGCGGAAGCATTTTGCTTGTTCGAAGGGCTGAACAAAGCTGAACGATTTTATCGATTGTAATCTATAGTTAACCGCGACCTCTTCCGGAGGCTTGTGAAGGGCGAAATGCCAATAGGAAGACATGGCAGATGTGCTATTGCATATGGGCGCCTGGAAGACTACAGGACTACGAATCAAGCGGGCAGCGGGAGAGCGGCAAGGTGATTCCAGGCAGCACGCGCACGCGGCTCGCACCGCCACAAGCGAGTGACAATCCCGGCAGCCGCGCCCCCGACCCCGTGGTGTTGACGCGCTGCCCACTCACAGCGCGCGACGCACCCCACGTGTAGAGCGCGCCGCCTCGCAACCCAGGTCAAAGCCCCCGCGATGTTGCGCAATCGTGCTCGTGCGAAAGGCCAGATGCAGCGGCGGCACGGCCATGCCATGCGGGCCTCTGACCTGCGGGCGAGGCAGCGCTTGGAGGATGAGGCATTGCCTCCCTGTCTGCCTGCCACACCTTTACTTCTTTCTCTCCCTTCCCCTGCGTGGGTGCGTGCGACTACGACTGCCACTACTGCTTCTTGTCCTGGTTCCTGGTTCCTGATTGCCGCCTATAGTTTTTGTCGATCGATTAAGAGCCGGGGAGAGACATCTGTACGACGACACTGACAGCAACCAAGTACCGAGGGCGTCTGACCACGAAAGGCCCAAGTGGGCGTACCTAGGTAGCTCACATCTCACGCGGCCACAGCAGCAGTAACAACATTAGCAACCATGGCAGGCGCCCTCCAAATAGGAGACATCTTGATGCTCTCCCAGCTCGCCTGGAAGCTCGGCCGCGCCTTCACGTCCGGTCGGCACAGCGCACCCGCCGAGTTCCTTGAGGTCGAGACTGAGATGAACGGGCTAGCGCGCGCGCTGAAGATGCTAGCAGAGACGCTGTTCGCGGATTCGGACAGCATCATTGCGCGTGCCGATGCCAACACGCAGTCTGGCGTTGCGACCATACTGCTCGCGTGCCGCCAGACCCTCCGCGACCTCGAGAGTCTCGTCGAGCACTACCAGGTCATCACGCGCCACCGCACCAGCAGTGGATTTAGCGTTGAGCGCTCCTGGAGCGAGCTTGTGCTGTCTAACTTTAAGAAGATGATGTGGACAACTGAGGGCGGGAATATCCAGGCATTAAGGAACATGTTGCATATGCACACGAGCACCATTTCCTTGACCATGCAAGCACTGCAAAGGTATGTCCACTTAGTTCGTTTCTCTGCCCCCAAGACTTACTTACAACTCATCTCAGCAAATCACTCGCGCAGCTTCAAAGCACCGTTGCGCCCATGGCCGAAAAGATCGACGAAATCCATGGCCAAGTGACCGGCGATCTGAGCGACAAGATTCAGGAAGTCCACAGGATCATCGTCTCCATAGCCGGCCGCAGCCCGGCCCTGCCGGCTATGGAGAGGATGTCCCACGGCACCACTACGCCCCTGTGGCCAGTGACGCCTGAGATCGAGCCAATACCCGAGCCTTTGCGCATCGGCAACGGCCCGCTGACGCCGCAGCGCTCGCCCGAAATCCGGCCTATCGACTGGGCTCAGACGCAGAATCACTACAACCGGCGCGAGTCGGATATCAGCAATGCACCGACTGTTTCCGATACCTCCGACACGCGGCGCTTGAGCGGTGGCTACCCAGCGTCGCGGTCGAGTATCACCGGCTCCCCGGGCCCATCTGCCAGGAGGCAATCACGGTGGCGCGCCGAAGGCAGTGCGGACCTGCCCGCCGTACGCGATGCCGACGAGGCAGAGGCGCAGCCACCCTCAGCAGTAGACGAACTGCGCGCCTCGTTTAGCTTGCCCATTCTCCCGCCGCCGGCCATCCCGCCTGATCCGGATCCTGAGCTCGTCGACGGATTCGGCTCGCCTCTTGAATGTGGTTCACCGGCGCCCTATGTGGACAAGATAGTGCTTGAGCGCTCCGCAACAACTAGATCCCAGACCGAGGAGTTCGAGCGCGCGGCCTTCCGCAATTCAGCCATCTTGTGCGACGTCCGCGGCAAGGCTGTCGACTATGTCGCCCCGCCGGAGGACGAGACGAGGCCGCTCGAAGTTGAAACGTACAAGGCCATGGAGGCTTGTCGGATCTGCGTTGTCCGGAAGCAGGATGAGCGGCCGGATGGCTCGATCCGGATGATCACGAGCATCTGGGCGTTGAGCGACGACCGGGCGGTGAGGCTGCAGCAGAAGCGTAAGTTGGTTCTTTATTTTCTCCCCACATTCTCGTTCACTGTGCTAACACGTGTAGTGGCCGATGGTGTGGAGATCATACCGTATGTCTCGTTTTTCTCGCCTGAGAAGATATCTCTTCCCGTCCTCGCGGAGCTCAAATTCCACGATGTGACCTATGGCTCCAAGCCCCTCAAGGTTGCCAAAACGAGCTGGATAACGTACGATTTTGAAGATGTCAAAAGTACACCCGCCACTTTTGCTCTGACCTTGAAATACGCTGACCATTTGCACAGGTGCCACGCTCTTTCAAAACGAGCTCATGGGTCGGCAGCTTATTGGCACCTATCAGACCAACAAGACGCTGCGCATCCACGATGGCCTTGCGGGTATACTCACATACCAGGAGCAGATGTGCGGCATGGAGAATCTGCGCCTATGGCGTGACTACGAGACCGGGGGCGTCATCGCCATGATCCACTTTAGCGCGCACTTCCGCAATGGTTATCTCGCCTTTTACTTGAACTCGAGCGCTGTGCCCATCAGAGTCAAAGGGGACGGCGAGAAGGCAGTCAGGATCAGAGATCTGAAGATTCCCCACACGCCCGAGGGACGAAGCGGTAGCGGGCAGCGGAGGCGGGAGTCGGATGGGGCGGTGGCGGCTTCCATGGTGTCGCAAGATGAGGAGAAAGTGAGCGGGAAGAAGTGGATCACGGGCGCCAAGGTGGAGTTTGCGACGGCGATCGACAAGAAGCTGTTTCTGGACAAGGTGAAGGAGGTGCAACAGACGATGATACTGTTGCCGGAGCTGTGACGGGAACTCCTGATACTGCAGTGTTTAAGTGTAGCTTGATGTGCGCTCTTCGATAATCTGCGTAATTAGCGCGCAGGAGGCAATTGATTGACAGCGCGTGACCAGTGGGAGTGGTGAGTATGGATATTGTAAGATAATCAGAACATAATTATGGGAGCATGTTAATGGAAAGAATACTATGTCCGTCTATGATTTCTATTTTTATGACGCCTTCAAAGACGTCATATGGTGATTTTTCTACACCGGGAAACCTCGGACGGCATGTAATTCGTGACATGCTAATCGTTTCGCCAAGTTTTTCAAACCGCCATAAGGTATCGTATTGTACAGTTTTGCGAGAAAAGTTTACATTCCACTCGACGCGTTTATGCGAGAGGGTTGAAGAGCCTGATGACGGGAGGGCGCGGCGTGCTGTGCGACCAGCCTGGGAGAGGTTAGTGGGGCGGACCAGCAAAGGACCAGCGGGGACGGACCAAGGTAGAGAATCAGAGGCAGGTAACCACTGGAGAAGGTCAGATGAGGATCCGAGCAAGGCGCAAGGGAAGCATACTAGTGGACGGCGACGCGGGAAACGTCGATGAGCTTGGAGATGCGCTCCTGCGGCATTGTCAGTGAAATGGACGGCGCAAATAAGGCGCGCACGCGTACCTTGGTCTCCTCGGACAGGGTGAACATGATGGATGCGGGCGTGGCGGAGATCGGTTGAGGTAGTCTTGGGCGCAGCAGCTGTCGGCGATGGTGACGACGAGCAAGCCGTGGAGACTTTTGCTCGATTTCTGCCGGCGCCCGCCGCCTGGACTAGCGCGTCCCCCATATTTTGTCGCGCGTCGCCGGCCGAACCTGCATCATCGCCGCGTCTGTTGCACCTCAAGATCTACCAACAGAAACAAACAACAGCACCTCCGCAACCATGGCATTTGCTGGCGGTCCCAGGCACTGGTTAGTCAGCCTTAACACCATCCCGGAAACTCAGGTGCAATTCTAACGCAGGGCCGAACAACGGTATGCTAGGGAGCAAGATAAGGAAGCTACCGTTTATGTCGGCAACCTTGACGAACGTGTTACCGATGCTTTAGTGTGGGAGCTTATGCTCCAGGTCGGTCGCATTGTCAACGTCCACCTTCCGAAAGATCGTGTCACCCAGACGCACCAGGGTTACGGTTTCGTCGAGTTCCAGACTGAAGAAGATGCCGACTATGCCGCCAAGGTCATGAACCAAGTCCGCCTTTACGGCAAGCCCATCCGTGTCAACAAAGCTTCGGCCGACAAGCAGAAGGCCGTTGAAGTTGGCGCCGAGCTCTTTGTCGGCAACCTTGACCCCATGGTTGACGAGAAGACCCTATTCGACACCTTTGGGCGTTTTGGTCCGTTGGTCGCCGCCCCGAAGGTAGACCTCCCTCCATATTTGAGATGTCGCGCGACATGTAGCTGACTCATGTACAACAGGTTGCCCGCGACGAGGCCAACCTCTCCAAGGGTTACGGTTTTGTCTCTTTTGGCACCTTCGAGGCCTCCGATGATGCCATTGCCAACATGAACGGCCAGTACCTCATGAACAAGGAGATCTCAGTTCAGTACGCCTATAAGAAGGACGGAAAGGGTGAACGCCACGGCGACGAGGCGGAGCGTATGCTTGCCGCCCAAGCTCGCCAGCACAACGTATCGGCACCTACCCAGCCGATGCCCCCTCAGTTTTATTCCCAGCCGACGCCCGCTGCTCCGGTCGCTCCGGCCGCCATGCTCAACAGCGGCGCCCCTCACGTCCCGACCCCGCCTCCCGGCCCGGCTGGATTCCAGGCCTACAATGCCGTTCCGCCCCCGGCTCAGCAGGCTCGTACTCCTGTCGCAACCACCCCGCTCCCGCCTCCTCCGTCAGGTCTCCCGGCTCGTCCCCCTCCTTCGCAGGCTGGTTACGGTGGCCCGATGGGCTTCACTCCCCCGGGCTTCTCCGCCCCTCCTCCGGGCGGAGCTTTTCCGCCTGTCCCGGCTCCTCCAGCCGGTTTTGCCCCGCCTCCTGGCTTTCCTCCCCCGGGCTTCGCCCCTCCCGGCGCTGCCCCTCCCGGATTCCCTCCTGGATTCCAGCAGCCCTATGGCAAGCGGTGATTGGCGAGGTGACTTATGGCTTAGGGAACGTTTTTCCCTGGAGGTCAATAGAGTTTGCCCACGGATCGTCATAAATTCGAAGGATACCCTGCTTTTCTGGTGGATGGAATTGATTGAGATACGATCTCCGGCGAACACGGCGTACAGGATGACATGGTTAGAACGGAAGTAAGTAGTCTATACCGCTTTCATAGCGATGAGCAAGTAAATAACGCTCTTGCGCACAGCAATGCGAGCCCGGTCCGTGCATAGTGAAGCTTGTTATTGTAAGAAGCTGAGGTCTTTTACTGACCAACGATGACTGATAATGAGATGAGTGAAACTCGGTGGTATGAGAGAAGATAAAGAAAAGTAAAGCAAGGAAAATGGAGGACACTCCAGTGGCAGTTGCGAAACGCGACGCTGCGAATCCGCACAAAAAAAGACCAACCCGATTTCAAACCATGAACGCCCGGTGCTCGCTGAAATCAAGCAAAGTGTGGATATCCGTTCGATCCAAACCCTCCCCCAACTCCCTTCCGCGCCTCCTGCTTTCCCCTCCTCCCCCACCCAACAACCCAAACGCACGCACCCTCCCACACACGGTCTCCCCGCTCACGAGAAGCTGACAAACTTGGGGTCGCGCGGCCTGCCGTCCGGACCAATGCCATTGCGCGCGAAGCGGGCCTCGGTGAAGATCCTCCGGGCCTCATCGAAGCCGACGCGGCGGGCCTTCATGATTTTCCTGATCTCCGCTTTGGCGACGTCGTCGAGGCCGGCGCGGGAGTCGCCGTCGGCGACGTTGCCGGCGAGGTCGAAGTGCGCCGACGAGAAGCCCGACTCGATGTCGGCGGCGAAGGAGCTGGGGAGCCGCGTGTAGAACCAGCGCGCGAAGGGGTTGTTGGGCAGCGCGTGCAGCCAGTGGTGGCGCGTTAGGTAGGCGACTGTTTGGCGGGAGAGGGGGTTAGTTTTGGGACGTGGCTTTTGGGGATTTGGGGGGGACGTGGGGTGCGGAGACGTACGGGTTGCGGCGAGGAGGACGAAGATGGTGACGGAGTAGAAGAGGTAGACGTTGTTGATCATGGTGGCGGTGTTGTGGGGTCTAGGCTGGTAGTTTTGAGGGAGTGGGTTTTCTCCCCGGCGGGGTGCCGTGATGTTTTGGTAGAGTAGTGGGCGACGGGGTGTCGTCGTCGTAGTCGCGGTGGTGGTGGCTGAGCACTTGCGCGGCAGGGCCGGAACGGGACGAGGCGAGATGAAAGAAAACAGGTAACAGTCCTAAGTGTAGAGTAGAGTAGTTAACTCGGCGCGATAGCGTGAGCAAGCCAAGGCGGCGCGCGATGCATCAAGCAGGCAGGCAGCGGATGAGTTCGTGTGTAATGCGTAGCGTAGCTTATGCGGGAGCGACGTTGGCGGACGGGGATTATAATTCGCAAGCGCAACCCGGCGCGTGAGGTCAGAGTCCGAGCGTCCCGAGCCCTGACTACGTCGGCGAAAGAGTTGTTCCTCGCCCCGACGCCGCTAGTCGGCCATTGGCTGGTTAGACGATTTTCGACAACGCGCACCCAAAGCGATACTACCAGCGACAACGACACTCGAACGGCCGACCGCAAGAACGACGACATCTCCGACTATCGCAATGGCTTCCAACATCTCTGCCGACCTCGTCTGGGAGGTTACCCGTGAGTCGCCCGTGTCTGGCTTTTCGCCCTGGCATCGCTGACCTCGAGCTTCCCCCCCGCAGGCAACAACAGCGCTTTCCTCCTCAAGCGCAAGCAGTCCGGCGGTGTCCAGTTCTCGCGCGACCCCCTCAACCTCCTCAACAAGCACTCCAGGAAGGTCCGGAAATCCCCCGAGTCCGCTGCAGCAAGTACGAGCAACATTGGCTGACGTGGATTTGATTTATAGTACGAGGGTTTCGTCAACGACAAGGTATATATACAACCGCGCAACAATGCACGAATTTGGAAAACGAGAGCGGTTTTGGCTGACCGGTAGATTTTGTGATTACAGGCCTTCAGCGTCCAGCCCGCTGAGAAGGGCGGCGTCCAGCTCCTGATCAAGAAGAACGAGAAGGCCAACAAGCCCGCCTCCGCCATCCAGTCCTCGACCTACGGCGCCTCCACCTCCTCCCGCAAGTCAGTAACCCCACGGTTCCCCGCTACCATCACCACCCCCGCCTTCGCCGCCGCTGTCGCCTCGAGCAGCAGCAGCAAGGAATGCGCGCCGTGCTTGCGGCTCGACGGCGGCTGGATGGATTGAAAGAAATGCTGGCGCAATATGTCGAGAGAATGGACGGACAAGCTAACATTCCATGCCCTGCAGGACCTACAAGAGCATCATCAACTCGACCGTCAAGCGCCACTACCGCGCCGACCTCCGCGACGAGGCCGTCCGCCGCGCCTCGGCCATCAAGGCCAGCCAGAAGCCCGTCAAGGCTGACAAGCCCGTCAAGCCCAGGGGTCTCAAGGGCAAGAAGGCCGAGTCCGCCTAAATCAATCGTTCGTTGTCGGTCGATCATCTAGGCGGCGTCTTAGTGGAGGAGGAGGATGTGTCCGGGTTGGAGAAAAATATGGAGTTAGTTTGACTGGCCGGTCGAACGACTGTCCTGTCTTTTTTCGGCGGCGGCGGGCGCAGCAGCATGTGTATGTGTGTATGCATAGAAGCATCCGGGAGCTGGCGAAATCATCGGTCGGTCGGGCAAAGACGAGCTGGGAATGCGGCTCGGGGTTCTGAGCGCAGCGACTTTTGAAAAAGAAAGTCATGTCTACGAATCCAAACGTTTCCGAATCAAGAACGCGTCTTGTTGCGTGTGAGCGTGTTGTTAAGGGGATTGCTGCGGTGAGATGAGATGCCGTGTTTGGTGGCAAGAGCGTGGTGGGTTGGCCTTTGAGCCTGAGCCCCAGATCTGAAGTGCTGCGCTTCTTCCGCTTCGACCTTGTTCCCTGTGGACGGGCGCCCAACCTCCGCAATCCATTTACATTCCAGATGGCAAAGCAAATTCCAGAATCAGTCCCCAAAGCAGCCAACTCAAACCGAAACATATACTAACCAAACCAGCGGCAGGCAACCTATACCTTGATTCCACCACTGCACTCTCTACATGGCAGCAGACAACCACACTCCATCCCCAACACTACAACCCACCATAACCAGCCGTCAAACCCCCCAAGATCGTCCAGATCCAACAAGTACCCAGTAAGATATCTGCCCCACGCCCACTCCCCCCCCCCAGAGCCAGACCAAACGCTCCCGAAGTCCAAGCAGGCACACCCACCCACACCTATCTACGAAGTAACGAGCAGGGAGCGTGGCAGGGATAATGTAAATGAATACCTCTACATGCATCTTCTAGGTAGGTACGGAGGTGAGGGTAGATTTGTACTGGGTCTACAAGGAGTGGGTTGTAATGACTACTACGATTTGCTTGTGGGGTGGTGGGGTGTAGTTATGGTTACTGGTATGTGTCTATAGTGTATAAACTCGAACGAGTTGGTGCTCTTTTGCCCGTCCAATCGTGCTTGCTTATGACGATACAAACCACTCCGTAGGTATACAAGTGCACCATAAAAAACCCGCGCCAGTTTCGCAATCGTCACGTATACGTATCTACAGCCCCATCCCAAGCTACTCCCCCTTTCCACAGAGCCCACGGAAAAAGTGGAAGTAGTCCTATACGTCTTTGTGGAAAATACGGACAGTTCCTCGCACGACACCATCATGCCTACGTACGTACAACCCTCCCATCGGCGATCAAAGGCAAAGAGACAAACGCTTCCGCCCAATCACACGATACTGAGAAGGCCTTCCCTCTCCCCCAAACCCCCAGCGACGATCCAAGGCTCTCACGAGCCCAATCATCAGCCAAAGAGTTGAGCCCCCTCTCCCTCGCTGCATGGCAAGGGCAGCACCCACCCAAGACTCAGCGCCAGCTCCCGCCTACGCTATCGATCATGGCCGCCGCCCATCCACCACCACCACCACCACGAAACCAACCCCGTACTATCTTACAACCCCAACTCCAACTATACACGCCCCTTCCTCCCTCACCCTCATACCCCCGCACTATCCATCTACCTACCTACCTACCTACCTCCTCACCACGCCCCCACCAGCCCACCACAGCGCGCCCCCCAACCCGCCACTAACCACCAAATGATACAGCACGCCCCACGCCATGGCATACAAATACTTGGGGCTAAACACCGTCCAGATAAACAAATGGCTGCGCAGCACCGTGCACGCCGCCATGACCGCCCCCAGCGCCGCCGCAGTCCACAGCGTCAGCCGCGCAAAATGCGCGAAAAACATGCCCTCGGCCGGGTCGCGCAGTAGCACGCCACGGCGCGCCGACGACGACGCCTTCCCCGCCGCCGCTTGCGCCGCTGCCCGCTTCGCCTCCTGCAGCCTCCGCACCACCTCCATGTTGCGCCGCCACCGCGCGTCCTCCAGCACGCGCAGCCCGCCCGCGCAGCCCCAGAACACGGGGCCGGCCCAGTTGCCGACGAAGATGAGCGCGCCGACGGCCACGACGTTGTAGCTGGCGACGCCGTTGTAGGCGTTGCTGAGGTCGATGCTGGAGATGGCGTTGCTGTTGCCGAGGGCGAAGAAGGATGCATGCGCCAGCAGCAGCGTCGTCGTGCTGATCTCCGTCGGTGACAGCGGCGGCAGCCGCGACAGGAAGTGCTGCTGCGCCCGGAAGACCAGGAAGAGCGGGATGTTGGGCGCGCGCGTCTGCGTCAGCAGCAGCAGCGTCAGGAAGTCGTGCAGCCCCTCTGCCACCATTGCCCGCGACCCGGACGTCGGGCCCGAGAGGGGGCCTCTCTCCTGCGCGAACAGCCACGCTGCGCCCATGATCGTTCCGATGAAGACGACTCGCGCCAGCCGCACCAGGCTGAGCCCTTCGAGGAACTCGATCGCGCCTGGGCTTGCGCCCCGCACTAGTTCCGGTGCGTCGCGTGCTGTGAAGGCCAGCTTGAACAGGAACGAAATGCCGCAGAGCAGCACGGCGTTTCCCGTCGCGAACGTCTGCAGCTGCCGGCCCATCCGCCGCGAGATGTGGCTGCGCAGACGCAGCATCAGCCACAGGTAGGTTCCCGCTACCAAGGTCCACAGCACAACGGGGTTGGTGAGCACAGCCGAGTGCACAATGTCTGGCGCGCCGGCGTACTTTTGGCCCGTTTGGTTCCAACGGCGGGTTAGGCGGTGCAAGGCGAGCAGGGCGAGTGAGGGCCCAATTACTGTCAAGACGTGGCTCCTACGGGACCTGTTGCATTTGTCAATCCGGGTGGCTCTTGAATAACGAGGGCCTTGACCTGCTTGCTAGGGTTGAGACGGGAACTTACTTGTTGACGAAGAGATACACAAACCAGGCAGATGTAGCCCAGTACCAGAAATGTTGCTCTTCCTCCACGTAACTGCTGGCGAACATCATGATACCGTACAGCAGGACCAGAGCAGTGTAGAAAATACCAGCACTGCTGACAGAAGTCTTGAGAGGGCGAAGGGCAGTAAAAGCAAGACCTAAGCTGAGCAACGCGATGCTCGTACCAGCAATGAGCAAAGCGAGGTTGTAGTTGCTCGCTGTGCTGCTCATGATATCCTGGGCTGAACGACAGAACTGTTTTTCGTCAGTAAGTTAGAAATGATGTTCCACAGAGAGGATCTTACATCAACAAGCGGAGGGATAATGTCGTCCGGCTTGGGACGATAAGCACCCGCATCATGGAAGATAGTCGTAACCTTCCGCCACTTGCAAGCAAGCTCGTTGCCAGCTGAGCTGATGGAATCACATTTGACTTCCGTAAATGGGTTCTCGAATGCAGGATCCGGGAAGGTGGCTTTGACGATATTGAGTATCTGCACAGCGTTCCTGAGCATTATTTGTGCCCGATCATTTCCTAAGTCAAGTCAGTTTTCCGGAGGTGTCCATAAAAAGGTTTGATGAAGGTTTCAAGGACCTACCATTAGACCAGAAAGGCAGGAAATCGGTAATAAAGACGCCCAGGTTGTTAAGAGGCACTGGAAAACCAAGAAGTCCCGCAAGAGTGGGTGCAATATCTGACTGCTCAATCTTGGTGTAGTAGTCAAAGTCTTCCTTCGGCTCTGTGGGGCACGGTAGCCCCTTGGAGATCTTCTTGAGCTTCGGAGACATGAAGACGAGGGCCGGAGAGGTCTCGCCAGGGGCTGAGCCACCGTGGTTGCCGCCGTCGTTCATGCCATGATCTCCGCACAAGACGAACAGGGTATTCTTCAGGTGCTTCTGTGTCTCAATTGCTTGGTAGATTTCCTTGACAATGCCATCCATTTCCGCTTGCTTTGGGATCATGTTGGGACTGAAGGCATGTCAGTTGCAGTCATAACAATGTAATTGAACTCGTCCCTTACCCCAATGGCCCAGTCTTGTGGCCGATATGATCCAGCCCAAGGTAATGCATGATCATGGCGTTCCAGTCACTCGCTTGCAGCTCATCGGGGACATGCCTCGTCACGTTGTTGTCGACTTCGGTAAAGTCCTGCCATCCAATGCTCAGCTCTATTGACCTTATATACATTTCACAGATATCACTAACCGAAACAAAGAAACTGGACGTGCCATCCGCGCGGGCAAATGTCTCCGGGAACAGCTTCAACCAAGTGTCATCGCCATACATGACAAGCTTTCCATCCTTCTTGGCCTTGAGCTGCGCAAGCCACGTGTCTTGGGACGCCAGGGTCGAGGTAGAGTCGGACTCGGCGAAGTTCAGGATCACGTCGAGGAAGGATGGGATGGAGCCGGTCGTAATGGCCTTCACGCGAGGCATGGTAATGGTCGGGGAGGTTGCATGGGCGGTGAATGGGAGAGCCGCGCCCGACGATATCAAACTGCAAGCATGTCAGGAGGCTTCTCAATAGTAAAAGGGAAGAAGAAGACGTACCCTTGGGTGAACTCGAAGCCGGAGCTGTTCGAGAAGACAAAGTCACTGTCGCCGTTAGCAAAGGCGCAATGCCAATGGGTCCTCTGACATACCTCCTCAGCGCGTCCACGACCATAAAGACAACCTTGTCGAAAGGAGCCTCGGGCGGCGCTCCAGACTCCAGGGTCTCATACTCGGCGAGACCAGGAATGAAGGGCTTGTAGGGGAAGAAGCCGACTGCGAAGGTCAACACCGCGATGGGTATGAGGACATTGGCAGCAGCAAGAAGCCACTTCTGAGATTGAGAGGGCATGCTGAGCGGTACTCAACGCATGCGCTGCTCGTCTGGTTCCTGGTAGGCGGTCAGTGGGGAAATCGCAATAGAAGTCCGCTGGCGATCGGCGCTTCGGCGGCTCGGCGATTCGGCCGACAACGTCACCCAGGCACCGCTCGAGCTTCACCATCCTCTGCGTTCCTACTTCTCACAATGATGTCCAGCATCTACCAAGGCTAGCTAGTCGTATACTATGAGTCATAATCGTGTGTATGTGCGGTCGAAGAGGCTAAGCCTATGCTGAAGGGCATACCTACTGTTCTCCGAATAAGGAAAGGCGGCGGCGCAGGCGGTGTGGTGGCGGTGAGAGGAGGCTGAAGGAGGTGTCGGTAGGTCGTCTTTCTCAAAAGGCTTCACTTAGATGGCGAAACATGAAGAGGTTATGAAGTCAAGTTTCTGAACCGTGGAGGGCTAAAATTTGATTATCCATTTGGTGAGAGAAACGGATGCGGTCATGTGAATTTGAGGCTGTAGTATATGCTGTTCAAGTACTAAATTCTTTGGGAGCGAGAGTTGATCTAACCGTTCAGGCTATGCAATTACACAACACTGAGAGTAGGCTATACAGATACAAGCGTATATCGTATACAAGGTACGGTGAACAAGTGGTGGTGTAAATTTATGGTTGGCGAGAAGGAATTAACAAATATATAAAAATTTATATAATCAAGCAACAAACCAACTCGGGCAGGTATAGTTTTTGGTACAAGATTACGCCGGCTGTTCGAAGAGTATCATGTGCTATGTCTTGTTCCACATGATCAATTTATCTCTCATCTCACTGGATGTACTGGCTCCGGAAGAGAGCTCAAGATCAGTGAACATTTACCTGTTCGAGATCAGACATGAAGAGTCTCACCATCCACCTCTAATACCCCAAAAGGCTAGCGCCGCGTAAGACAAGAGTCAAGCGGCTCAACTCATCACTCAGCGCTGAGTGAGATCACAAACGATGACGCCAAACAAGCCCATAATCTACAGCAAGCAAAACCGAGCAAGTAACCCGACGTCAGCCTTTGCAAATCTCTCACCCCAGCTACCCCAAACCAGCAAAACATGCGTGATTGCAATCCTGCGGCGTACCTCGGCCATGGCGCACAGGGGCACGAAGAAACGGCCCCCAAAGCCCGGCAAACCTCCCCCAACAGCCTGCGCACACCCTTACCTCGCTCGTATCAGGCCCCCCCAGAAACAAGAAGCCATCAGCCAAGACTAGCCGGGCAAGACGAGGCAATGCTCCCTCTCGGCCATGGCCGACGGGGACACGACGAACGATGTTGTTGAAATGAGAGTACGTGTGCGACGTCGCTAGGCCGCGTAGATCGATCTCGACCGCTGCAACGCGTGCAAGGAACCCCCCTCGAGGCCTCAAAACCCAAGACCCAAGCTCTTGGCCCTGCGAGCAGCCCCAGCAGCCCCAACAAACAATCCCCCCCCGCGTTTTGCGCCCCGGATCCGCGCCCCGCGCCGCCGCACGCTCCACCACTGCCAAACCAAACACCGAGCCAAACCCATTCCCCCGTCTCCATTGTTGTTGTGATTCTGCGCACGCGCAAGCAGAGCGGCACAGCACAGCACAGCACCCCATGCACGCACGCATGCGGCGCTCGTGTCCGCTCGCCCCCGAAATTAGAAGTACCGAGATTCAGATGCGTACGGCCCAGCCCAGCCCAGCCTGCGCCGGGATGGATGCGGGAGCAGGCCGCGTGGGGGTGGGGTACTGCACTGCACCCCAGGCCGCCCGCACCCAACGCACGTACGTACGTACATGCTTGACACACGCGCTGCCAGTGGTGGTGCGGTGGTGGTCCCGTGAGCGAGAGGGCAGCCGCAACCCAAGGAAGAAAGGAAAGAGGGGTCAGCGGCACCAACGAGCGAATGAACGAGCCCGCGGGCCCGGTGGGTACGGTACATACATAACACCAGCAGCTGCTGAACTGTCTGTCGTGCCGCGTGCGTTGCCTTGTGCGCCTTTGAACATCACTTCCCTTGCCTTTCCCCCCAATTGAACCAACTAAACCAACTAAAACCCCGCCATCGATCTTCACCTTCTTATTCTTACCCTTTCTTTCTTCTTTTCCCGACTCCCTGTGCCACCACTTACTGCCCTGCTGCACTTTACGTACAGACGCCAATATGCGTGCCGCCAGGTACTACGGCAAGGAAGACATCCGCATCGAGCAGGTCCCCGAGGAACCGACGGGGCCTGGCCAGGTGAAGGTGCGTCGGTTTCTTCTGCGCGCGCGCACTCTCACACCACCCCATTGCATTGCGCCCTTGGGCTGGTAGCGCAAGCAAGCAGGCAGGCAGGCAGGCAAACAGCCAACCAACCAGCCAGCCATTCATCCGCGCACTCGGCACATCTCCAGCCCCGGCTGACGCATGCACGGCACCTCCAGATCGCACCCGCGTACGTGGGCATCTGCGGCACCGACCTCCACGAATTTACCGCAGGAGCATGCTTTGCGCCCGCCAAAGAGCCACACCCCATCACCGGCGAGACGGTGCCCATCACGCTGGGGCACGAGTTCTCGGGCGTCATCAGTGAGGTGGGGGAAGGTGTGGCGGGCCTGCGCCAGGGCCAAAAGGTGCGTACCTACTTAGGCAAAGCTGGAGGCCTCCGACTTCTCCCGACTACCCCCACATGCCCATGTCGGGCGCGGCTGCTTGTGGTGGTTTGCTGATGAGTCGCCTTTTCTGGGGGGCGCGCGCGTTTAGGTCGTCGTACAGCCTACGCTAGCGTGTGGCGTCTGCGGTGCCTGCAAGGTCGGCGTCCAGACGGCCTGCTACAACGGCGGCTTTATCGGCCTGTCTGGCGGCGGCGGCGGGCTCAGCGATGCGGTTGTCGTGCCGGCCCACGCCGTCGTCGAGTTGCCAGACAGCGTGCCGCTGGACATTGGCGCGCTCGTCGAGCCGCTGGCTGTGGCATGGCATGCTGTAGCTGCGGTCGATATCCGCGCGGAGAACACGGTGCTGGTGCTTGGTGGTGGCCCGATTGGCCTCGCTGTTGTGCAGTGCTTGAGTGCGATGAAGGTGAAGAAGATTATCGTGAGTGAGATCGCGGCGAGCAGGCAGAGGTTTGCGAGAGATTTTGGAGCCCATCACGTCATGTGTCCGCAGACGTATAATATGGCGGTAATGAGCAAGGAGCTGAGTGGCGGAGACGGACCAGATTATGTGTTTGACTGTGCTGGTGTGCCGGCAAGGTGAGCTTGCTCGTGGTTCCGTTTGGTGTTTTTGTTCTATCGACCTTTCTCTGAGTTGGTTTAGAAAAGAGTGGGAAAGGAAATAAAAGAAAGAGGAGAGAGTAGTGGAAGAGGAAACAAGCGAGAGATATATGCGTTTATATCCTAGGCTAACATTCATCAGCCTCAAGACCGCCTGCCAAGCCGTAAAAGCCCGCGGCACAGTCGTCAACGTCGCCATCTGGGACAAGGAAGTCCCCTTCCAGCCGAACCTTCTCGTCTTCAAAGAAGCGAACTACACCGCCGTACTCGGCTACGACCGCAAGGACTTTGAAGCAGTGATCCAAAATCTGGACAAAGGTAGGGCACAAATTCCGCTTCCCACTGTCTTGCAGACACGTCCGGCATCTACGAGAGCCTTTTTCGTTTTTTTCTTTTCTTTTTTGGCCAATCGATCAGTCTTGGTGAACTAATACTCAACCCTGCATTTTCAGGAACGCTGAAGCCCAGACGCATGATCACGCGCCGTATCCAGCTAGAAGATCTTGTCGAGGAGGGCTTCATGCCTCTCATCAAGGAGAAAGACAGGAATGTCAAGATCCTGGTGGAAATGGCGCCGTACCTCGAGCGGAGGGACTCCACGCGTTAGTGCGAATGGTGCTATAGGTACTGGCGTTTCTAAATTCCTGTGTGTATATATCAGTTTCCATGTGCATGGTTTAATACGATGTTGTGTACGGATCAGTCTCTTGCTGTACTGGTGACGTTTCTGGATCGCATCTTGACGAAGAGCCTTGATACCCGTACGGAGTACTACGGGCAAGGGGGAGACATTGTCATCCATACCCCTACGGTGAGTGATGTTTTTTAGAAGCGAAGGCGTGTCAAGTCGCTCCGAATTCAAGTATTATCCCACTTATAGGAGGATTTACGAATGCATAGGGTACCTTTGGAACGCTCCCTCTGGATCGCTTCGTAGGTAGGTACGGAGGCTGCTCTTGTGGGTACCAGTATGGCTTATAAGAAGCAGTATGACCCATAAGGAGCAGCGGTACCTTAAAAACGCTCCCTACAAATTACTCCGTAGGTAGATGCAGAGGCCGCACTCGCAGTTCGACGCGTTGCTCGCGAAGGACACGCAAATAATATCAATATCTGCCCCTCCGACTGTCGTCATACAGCTAGTTGCCGGATTTCGCTCAACGGTCAACAGTGTTGATAGGTTGTCCGGTCGGCCTTCGACAGCTACATTCCTAGTACGTTTTAGCATGACGAATTTTGCATACAGCGTGAGCATTAGCAGCAACCCGAGCACCGCACGATACAAACCCATCGCCCCCGGTCGCAGGTGTTCGTCCGTCTGTACAACGTCGTCAGTCGCAGGGACCAAGACCATCTCATCAAGCTGCAGCACAACAAACAAGCAACCCCACCGTGCCATGCCCTCCATCCCCACGCGTTTGATGAACGCTCTCGCACCCTGCCCGTTGCCTGCAACACGCAGCCGCCAAACACCCACGGCAAGCACGCGCGCACACAGTGGCCCCTCGCAGATCGCACGGTACGATCCCCTTCCGTTGACGCAACCCGCGGCCCGCCCGCCCACCGCAAAAAACCCACCCACCGCAAACTGCATGGGTGCGAACAAGAAGGAAACCTGAACATCCAGCATCTATCGGGCAGGCTGCCGTTAGTAGTGGAGCAGCGCCACAGGGCCTACGCAGCGAGCGCACGCGTTCATTCGCTGCTTATGCCAGTAGCAGCAGTAGTGTGCGCCCGCCGTTGATGAGTGTCCCCGTTGCCCGTGGCTGTGTCCGGCCCTGTGTTGTCATGGTGGAGATCCCGGTGGGCCCAAAGAGGGAATGACGTTGGTGTTGGTCGGCGCGCGGGCGGCTGCATTCTTAACGGCGTGCCGTCCTCGCTCTCCTCGAAGAACAACAACACCTGCACTTCATCACTCACTGCATGCAGTTATACTAGTATTGCACCGGTAGGGAACAAAAAAATTTTCTTTCCTTTTCTCGTTTTCGCTGTTCGTTATTGTTACTTGCACGCTTTGTTTGTTGTTGGTGCTTTGGGCGCGGTCGCTCGCTTCACGGCTCGTTGCGCCACGCTGCCCGCGCGCCCGGCACTCCCGTCAGGCGCCCCGGCCCGGATCTGCCCGGAAAGGAAATCTTCTCTTATCTTGCGCGCCCTCTGCCTGCCTTTTCCTTCTGGGTGAAGTTGTGCCTTTTGACAGCTGTCTCGCTGGCACGTTGTGACTCGCAGCAGGTAAGTTGACGAAATCTCATTCAAGGCTTTTCATGGTAGCTGTTCTCTACAACTTTCATTCAATATCACTTCCAAACGTCGAAGCTTCCTTTCCGTTTCATCATCTTCTTATCCCCTCAAGTCACACCACCGACCACTCAGCCAAAACCCATCTAAAACAAAAGCAAGTCAAGTCACTATTGCAATCACAAGTTTCAAGAGCGAAATGTTAATGAAAAACAAGCATTCTTGATATCTATAGGTATTTCGACATTCACCTCGACAGATTCCATCCTTGCAGGCTTTCCTTCCAACTAGTCATCAGAAGTCATGCGTTATGGGTATAAAAGGAGCGTAAAGAGTTTTGGAGGAAATCGTTACTCCAGCTGCGACCTTCGAGGCTGCAGATATACATCCCGGCCAGTCTATGGTATCATTGGAAAAAGCTGGAAAACAATAAAGAGCAAGGAAATTAGAAGATCAAAAAACTCCGGTGATGTGTATCTGAACCCAGTGAAGGGGTAGATGGCATCAAATGCAACAAAGCATTGCTGGAATGGGGGTATGGAGCGGGTAAAGCCGCTATGGTGAAGAATTAGACGCAAAGTCTGCTCCTAACCCATCATGGCGCCCTCGCTGGTGGCGAGCTCGGCCTCCTTTTCGCCCTGAGTAGCCTTGGTCTGGCCGGCCTCTTCGTCATCGCTGGAGAAGCCGTACTCTCTAGACTTGGACTCAATCTCCTCGTCGGAGAGGAAAGGCAGCTGCTGGGCAGCGTGGACGGGAGACATGCCCTCGACGTTGGCCTTGGCGAAGATGATGTCAATCTCCTCGAGGGACCGCATGCGAGTCTCGGGGTAGAAGAAGTAGATGACCGGGACGAAGCAGCCGTTGACGACGGCGAAGAACAGGTAAGTTCCCCACTTGATGTTGTCAAGCATGACCGGAGTGACCATGACAATGAGGAAGTTGAAGAGCCAGTTCGTAATGGTCGAGACGGCGTTCGCCTTGGCACGAGTCTTGAGCGGGTTGACTTCCGCTGGGTAAAGCCACGGAAGAGGCAGCCACGTCGCACCGAAGAAGGCGATGTAGGTGAAGAGACCAACAGCGGAACCCTTCGCAGCACTCTGGGTACCAGGAATCAAGCAGGCGAAAACGAGAACCATGGAAAGGCACTGGCCAATACTGCCAGTGAGGAAGAGCTTGCGACGACCGGTGCGCTCAATCAGGAACCAAGAGGTGGTCGCGAAGATGGAGTACACAATCATGTTGACACCACCAAGGAGCAGAGAGAAGTCCTGGGACTCGCCGATCGAGTCGTGGAATAGAATCGGGAAGTAGTAGATGACGGCGTTGCAGCCACCAATCTGCTGGAAGAGCTGGGCAGAGGAACCGATCATCATGCGGCGGAAGTGCTGCGTCTTGCCGTTGGTGAAGAGAGCGCTGTACGGGGTGTTGCCACCGGCGTGGCCGGCAACGCGGATGCTGTCCATGATGATGGCGCCCTGGAGCTTGGTCTCCTCGTCATCGACAGTGAGGCCACGGAGAGCGGCGATGACATTCATACCATCCTCATGACGGTCCTTGGTGAGAAGCCAGCGAGGCGACTCGGGAAGGAAGCACATGAAGATGACGACGATGAGACCGAAGAAGACCTGGAAAGCGATGGGGAAACGCCAAGACAGGTCCTGGTTGCCGTAAGAGCAGCCATAGTCGATCCAGTAGGCGATCATGGTACCGAAGGCGATGATACCACCCTCGATGCAGATCAGCAGACCACGGTTGTTGGACTTGGAGCATTCGGCCTGGTAGGTCGGGATGGTCGAAGTGTTCATGCCGTTGCCAACACCAGTAATCGTACGACCGATGATGAACTGGGCCATGGCGTGGGAGCCGTCGTAGCAAGTAACCTGGATCAAGACGCCGATGATCATGATAACACCACCGGCAATGATGCCCTTTCTGCGACCAAGGGCATCGCCGTACATGAGCATGAAGATGGCACCGAGGAGACAGCCGACTTCATAGATGGCCGTAACGAAACCCTGATACGTCTTGTCGTCCTTGGTCTGGGGGAAGTAGGCGTTGAACTTGTCGGCACTGATGATACCGGACATGACACCCTGGTCGTAACCGAAAACTGGAAGATGGTCAGCCTTGTTGTTCCTGTACGACACTACATCCCCGGAGACGACTTACGGAGGAAACCAGTGGTGGCGACGATGGACACAGCCAGGGACAGAGGCTTGCCCTTCAGGCCCATGAAGGTGGGATGCTTGCCATTTCCAGCAGCATCTGGGTGACTCGGCGACACGTTGAGGGTGCCCCGGTACTCGGTGTTGCTCTTCTCAGCGCCGGTGAACATGGTGGTTGATGTGCGACGGCGGACAGGAAGAGAGGGATAGGCGCGCGGAACTCAAGATATAAAGCAAAGTCTCTCTCTTGGACAGAGGACGGGCGCGGTGTCGAATGGAAATCTGGGGGAGGGCAGATGCTTTATCTTGTTGCGCATGCTGGGTGGAGGGCCAGGGTCGCGGCTCTCTAGCGCAACGGCGTCTGCAGAGACTGCGTGCTGGATGCAACATCGGTGACTAGTTCCGGTCAGGTCGTGGGAGCGGAGGACGTCACTGGCCGGGGCAGGGCGCCCGGACGGGTTAGGGAAGGAGAGCACAGGTGGGGACTCTAGTTGCTGGCCTTAGCAGCGGAGTGGACCCTGCAGCGCCTCTCCACGGAACAGCTGGGGCGGGATGGGCTGGGGATCTGCACGCCCTCGCCGCCCGACGCGCTTGCACTTGGCCTTGGCAACTCGGCTAACTTACCCATGACCGCTGCATGCCGCCGCGGTCAAAGATTTTCCGACGCCGCCAGCCAGCCCTGCTCTGCCATGACGTAGGGTGGGCCCGGCGCAAACCGGGTGCGCGCGATCCTCTGCCCCCTCCGCCCGCACTCGAGTGGAAGGCCTTGGCCCACTTATGGCTCCAGTTAACACGCTGCCGATGACGAGCGCCGCGCTGTTTGCATTGCCCATTCGGGCTCTCCGCCCGCACACCTCCCCGCGAAGAGGGGGTGGGAACGAGCGCGGAGAGAGTTGTGTTTGAGCTTCTCGGTCCAACCTCGCACACTCAAATCCCCATCCCTTTCCCCAGCCCGTGCCGCGTGCGCTCACCGACACCCAGCCGCCACCACCACCACCGCCCTCCACACACTCGCGTGCTGGCTGCTCCAGCTTCCACGTATCGCTTACCCCTCGACACCCTGCGCCTGGCGCCCCCGGCTTGTTGGGGTGAAGCATAGTAGTGGATCCTCTTAAGCCCCGGAGCATCAAGGATCCTATTGCCAAGTCGCGACTGCCTCTCCACGTCCCCACAGATATCTCGCGATCCCGTGCCTGCACGTGAAGCGACCTCTCTGACCGCCCATCCTAACGGGCAAGCCGTTGCAAACAGTTTGCTCTTCGCAGACGAAAAACCTTGCTCGCCGGCTCCCGAGAGTCGGGCCGACGCGGCGCCGTCACGTTGTTGGCCAGCAACCCATCGTCATCTGCCAGCATTTTAGCAACCCACGACGCTTTTTTCCAAAGACGCACATGCCGCCGAAAGTTTTTCTGGCCACGAAAAATATCCGTTTGCTCCCGTTTCATCTTGGATATGCACTCTCCGGCGCATAGGCCCAAACTGTCCGCCTTCGCGTTGCCTCGGCGTCAGTGGCTGGGCGGAATCCCTGCCCTACCCATGCCCGAGTCAGCGAGGCCGCCTTCGGACATGGGGGCGAGGTCGTATGAGTAACGCGTTGCGACGGTGAGTTGGCCAATCGACACATCCGGGATGCAAACGGAAAGAAGACCTTTCGTCCGAGCGTGATTATGACTGCATCATACTATGCTTCGGTAGTTGAGCTCTTGTCCTGACTATTGGCGGGAAATCGTATGTTTGCTGCGGAAGCGAAGGATGGTGATGGACGCGGCTGGCGGCAATGCCAAAAAAAATTTCTTTCTGGGCGTTCTCTGGGCGCTGGCGGGAGGCACCGAAGGGCTGAAGCTTCCGTCACGAGCTGGAAACCTAGTTCCGTTAATTTCAAACTCCAACGTCCAACTGAGCCTCACCAACTGCGTAGCGTGCCATGATGGCGCTGGGACTTCTGGCTCGACGGCGGCCATAGCGACGCCCGTTTTCGTCGGTGAGCCCAGCTACCTATATACTACTCCCCAGACAGACTACGACGATGATCTCACGTCAAGAAGCTTTTCCCCGGGTACGCTACATCGATGATCATAAAGGCTAAAGAAGTCAATTGGATGAAATGCTCCGATGATCGTGAACACCTGTACAGCCGTGAAGCAAGCTATCCACCACCAGCGCGGCAACCTAATGCACGCGACGAAGCAGTGGTAGCAGATCATCTTGGATCGTTGACCACATCCCCATGTCCACCCTCACCCAGCACCTTCCCTCTCCGAGGACCCGTCCAAAGGGACCCTGGCCGTGATGCTGCGGTGAAGACTCCGCATAACCTTCCCCAGATTCGCTCCCAGCAGCGCCGCCAGCCGCCAGCCTTGGGTGACCGCCCATGTTCCGCTGTGCCCTCGGTTGTTTCGGTTGCGGTGCCCATCTTTGCCGTCTTGACTAGTAGGCCAGCTGCTCCTCGCTCTTCTTTACCTCCGGCGGTTTGTTCTTTGCGAATGCTTGCACCCGGCTGCCAATGGCCTGCATGTCCGGGTCGACTGCCTCCCCTCCCTCGCCCGGCGCCTTGGCGACGTACTTGGCAACCGTTTCCAAGAGTTGCCGCTCACCTTGCTCGTTCCGCTCCGCCTGCCACGCCGCGTACTCGTTCCACCACCACCGGTGCGTCTCGCCGTCCCTGCCCAGGTAGCCCGCCGTCCCGTCAGGCCCGATCCGCGCCGCCCATGGCTTGTCCACTATGTAGTGCAAGCACACCACCTCGTCGTCGTGCCACATGTCCGGGTGCCAGTACCGCATCGTCTTCAACGCGTTGTACTGCCAGCCAACGCTCTGCCAGCGGCCGCGGAAAAACTCTGCTAGGAAATCCTGGTCCGGGAACTTGAATTCGGCAAGCTTGGACGTCGTGTTGAAGAGCTCCAGCATCCGATCCCACAGTTGCTGGCTGGGCGCAAACAAAAACATACCCGAGTTGAGGAGGTGGTACGTTGGACGAGAATCCGGGGTAACCGGGGTCGGCTCCGCCATCGGGTGCGACACGGGCGTGAAGGCGCAGTTCTCTGTCGTCCAGTTCGCCGGCGCCCAAGGATCCTTGTCCCTGTTGCAGACGCACGCGTGGTTAGCGGCGAGCCAGTCGTCGCCGCGGAGCCGCACGTCGAAGATTTCGTCCATGTTGCGGTTACATATCATCATGTCGGCGTCGAGATAGCAGACGCGCTCGTAGCGTCTGAGCGCCTCATGTTCGAATACGCGCAGCTTCGTCCAAGTGTCGCCGAACCGCTCCGCGATCAAGTGCACTTTAACGTTGGCGCGAGGCACGAGCGCGCTCGTGCGCGCCAAGATCAGGTTGCTGTGGGGTGCTTCGGCGCGCAGCGCGGCCAAGGAGGCCGCGGGGACGTTGTCCGTGTAGAACACCACGAGGGGATACGCGGAACCAAGCTTCTTCAGCGTGTAGGCGAGGAGGATGACGCCGGCGAGGTAAGACGACCGCGTTATCAGCGTCGTGTACGCGCAACTCTGCTTTTGGCGGGCCATGTCGTCAGGCGGCTCTTCAAGAGACTGGGTGAAGTTCCTTCAAGGTGGGTGATATTCCTCCAAGATGGGCGATCATTCGCCAAGAAGGTCGCAGTTGCCTCAAGAGGAATTGGTTGTCAGTAGAGCACTGGAGGTGAACAAGCCGGTGGTTCCGGCTGGAAGGAGAAGTGGGCTTATAGGTATAGTTTCCCCAAGAGCAATTTTGTCTAAGTATCGGCGAGCCATGGTGAGTGTTTGCCAAAGCCACAATTACTCAAAGATACTTCATATGCGTCATAGATACGGTATGTGGGCTTTTTAGGTTTGGGGAAGGACATGCTGTGGAAAACGGCAAAATCAAATCTGCAATTGCGCAGCGGAAAGTGAGTGGAAACGTTGGAATAAAGCAGCAGAAGGTTACGCAGACTGTCCGCATAGGCCGAGCGATGTCGCGATGGTGGCATGATTGGAGCTGTCCCGCTGACCATAGACGGCACGTGATGGTCATTTGACGAACTTGATGCCTCAGGCACATATTTTCTACAAGGTCAATCGTACGTCCTCAACCTTACAGATTAGGCACTCAAGTCTACACATAATGTATGGCAGATGTATTTTCAATTGTATACACTTCAAGATAACACAACAAACACTAAATGCTACTTTCCATTTGTCTCACCAAGCAATTGCGCCTTTGCGGATTCAATTGAAATCATCTGTATATCTATCAAACACTCCTACTCCTACCTACAGCGACAAACAGCCCTTGGAACCAATGATGAGGCAGACAAACGAAACCCCACCTCACACCCAAGCCCTAACAATCCCTGCACATCAAACTATCGAAACTCCAACTCACGACACTCACCGAGAAAGCAACCCCCGAAAGCAAAGCCCATCAAAGACCAACATTGACAGGCAACAACAACGCACACGAGAACGGGCCTCCGTCCAAGGCGCCGACGCCCCTCGGCAAAAAAACAAGCATACAGCATCTGCCAAGGCAGCGCGGCCCCCAAGCGCACCCAGCCGTAAAGCACGTCCGCCTCTACGACTCTACGTCCGTATTACGCTCGCTTGAGATATTTTTGGCCCCGCTGGAGCCTGGCGGCGGCGTGCAGCTTCCGTAACCCCGCCGATCTCACTACCCCGTGCTTTCTCATGTCCGAGATGCTCCCCACCCCCAGCCAAAAACAAGTCTGGGGCACCGCAATTTGCTATCCCGACGATGACGCCGTCGATGCCAATGTCCTTTTCTTGCTACCCGTCCTCCTCGACCCGAAATTTCGATCGTGGGTTTACCCTCCCTCCCTTGCGCGAATTATTTGCTGATTGCTGACGCCGCTGCTGTCTAGTTAGTCTCACCTCGTCGGCTAGTTAGGTGCTGATCGAACTTCGGCTGGAGATCCGTGTGTCCCAACAACACACCACGGCACGGATGCCTCCTTGCCCTCATGACCGGCCGAGTCCGTTTTGGGGACTGTGCTTGCTCTGATGGTACCAGGTACCGGCTCGCTGCCCTTGTGGACACACATACGCGTTCCTGCAGCCGGTGGCGATCCAAAAAGCTAGCGAGTTTAACAGCCATGCTAAGACAAAACGGCGATCTTAGTTCTGGGTATCAGTGACAGCGACCGACCAACACCGCTATGGTACATTCTCCTTCCTCGGCAACGCCTTTCATTTTACACTGAGGAACCCTTGCCTTCGTCTTTGGCCATTGCTTTGCCCCAGGCAGCCTCAAACCCGGAATCCTTCTCTATGATACTTGCTTCACCACCCAATGGAGCTGGCTCCTCCACATACGTCCCAGCAGTGGTCGGCCTTGTCTCCGTACCCTTTCCCGTATCCTCGGGCGCCTCGTAGTCGAAATTGCTGCTGTACACGACGGCGGCAAAAGCTTCAAGGTCGCGCACGCTTTCCATAGCCTCGAGATATTCATTGTTGGTACCAGAGCCAATCGCATGGGCTTGGCGACAAAAGACCGCAAGAGTGTTCGCGATCTTGGTTTTTGCGGATTTGGGATCCGTGAGTTCAACGATACGAGCAGTCGATGCGGAGACAGGGGGCAACTTGAAGGACAACGTGGCAAGCTTGTTGTCGACAAGAACGGAGAAGGTAGAGTCCAGAAGGCGAGTGAGCACATGGGTGAAAGAAGGCGAATCGATAATATCGGACGTCTCATCCAGGAGACGGCGAAGAGGGGTGTTGGGAGCAAAGACCTCTGGAGTTTCGCCAGTTGTCATGCCGGATTCGGTCAGAACATAGGATTCCTGCCCAGCTGGGGGAAGGAGATAGGTCAACCACTTGGCCGACTTCCGCTCTTCCTCTGTTGCGCCCTCGACCTTCTTCCGCACTTCGAGAGTCAATTCCGACAATCTCTCCAAAGTGATCTCTTCCCGCGGGTTCAACGGCCCAAAGACTTCCTTCACGGCAGTGAGCACTCTCTCCATGACATCTTTATAGCCCCTGTGAAGCAGCCACCAGCTAAACGAGAGGTACCTGCGGTTTGTCTCAAAATCATTGCCATACGACTGCTCCATGTTATCGTCATCGTGGTTCTCGAGACTGATACGCGTGCCGTGTGCGGGTGATGAAGCAAGGGAGACAACGCTGGCTAGGTAGTTGCGACGGCCAAGGAGGTTGAGCTGGATGCGGGTCAAGAGGGTAAGTAGCGAAAGGGTGTAGAGTAGGGTAAAGGCTCGTGCGATGGCTGCAAAGAGTTAACGGCCATTTGAGGTTGTTTTGAGCAAGGTCGACACTCACAGTTGATCTTCATGTCATTCCACAGTTGTGCCTTGGTCTTTTTTGGCCGCGGGCGAGCCCCTTCGCCATTGGCACCAAGGCCCTCTCCGATCTGGCTTGCATGAACGTAACTCTCACTTTGGAAGCTCTTCAAGCTCCGGCCATCGTCTTCATTGGCACTTGGCGATTCCGACGGGGCATCGGTAGGTGCAACGTCAGAGGGTGCGACGCTGCGAGACAGGCGCTCGCTCTTCTGCTTCTGCAACTCGTCCAGGGTCTCTTCGACCAGCAGAGCTTGCACGATGTTGTCGGTGGCGGTGGGGAGGATGGCGAGGACGGTGAAGGTGCAGTCTTCCTGGTTCTGCTCGAAACGGCGGCGCAGGCTGCAGTCAGCAAGTCAGCAAAGGAGGACCAAGGGCAGCGGGTCAGCGGGTAGTAGATACTTTTCTCTAGAGATGCGCTCGTCGCTCATGCGCTGACGGGCTTCGGTGAGCTTGGCGAGGATGTACTGGCCGGCGAGATAGCCAGCACCGAGGACGCCAGCGCCGATGGCGAGGCCTGCGCGGTTGCGCCGAAACCAGCGGCGCGTAGCTGATATCATAGCTAGTGGTGGTTGCGCGCGTGGTGCGCGAAGTCTACATGTCAAGTGATGAGGGAAGTGTCTCGGACAGGCGATGACCGAGGCCTGGGCTGTGCGGCCTGTCAGCTGAAGATTCCAGCCGGAGCCCCGCGTCGTCGCAAAGAAGGGCCTTCCGGCAACCCCACCGTACCGTCATCGTCCACCCAACCCTCCACACCCCCGAACCAAAGCCACAGTCTCTACCCACTCTGTTTGATCGCTACAAGGCTCTCCGCACCCTCGGCTGTTGCATGCACACGCCAACATGGACCAACGACGACCTCCCGAGTATGTGCTGGAGGTCTTCGCCGACCCGGCCTGCGTCAAGGACATCGTCAAAGGTACTACACAGCCCCCTGGCACCCGACGCGCGCCGCTGTCCTGCCGTAGCCTGGCCTCACTGAACTCTGTTGTCTTCCAGCCATCCTGCACACCATCTTCTTCCATCGCTACTTCACCCCGGTCACGCCTCTCCACCGTGATCTCCTCGACCTAACCCTCCCCGCCATCGACGACGTTGATCTGGAGACCCTGATCGACCAGCGCGCCACGGCTCTGACGCGTGCCATCGAGACGGGCGTCGGCCACCAGCAGCGCGGCCGCGGCCAGCTGGCCGTCCAGTTCTTCGAGAAGCGCCGGCGCAAGTCATACTTCCCCTTTGGCACGCTGGGCAAGGGGCGTGGGGACGAGGAGATATGCTGGGAGATGTGGACGCTCGATGTGACGCTCGCAACGCCGCGGAATGAGACGGACGTCATCAAGGTCCGGCGCGCCATGGAAAAGAGCCTACACAAGACAGCCCTCAAGATTGTCAACATCGTCAATAGAGACAAAGACCATATCCCACCCATCACATCCACCGACACCAACCCTTTCCCTTACCAGATTCTGGTTAACCCCAAGACTGAGGGCTGGGGCCAGCGAATAGGCATATTCTAGACACATCACGTGTTCTGATTTGCTGGGCATCTGGAAGGCGTTTGGGCTAGGTGTATTATACGAGGCGTTGCATGGATGGAGTTGGGCGGCGACAATGGTTTCTTTGAGCTCGATGGCGGTCGACTTGGCTTTCGGTCTTATCGAGATACCCGAACAAGCATGGATACTCCCTTATATTCTGGTCTTCTGCCGTTGTAATTAAGTGCGCAGGTCCACCTTTTGACCCGTTGAACTAAATAAATGGTCGAAAGTTAGGTCTACTCGTGTGACAACGATGTCGCGAAGGATGCACTGAGGCTGTGCAAGCGGCCAGTGACCGTCTCACATTTCCGCCCCCACGATCACTAAGACGCAAAACCCAGTTCTAGCAAGGCGCAGTCCCTGGATTCCCCAGTAAGGCAATCTACAACACATCAGGCGCAGCCACAAGGGCGTTTGCGATCAGTGTCCTCCTTGCTTTGTAGTGGCGATTGTTTCCTCAAATGTCAAGCCCTACACTAAAGTGTACATTGTGACTGACAGACACGAGCCGATACCCGCATACATCATGCATCATGACCGAGGACAAGCCTCCATGAGGCCAGGATTTCAGGCCTGGGTTTGCCTAACATCACATTCTTTGATTCCTTTCGTGTCAGCATAGCCTTGTTCGCGCCATATAACCTTTCCTTGATTCCTCTCCGGTTTCAAACATTCAATTTCCAGTCGGAAGGAAGAAAACCCAACAGTGCCTCGCCTGTTTCAGCCTCACAATCGACTATATCTGCAGTGGTTGCCCATTCAACTACGCAAACACAAAAATCTCAAAAAAAAAAAAAAAAAAAAAAAAAAAAAAAATCATATCTGAAATCAACAACTACCGCCACCGCATGACCACAACGACAAGAAGAACAACACCAAACACGACCAAAATGCTCTCGTTCAGCGGCCGCCAACTCTCCAACATTCTCTTCTTCCTGCTAGCACAAGCAACCTTCACAACCGCACAATCCTCCTCAACCTTCGACTCCTCCTCCTTCGACAAAGCCTTCAACGACAACGCCCAAACAATCAAAAACGGGCAAAAGACCGTAAACGCAGGCATGATCGCGGGGGTCGTGATCGCGTGCGTCGTCGGGGTCGGGATCGTCGGCGGAGGCATCTTCTGGCTCATCATGGTCATGCGCACGCGCAAGCGCCAGGAGCAACAGCAGCGCGAGATCGCGGCCGCGACCGACCGCATCGAGAAGCGCAAGATTGGCGACAACAGCGCCGCGGATGTCGAGGCCGGCGTCTATCACCCTGCTGCCGGTTATGGCGATGGTGGCTCCGGACGTGTGGTTGAGGCCGATGGTGCTCAGAGGTTTGAGGCTTATAGGCATAGCATGCCGTTTGAGATGGATGGTGGGCATGTTTTTGAGGCGGATGGGAGGCAAAGGTCTTCGGAGTTGCCGTAGAGAAGGCGAGGTATGAGGGTTGATGTGGGGGGGACTTGAGAGGGTGGGTTGGGGCGTTTAAGCTTATTGTTTGTATATTAGTGAGCTTTGTCTCTCCAGGGTGTGGCATGGCCCTTGTACAGTATGGATCACGATAGGATACCCCGAGGAAGATTAGACAGAGGCACATCGATTGTAACTATATTTGTTCAATGGCTCTGCAGGTCATATCTGTTCGTTTACTTTGAAGTCACTGTAGATTTATAGCGTGTTAGAGACAAACACCAGAAGACAATCATTTTGAACAGAAGGTGTGTTGGCTACTGTTAAGTTTGGAGCGGCTTGACTTTTAAACCGGAGATATTTTGCAATTGATATAAGGTCGGATAATTTGCCCATTCCTCCAGATATTTTGCCAGCCCTACATGATAATATAGCTATAAGAATATAGGAATCACCTTCTACTCTTAAGTACTTATATCCTTATATCCTGATACATACTTTTTATCCTCTTTAATTTTCTTAATTTTCGTACCCTTGCAAAATACTCTATTACCTTGTACATTTGTGCCTTCGTATATATTTAAATACTATCGTATATAGGACTTATTACCTTTATTAATTTACCTAGCGACTACTGGCCACAGTATAATAGTTTATTACAACAACCTGAAGAGTACTCCGTAGGTACGGCGAATTTTACTCAATATATAATTAAAAGATCGACGAAATATCCGGAACATCGATAATACTAAGTTATTTCGTAGGTGCATTTTACGCGCGGTCGAACTTTTTGACATTCTTTACCATAAGTGCAGTACATATTTGTCACTGTAACCGAGCCATGGGTTTATAGTGAATATGGTATACAGTAACTTATTATATATTGGTACTTGTCCAATTCACAATTCGCACTTATTCCGTGCGTCCAGGTATGCCCATGACTGCATATTAAAAGAGAATCTGCCTGAGTCGGCCTGCCCTAAAACATCAGACTCATAAATTCAGCATTGCGCAATAGCGGTGATTTACAAGTTGTTGATACAAACACATCTAAGTACAATGGCCCTGACAGACCATGATGCCACACAACATAAACATTATTCTTTTACTCCGTAAGAGCATCCATACCTAATACAGGGAAATCAGAATTCGGCAAAGCCTGCAAGAGCAAAGGTTGCGCCAAAAGACAGCTTCAAAGCGACGTTGTCCTGCATTGCCGAGCGCAGGTCCATCCTCTTGAAATATTTCTGGATGCTGTTGTACGGGATGATATGAATACCTCGCGATTCGATGAACTGTAATACGAGGTCAAAAGGTATGTCCGAAGAGAGGAACTTAAGAGCAGGGTACCTGTACGCCAAATACCAGCAGACCGATAAGCAACGCCAGTGGCTTGGAGAAGACGCTGACAGCCAGGCCGCCAACCAGACCTGGATAGAAACATGCGTTAGTAAACTTGCGCATGGTGACCGGCTGGCTTGACATTTCATCTCCGCTGATATGATCGCCCTAGCTCTTCTTGCCAAAGCCCAATTGAACCAAAAACGTACCCAGTATGCTGCCCGTGCTAATTTGTCGCCAGATCTTGGGATTTACCCTGCCGCGGGAGACCACCGGGTTGCGCGCATCGCGCTCGTACTGCGAGAAGGACCAGTCCTTGGGAGAAACAGGGGAAGAGGTGACGGAGTCGCAGAGCAATGGGCGGAGACCTTGCGGGCGGAGGAGGAGCGGGGTAGCGACCATGCAGGAGGCCGCGAGACCGATGGAAAAGGGACGAAGAAGCCGGAGAGACGCCATTGGGGATAGACAGGAGAAAAAGCCGCAGGAGGGTTACCGAATTGGAAAGTCGGCAGGTGGGTTGAAATGCAGGGAGACACGGCGAGCAGCGCGACGCGTCTATGTCATCATAGGGCTCAGTGGGCGCGACGGGCGGGCCTAAGCTCGGCGAGCATCGCATCTCGGGTCTTCGCGGCCGATAGCGGGGTTGATGGGCACTAAGCAAAGCGTACCGCGGAGTACCGTAACAGTCACGCCTCGAGCTAGAACTTTTTCGCCTCGACCCTTGGAGCTAAACCTGACTCACAGTTTCTCCAGACTGACTACTACTTTTCTCTCTCTCTCTCTCTCTCTCTACTCTCTTTCCCTCACTACACCCGTGCTATCTTTTGCCTCTTTCAATCGCTCCTCAACACCCCCACCACACACAATAATGGCCTCCGAGCTCCCCACCACCAACGGCCACGGCCCGCAAGACGGCGAGGCGAACAACTTCCAGGTCAAGGCTGGCCTGGCTCGCATGCTCAAGGGCGGCGTCATCATGGACGTTGTCAATGCCGAGCAGGTATGACACTTTGACTCACTTACTGAAGGCTAGTCTCCAAACTAACAACCCATTCCAGGCGCGCATCGCAGAGGAGGCCGGTGCCGCCGCCGTCATGGCTCTGGAGAGAGTGCCTGCCGATATCCGCGCCCAGGGTGGCGTTGCCCGCATGTCCGACCCCAAGATGATCAAGGAGATTATGGAGGCCGTGACGATTCCCGTCATGGCAAAGGCACGGATTGGCCACTTTGTTGAGTGCCAGGTGAGAAGCACCCGCGCCACCCATCCTCCCGTCACTAGTATCCAGCAGCACCTTGCTAACAAGCACGCCACCATCAGATCCTCGAGGCGATTGGTGTCGACTACATCGACGAGTCCGAGGTCCTCACCCCCGCCGACCACGTCCACCACGTCATCAAGAACAACTACAAGGTGCCGTTCGTGTGCGGCTGCCGCAACCTGGGCGAGGCGCTGCGTCGCATCAGCGAGGGCGCCGCCATGATCCGGACGAAGGGCGAGGCCGGCACCGGCGACGTTGTCGAGGCGGTCCGCCACATGCGCACCGTGAACGGGGAGATTGGACGCGCCGCCTCGATGAGCGAGGAGGAGCTGCGCGTGTACGCCAAGGAGATCGGTGCTCCCTTCGAGCTGCTACAGGAGACTGCCCGCCTGAAGAGGCTGCCCGTCGTCAACTTCGCGGCCGGCGGTGTCGCTACCCCCGCGGATGCTGCGCTTATGATGCAGCTGGGCTGTGATGGCGTCTTTGTCGGCTCTGGCATCTTCAAGTCGGGCGATGCTAAGAAGAGGGCGAAGGCCATCGTCCAGGCCGTCACCCACTTCCGTGACCCCAAGGTCCTGGCTGAGGTCAGCATGGATCTTGGTGAGGCCATGGTCGGCCTGAACGTGGAGAAGATGCCCGAGAGCCAGAGGCTGGCCCACCGCGGCTGGTAAGTTTTGAGAGTGGAAAGATGTGTCTCGCTGCATGTGAATGATGCAAAGCTTCGGAGTTCATATACCTGTATTCATGAGACCGTGCATGTAGGGAGTTCAGCGGGTACAAAAACAAATCGGATTTCTTTTTCTGTTACGAAGTTGCTCTTGTCTCTAGGGTATCGTGTACACGTCGAAGTGAATGAAGAAGAAAAAAGTAGGCCGGAATTGTGGACATGGTGTCGCCTTGATCCTCGTGGATTCCGAGCCGTAGTCGCAAACATAACCGCTCAACCGTTTCTCGTACAAGTATCGTCTTTCGCTCATCACACGAGCTCCTCCAGCAAACTCTCCAGATCCTCCCGCCGGAACGGCACCCACAGCCTCTCCACACCGCCCGCATCCTTCCGGCTCTCAATCATCTGGTGATCATGGAACTCCTTCAGTAGAGTCCGGAAGCTCATCTCATTGCTGCACACAAACTCCTCAACAGCCTTGTGGTACAGCACCCTGTACTCCACACCGACAGCAGGCACCTGAGCCGCCGCCTGCGCCGCAGCCTGCTTCCCGCGCTTTGACGGCGTAGTCGGCACATCCGAGAAGCCATCGGGAGCAGCGCCAGCACCAGAAGCCGCAAACACAGCAGCATCAGCATCGTCATCATCAGCCGTAGCAGCGAGCTGCTCAGCAACAAGGATACGAAACAAGCCGCGGGCATTCTCAGGCAAACTGCGCAAGACGAAGCCGACGCCATCGCGGCCAGCAACGCGGCGTCCGCTGCGGCCCAGCAGCTCGTTGAAGGCCTCGACGGCGTCGAGCTCGACAGGCGCGTACGGCGCGAACGTCGTGCAGTCGTGGAACAGCAGGCGCAGCTGCGAGCGCAGGCTCTGGTCCCAGAGGAGGGGGAAGATGGGCGAGTCGGCGGTCGCGACGAGGGAGATGCTGGGGTGTGCGGCGAGCTGCGCGAGCAGCGGCTGCGTGCCTGGGCGGCGCAGCGGCGGCGCGTCCATCGAGTTGATGACGAGGGTTAGGGGCTGCGTGGGGGGCTTGGTGCTCAGGCTCGTGAGGAGGAGGTTTAGGAGGAGGGGCGCCTGCGCGGGCAGCTTGAGGGAGCTGGGCACCAGGGTCGTGAGGATCGTGGTGAGGATGTCTTTGGCTGTTAGGGCGGGGTTGTAGCCGTTGATTATTATGATTTTGGGCGCGTTTTTGGGATTGGGAGATGCGGCGCTGTAGTGCTGGTATAGATGACTGGCAAAGTCTTCTGCTAGCCCACGTTTCGAGCCGTAGCCGTACAGACAGATGTTGAAGCCGTGCTCTAGCTCATAAGCCCACTGGTCAAAGGAGCGGGAGTGTAACGAAAGCAGGAATTCCTTGTCAGGGTCGTGCGGATCCTTGTATTTCTGCATTTGCGCAAAGTACTCGTCGTGGTTCAGAACCGAATGCGACGGCAACGTGTTGTTTGACGTCTTTGCACCCCCCGGCCGGTTTTGGTAAAAGTACTGCTCGTTTGGAGGGAGGTCCCCCGGGGGTGTAAGGCTGCGCTTCCGGTTTTTGCTGCCCTTTGGCCTTCCCCTCCCCCGCTTCGACGGTGTTTCCGGAACCGCAGGTTCATCGGCAAGAGTTGCGCCCTCGTCCTCTCCCAACTCATCCGCCTCGTCCTCATCCCATATCTGCCTGGCTAGTGCATTCTCCTCTTCCAAAGCCTCCTCGTCGTCGCTGGGATCGCCGTTGATCGTGCGCTCGAGCAAGCGTCTTGCGCTCTTTCGTCGGGCAGATCTATCGGCGTTCCGGACAATCGTAGGGGTCCCAGCCTCGGGTTCATCGTCGTGGTGCTTTGACGGGGTAGCGAACAGGACCCTGCGCTGTGAACGGGGCGTTTCAGGCCCGTTCGAGGCACCGTTCAGCTTTGCCCGATGCAGGTCCTTGGCCAGAGACTTGACGCCATTTTGCGCCCTCGACGGCGTCGTTGTGTCTTGGTCGTCGGCGTGGTCGTCGTGCGCAGGCGATGCGCGGCGTTTGCGTGGCGTCGTGGCATCCTCGTCGTCCCCAGCTCTTCTTCTCTTGACGCTAGGCATGCGAAGTGCAGAGGGCGGGCAGGAGGGTTGATGGGCGCACGGAGTCGAGCACAGGAGCTTCGGTATGTGATGCGCCGGGAGTAACAAATCTTCCACGCGTCGAGGCCGATAAGGTAAGCGGCGATAAGGGCGCTCCGTTGATCGGCGGCTGCTCGTGAATTTCTTGGGAGTCATCCATCCTCGCTCTCGTCTCTGCTTTGTTTTGGCAATCGTTTTGTGTCGGAGCTGTAGCTTCGTCCGCACAAGGTACCCCTCCTGCTCGTTGTGCCAATTGGGCCCTCGTCAGCACCCAGCTAAGCTATTACTCCGCTTCAGGGCCTCCTCCACCATGACGTCCGCCAGGCCTTCTCCCATTCAGCGCCTCGTGCCCACGATGAAGTCCTTCGTGCGGAACTACTCTGCCCCAGGCGAGGGCTCCATCCCTCCTGCCAAGGCAAAATACGTCCCCACCTCAGGCACCTACCCCAAGGGCTTCCTTGCCGCGAGCGCCCACGTAGGCGTCAAGGCCTCCAACACGCGTTTCGACGACCTCGCATTGATAGCCTCTGAGTCGCCGTGCGCGGGTGCTGCGGTCTTTACCAAAAACAAGTTCCAGGCTGCACCGGTCACGGTGAGCAGGGACATGCTTAAGAAAAGAGGGGGCAGCGGAATCAGGTCCGTCGTCGTCAATTCGGGCTGCGCAAACGCCGTGACCGGTAAGGGTGGCATTGAGGATGCCATTGCTATGGGCAAGAAGGCGGACGCGTGTTTTGCGGGGGCCAAGGATGGCGATGACAGCTCGAGCATTGTCATGAGCACGGGTGTTATTGGCCAGCGGTACGTGAACTCCAGTCATGGCTTCATTTCTCTCACCTATTGACCTCTCTCAGCCTTCCTATTCAGAAGATTCTTGACAAGATCCCCACCGCGCATCAGGGACTGGGCAACGCACACTCGAACTGGCTCGGCGCCGCCCGCGCCATCTGCACTACGGACACCTTCCCGAAGCTTCTCTCCCGGCAATTCACCCTCTCTTCCGCTCCTGGCACCACGTACTCGATAGCAGGCATGACCAAAGGCGCTGGCATGATTCATCCGAATATGGCCACTCTTCTTGGCATCATTTGCACTGACGCTCCAATTGCTCCATCGGCTCTTCAATCCCTACTTACCGCTGCTGTGACCAAATCCTTCAATTCCATTTCCGTCGATGGAGACACGAGCACGAACGACACTGTGGCCATTCTTGCCAACGGCGCGGCTGGGGGCCAGGAGATCACTTCCGCTTCCGGTGCCGCCTATGGTGAAATTGAGAACATCTTGACCAAGTTTGCCGCCGACCTCTCCCAGCTCGTGGTCCGTGACGGCGAAGGAGCGACCAAGTTTGTCACCATCCGTGTTACCAACGCTGCCACCTACGAGGACGCCAAGAAGGTTGCTTCCACGATTGCCCGTTCCCCGCTAGTCAAGACGGCTCTCTACGGCAAGGACGCCAACTGGGGCCGCATTCTGTGCGCTACGGGCTATGCCGACGGCGTGGATAGCGTTGTCCCTGAGCAGACGAGCGTCAGCTTCATCCCCACTGATGGCTCCGCGGAACTCAAGCTGCTGGTAAGGGGTGAGCCAGAAAAAGTAGATGAAGCTCGTGCTGCGCAGATCCTCGCCCCCGAGGATTTGGAGATTTTGGTTAGGTTGAGCGAGAAGCCTGGCGCGGAGGCCGTATACTGGACCTGCGACTTCAGCCACGAATATGTTACGATTAATGGCGACTATAGGACGTGAGGATGTGGAAAGAGAAAGGGGAGAGACTGTGACGAGCTAAGATAGCAATTTTTGATTTTCAGCGTCGCGTCTTTCCGCGACTCCCGCTGTGCGAGACTTGTTTGATGGCAGGTTGAGATGGATCGACCGGGCGTCGATGATGCCGAGGCCCGGACGGCTTTTAGCGGGCTCGTACGGCCGTGAAAAAAAGCGTCCAGACCTGTCAACAGAGGGCGAATATTGATTAGCATGGGGCTGTTTATACCTCTGTCAGCAGATGGCGTCTTTGACAAAGCTTGAGGGGACCTCCTGTCAATCGCGATATGGGTGACAGGTATATGCGGAGCCGACTATAGGTTGACACCGTTGGACGAGGCGGGAACAGCCGCCGTTGGTGGCGTCCGCGGGCTAATGTGATTGTCCGGAGACACAGCCGGATGGTTCGGCCCAGTAAGAGGCGGCGGAGCGGCGGGGATTCGCGTCGCCGCAAATCTCGACACAAAGGACAAGTTGATATTGTATCACGAACCTTTTTGGGGCAGAGGGGGGCCTCGCGTGTCACCAGGATGGGATCTAACGGAGCTTGATAGGTTAACTCGGACCCCACGAACACGCATGTTCGCGGCGTCCACGTTTGACGCCAGGCGGAAGCTGTGGGCCGGGACCAACGCAAGCTGACTCGGGCTAATAATGTAGGGGCTCGAGGAACAGGCAGGACACGACGCGATGATATATCGGGGGCCGAGAAAAGCCCCGTTTTCCACCTGCATGAATCGATCTTGTCACCGGCCCGCGTTCCGACGACGCTCAGGCGTGCGATCTGCTGTTCCGACAAAGCCTCAAAGCACGAATCGGAAGATGTTTCGACAAGCGACAGGCAGGCGAAATGACTCTCCGGTGAGCTTCATTCGTGGGCATCGTCGGTCGAGCCAGCAGACAAACCGCTCTGGGAGGATCCAATACTTTGTCGGGCCTCCAGATCTGCCTCGCGTTTGCCGTTGGGACCCCTTGGAAGAGCAGGCGCGACCCGGTACAGGCCACCGGTGACTCCTTCCCGTCGGGGGGAAGCGGGGTGGCGCGCTTTGGATGCGTTCTGGAGTCTGGACGCTAGTCAACTGCCTGCTTTTCCTGCGCCAGCCTGGTGGATTCCGAAGGTGTACGTGCGTGAGCCGCGCACTCTTTTCTGGAGAGCTTCCCGCAACCCTGATTTCCCGCCTGTTCTCCAGGCCTTCAGCCACATCGCAGCACCATGGACATCTCGCCGACCGACCTAAGCAAGACTCCGGCGGCCACGCCGCCGGCCGGCTACAACAGCAACCTCGTCGACCCTCCTTCCAAGGCCTATCAGATGACAATATGCAACATCGTCTGTGCTTGCATCGTCCTCTTCTTCGTCTCGCTGCGCCTGTACACCAGAACCCGCATTGTCAACTACATGGGCCCGGATGACTGTGCGTCCTCGACTCCCCCGCACACCTTGTTGGCTGGACTTTCACTGACGGCTCTGCTACTAGACATCCTCCTGTTCGCCTTGGCGATATGGTTCACTGATATGTCGCTGTTCCAGGTAATTCCTCACCGCGAAGACTCTTTCGTTTGCAAGCCCTCTCTAACCCTGCGCAGGTGCTGACGCAATGGGGTATGGGAAAACATCTGTGGGACGTCAGCCAGGCCATATTGTCCCCTGGCTTCCTCAGGCTTTGGGTCATTGCCGCCATCGTGTATAGCGGTGCCATCCTCTTCATCAAACTGTCCATCCTTTTCTTCTACCGCCACCTTTTCCCCGTCGATCAATTCAGCTTGAAATGGTGGCTGGTTACGATTTTCACCGTCGGTTACTCCGTCGGTGGCATTTGTGCGTCACTGTTTGCGTGCACGCCCATGAGGGCAAGCTGGTAGGCTCGCATATCCCTGCGTCCCCGGTGAATAAAACGCTAAACTGCTACACAGGGATATGAATATTAAAGAGTACCACTGCATCGACAAGTCCGCCTTCTACATCGTCAATGCAGTCCTCAACAGCTTCAGTAAGTTTGTGGTGATTTCAAAGTCCGATAGCATGTCTCCTAACGCCAGCAGGTGATCTACTCATTCTCGCCCTGCCACTTCCCGTCGTCTGGAAATTGGGCCTCGACACAAGGCAGAAGATCACTCTGTCCATCGTGTTCACTTTGGGATCGCTCTCATGCATCATCAGTATTGTCCGTCTAAAGGCCATCATTCTGTACATGAGACACGCCGACCGTGACATCACGTACGATCTCCAGGAGATTTGCCTGTGGTCGTAAGTTAACCTCAACCGCAATACACCAATGCCCAAATTTGCTAAATGATGGTTTTTAGGGAGATCGAAACGACTGTATGCATGGTCTGCGCCTGCGTGCCGACCCTCCGCCCCTTCATGCGCCGCCACTTCGGTTTCTTCGCCTCCATGGACAGCGGTCCGTCAAGCACGCCTAATAAGCGTGACCCGCTGGACAAAACCGTCGGAAGAGACAACCACAATAGGAAGTTCTTCAGCGCCAACATGTACGCAAAGTCCCGCGCCAGAGGAGAGGACCTCGAGCTCAGATTCCAGAAGAATGCCGGAGAAGCTATCGTGACTGTCTCGGATTCAAGGGACTACGACGCCGAGAGTACCGACCGGATCATCGACGTCGAAAGGGGCAGTTCAGAGTGCGAGGACGAGCGAGAGTGCCGAGAGAATCCCTTTGGCATCAAGGTACAACAATCGTACCAAGTCTCGAGCAGTCTAGCACGATGATACCCCTTTGTTTTCTTTCATTTTCTTTTGTTCATATTCACTCTTAATTACCCAAAAAGCGGGCGTTTCATGTGAGTTATAGCTACGATGTAGATGTCTTATTATACCAAGATAGCCACGGCTGCACCATTGTTTGATTCATTAAGAATCTAAACGCATCAAACAAAAATAAATACAAATTGAAAGATATAATCAAGCTCGTTCATGGGAGGGGAAAGGGTCGTGAGGAGACAATTGACTTTGCATTTAGCTCAGAACAAGCTTTCTGGCAGAAGCGGGCGGGACCAAACAGGGGTTAAATCCACAAAAATTGCTTCTTACCATGGTCATGGGTGGCAGCAGGCCCACATGATACACGGGGATTGAAAAAGCAAAGGCAGGTCAGGCGAAGAACACGACAAGCACATGACCGTAAAATGCAGAACGAGCGAGCCAAGCCTCGCCAAACATGCTAACAACCGCAAGTGGTGAATGAAATGAACTGAATTCAATGGATATCTTTTGCAACATCTACAAACACGCCCGCATTTTCTGGACGCCCAAGCTTCAGTGCTGTGCTGGCCAAAAAAGAAGACGTGCGCACTCAAGCCACGACCGTCTTCAGGTACGACTGCCTATACTCGTTCTGGTCGGTCTCCTCGCCGCGGTTCAGCGGCGTCCACTTGGGCTCGTCCTGGAACAGGCGCATCGCCTTGGTATACTGCAGCACGGGGGACGAATTAGCCTAAAAAGCACACCCCACCAGCACGACCATGAGCACGACCGCGCCCAACCAACAACCACTCACATTGCTCTCATCGGTGGTAAAGCGATGATAGATGCCCGCAGGCATAATCATCAAGTCGAACTTGTCGAGCTTGATGCGCACCCACGCGTCGTCCTTGCTGCGGACGTCAAAATACCCCGCCCCGTCGAGGATGTAGCGGATTTCCTCGTCCTCGTGCAGGTGCTCGGCGAAGAACGTCTTCACCTTGTCCTCGTAGTTGGGCAGCGTCGTCGGGCTGATCGTCACCTCGTCGCGGTTCTTGTAGTTGCGCTCGGCTGCCAGCTTGTCCACGTCGCTGACCGACGGGTAGTTGAAGTGCCGGATCCCGAGCGCGGACAGGTATGCTGGGTCGACGTCGCGGCCGGAGTCGTGCGGCGCGCGTTGGTCGCCCTGGTGACGTGCGTGTTAGTTGGTCGCTTGTGCGAGGTGCTTGGGGGATGGCTTTTTGCGCTGCTGGGCGCGGGAGCCTTGGACGTGCTGCTGGGGTTGGTGTCGTGGTGGGGGATTGCCATTGATGCTTACCGGCAGGTTGTCGTACCAGTAGGCTCTCATGATGTCTGAGTCGTCGGTGGCGGGCGTCTCGGTGTGTGGTGGTGAGAGGAAAGTTTGAGGGCGGGGTTGCGGTGGTGATTGTTTCGCCCGATGACGCCTTTTCTCATGTGCGTCAGCGGCCGCAACCTGTCTGGACGTGCACTGCCCTGGGTTTCTAACCACGACTTCTGATTGGAGCGCATTCAACCCAGCCCTGCCAAACATCATACGAGTGTTTACATATGACGCGACAGGGTCTCTGTTCTCCGTGTTGCTTTGTATACTAGTTTTGGGTAGTAGAATTGCATACCCAGATCACAGCATAGTTCCACACGCATTGCACCTTAATCTTCAGAGCTGTGAATGTTGATACAATGGCGCTCATCAAAACCGCCTCTATGTAGCTTAACTATACAGACATTTTCCCCAGCTAGACTTATACAATTCAAGTCCTGCGCTCGTACTTTGCCACGGCATCCTGGAACAGCTTCTTGCATGCAATCCTACTCTCCAACCTTGCACACAACAGGAACGCTCCACTCAGTTTCCTATGCAAACTGTACGTCTCCTCCGGTGGCGGCGAGAGGCGTTCGCGCACCATCACCGGGATGAAGCTGCGCACGCGATCCGTGATGGTCTGGTCGCTGAAATCGTACACCTCAGGCCCGTTCTCCTTGAACGGCTCGGCGAGTGTCAGGACGCTGTCGACGTGCGCGTCGAGCATAGTCTTGCCCTCGTCACCGGTGAGGTAGCCAAGCTCGAGCGATAGGTCGCGGATGGTGTCGCGGTCGTTACGCGATGCCGCAATCAAAATCCGGATGTACGGGTCCGTGAACCTCGTCGGGTACTCGCGGCTGGCGCCAAAATCGAGGAGCTCGAGCTTCTTGTCTTTGGCGTTGTACAGGAAGTTTGTCCAGTTGGGATCCGTCTGCATGAAGTGGAACTCGACGAGCTCGCGGAAGCATAGACGCAAAATCTGCGTACCGATCCAGTCACGCTCCTCTTGGCTGAGGCTGGGAAGTTTGGTAATGGCTTTGCCGGTCATCAGTTCTGCAGTCAAGACCTCCTTGCCGCAGGCTTCAGGGACGATTGTGGGAACCGTGAAAGTTTCGGTATCATCGGCGAGCAATTCGCTGAAGCGCTTCTGGCACTCAGCTTCCCGAATGTAGTCGCATTCCCAACCAAGCTCGGTGCGTGCGTTGGCAATCGTCTTGTCGAGGAAGAGCCCCCTAGGCAAAACTCTTGAAGCTGTCAAAAGCAAGGACAAGTTACTGAGGTCCGAGTCGATGGAGTTAGCTACGCCTGGATACTGCACTTTGACAGCAACCGGCATCCCCGTCGATTTAAGCACTGCTTTGTGAACCTGGCCAATCGATGCTGCTGCTATAGGAACTTCCTCAAAAGAGGTAAAGAGATCTCTCCAGTCAGGGCCGAGGTTTGCCACCAAAACCTTGTCGCGTTGGGACGCCGGCATATAGTCCGCGCTGTCCTGAACTCGTTGAAGTACTTCATGGATGGGTGGAGGCAGCATCTTGATGTCTGAATGAAGTTAGCGCAGCGACAAACTGCTCGTCCGAGATATATCTTACCCTGAAAACTGATAATTTGTCCCAGTTTGAGAGCTGCGCCTCTCATTCGGGACAACTTAGCAACAAGCCTTTCCATGTTGCCTGCACTTAGCATCAATGATCCCCCAGCAGAAGCTGCACCGGTGACACGCTTGAGGCTCTCGCCTACTGCACCGAATGCCATACTTGCCCCCAGCGTGCCATAGTTCCAGATACGACCAAGGCGGGAGGAAGGTACACGGGATTCACGCAATTGGTAGACAACAACCTCATTATCAGGTCCCACGAGAATCTACCAGAAAGCAGTTAGCAAGCCAGTGTTGAAGGTATGCGTCGACATTAAAAGCTTTAGTACCTCAGATTCAGAAGAGGGCGCATTCGCCTCCTTTGCAATGTCAGAAGCAAGTGACCGGAGATCTTGGTCTGCATTTTGGAATGATTTTCCCGCTTCTGTCTGAGCGGCCGGCGATGGCGCCGCAGGAGCATTCGCCTCAGAGGTCCGCACGTTGAAGGTGTCCTGGTCATGACCTTGCGCCAATTTAGTATGTTCAACAGGCGTTCTAGCGGCCCCTTTAAGCTCCAAACCACTCGGCCGCCTGTCTCCCGGTTTCGGAACACCCAGCATTCTCGATACTCTGGAAGTGCGGAAAACATCAGTGTTGACACCCTCGGGGATTTCGTCCTGTTCGGGAACGGCCTGTTGGGTCGGTACAGTCTCTTGGCTCTCCTGTCCCTTCGATGTGTAAAACACCTCCGCGTTGATGCCGCCGTCATCGACCTCGTCTTTGCTGCCTTGTGTGTCTGCAGATATCTTGGGAAGCTTAGTCCGGGGTAGGTTCGAGAACTCATAGCTGGTATGACCTTCCCGCTTGTGGAAGACATCGTTGTCGAGATCTATAGTGAGATTTCCTTCCAGATCAGCTGCTTTAGACGGTATCTGCGATTCTGCTTCACGCTGTATCTCCCTAGCATGGTCCGCTGTCATGGACGCCTTCCCTGGGGTAGGTATCGTGGAAGCTGAAGAGGCGGCAGGCCGAAGGCTCTCTGAACGAGCAAACTGGTCTTCGTTGGCAAGAGGTCCTTTTGTCGGTTCGGGAACGGGACGCTGGGAGAAGGTGTCTTGTCTCTCCGATCCTGAGCGTAGATCCACATCTGCAGGCGGTATGGTTCCATCCGGAAGTGGCCGCCTTTCGGCTTGTTTCTGAGTGATGTCCAGCTCCTCCCGGGCAAACTGATCCTGCACGGAAAGAGGACGCTTTGCGGGTTCAGCAATTGGACGCTGAGAGAAGAAATCATGCTTTTCGGTTCCCCACCGCAATTTTGAATTTGCAGGCGGTATAGATCCATCCGGTAAAGGCTCTCTGTCCGCCTGCCTCTGATTTACACCCAACTCGTCCTTCGGCGGCGGTTGCCGCGCAGCATTGTGTTCGGAGGTATCATAGTGATGATCTTGCTCCAGCCCTGACCCCGCACTTCGTGTACCTGCATTATCGTTTACCGTGCTCTTCCTAGGTATCGTTTCATCCTGGGGCTTCGGCTGCTCAGCCGATGCTTCCTTGGTATACGGCGGCGGGGGCTCGTTGAAGCGTTGAGCAAGGGCGATGGCAGCGCGAGCTGTAACGGTAACGCGGTCCGTCTGGTTCTTTACTGCTTTCGCGACGGTCGAGGTACGAGTGAATACATCGAGCTGGTGCGAGCGGAGAGCTACGTGCTGCTTGGCGATGGAGCGCGTCGCATTGAACAGTTTTGCGGCATCGAGAAGCCGCCTGCCTGCCATTGGTGTGTAGGTTGACGCTATGAAATCGCCGGCTACCGGTCTGCCATGCTGTGAGAGGAAAGTTGCTCGGAGTGCGGCCAGATGGAGTGGGTGCTGTGCAGCTTCTAGCCGCTTGGGATCTGCAGCTCGTGCGACTCGCCGCCCATCACCTTCGTCATTGTTTTCTGAGTGCAGCCTACACGTGACGACCAATCCACAGAACAGCCTGCTGCACGGCTGGGTCTCTATCTTCTCACCTGTAAGTAGCCTTTTTTTTCATATGGTATGCTTTGCTATTACACGTTTGCTGCTTCCCTGGCCATGCTCGTCCGGATACAGCCCTATCCCATTTCTCTTCCTGTTTCTGGCTTTCCTGTGATTCAAATGTTTGATAGCACTACATACCCATTAGATAGCTGTTGATGTACAGCCGTGCCTTACGGTAGCTGTGGCAAAGCAATGGTTTTTATGCTACATTTCCTTGTATCACGGTCACATTCTCAGTGCATTACCCTAACTTTCTGATTACGATAGTCAGCGTTTGATATACTCTCACACCTGCATCTTCGTTTGCCTTGAGTCTCCACGCTTTCTCCCAGCATGAAAATCGCATGTCTCCAATACGCGCCAGAAGTTGGCAACCTCAGTGGCAACATTGCAAAGGCGAACGCCATCCTTGAGGAAGCTGTTGCGACCGGCAGTACCGAAGGTCTCGAGTGGCTTCATTTGCCCGAGCTCGCGCTTACTGGTATGTACAAAAGCTGTTCCCTAAGTATCCTCCAGCGCTGAGATACCTTTAAGGTTACAACTTTCACTCGTTGGCTCAGATCTCTCCGTTCCTGGAGCCTACCGCCTCCGGAACATCGACCAAATGGGCTGTGGAGTGGGCAAAGCACTTGCGCTGCCATGTAACCATCGGGTACCCAGAGAAGGCCTCCGATGATGGCACCAGAAACTACAACAGCACTGTGACAGTGTCACCAGCTGGTGAGGTCCTGTTGAACTACCGAAAAACATTCCTCTACTACACGGACGAGACCTGGGCGCAAGAGGGCGACAACCGCTTCTTTGCCGGACCGCTTGGTACCCTTGGCCCCGTATCAATGGTATTCCCACCTGTCTTTTCTTCCAGCACCCCTATGTCTTACATTTGTTATTATCATACGACGGACGTCCTACTGACCGCGCTTTCACATAGGGCATTTGCATGGACATCAACCCGCACAAGTTTCTTGCGCCATGGAACCACTACGAGTTTGCTAATCATGCACTGCAACATTCAAGTCCACTCATTGCGCTCAACATGGCCTGGTTGACGCGCCTCACGCCCGATGAGCTACTAACTCAACCTCCCGGTCCGGATCAGGAGACGCTGGCTTACTGGCTCGAGCGCTTCTACCCACTGATTGGTGCTTCCAAGGACGATGCTGTGTGCCTGATCATGGCGAACCGGAGCGGCATCGAGGGCGGTGTAGCGTATGCGGGAACGAGCACGGTTATCAGGATTGAGAGGGGCAGGACTCAAATTTATGACATCCTGGGGAAGACAGACCAAAGGTTGTTGGTTGTAGATACGGCTGAAGTAAGTCTACCTTTGGGTCTGCTGACTTACCGTTTCCCTTGCTAACCTGAGCGGTAGGCACCTAAGTACGCAGTGACGACTGGAACGGCGGCGGGTTAAGGTGCTTAGACATGAGCATGCATGGTGTTTGAGGCGCTTTGCTGATAGAATGGTGGGCCTTCGCATTAGAGCTGTCCAAGAGATCGGAGTTGCGAGGCTGGTTGCCGCAGGACTAGTCATTCCAATATGCATCGCGTGATCCGGATGTTCCTTCCAAGAGCTTCGTATTCCTTTCTCGGCTTGCTGTGAGCTGCACGCGATGTTCGTTGAATCTCTCCCAGTAATGGCAGCATGATTTGGCGGGACGGCAAGGTATTTTCATTTAACCTGCGTACATTCCCATATCCCACTCAAAGCGCCCAAATCGAAAAGCAGCATCCCATCGACGTCTGTAGAAGCCACCCTGACGACGACGAATAAAGGAACCCATCCACAACTTCATCACCCATCATTTTTGCAATTGTCCCGGCCGACGAAGAACAGCGCAACCATGGCGCGGTTGTTGTCGCTGCTTCTATTGATCCGTTTCGCACGTAGACATCGTGAGGCTCCGAGTTCGATTTGAGTGATGAGGAGGCGGTTGCTTGCACCAGCTTAGATGCCGATGCGGGTCTTGCGCCAGTGCCTCCTCTTGGCGTTGTAGCTGTGCGGTATGTTAGTCGCGCTCTTGCAGCATTTCCTCTGCGCGGGTCTCCCCCGAGCCCGCTAGTTCAGAGTGAGAGGTAGACGCACCGGATGGTGTTGCCGGTCCTCAGGCGGATCCACTGAGGGATAGGGCGGTTCTGCTTCTGCGCCTTCGCGAGCTTCTGCTTGGTGCGGAAAGACTTGTGGCTCTGTGACAATATCCGGTCAGCGCTCTGGTGCTACGCGGCCCGGCAGAGCCTCCAGCGGAAGCTTCATGCCACTTTCCGGGCGAGGGAGTCGTAGCGTACCGGCATCTTGACTGATCGTGCGGCGTCCGAGATGTCGATGTGGATGTTCGTGGTTGTCGTCGCTGTCGAAGCGGATGGCGCCAGAGGGATTGAATTTCGCTGTGTGGGCCGAGCTGGGTGCGACTAGTCTACTTTGAGACAAGCGCCAAGAACTTCCTTCCTTATCGACAAGGCATCACCTCTTTCATTTCCTCTCGCTTCCGCTGTCACTCTTTGCATTTCACGCCAAAAAATTGCACTCGTTGTGGAACCTCTCACAGTTTTAATTCTGCATGACGGTGAAGAGAAGGATCCAAATCCAAACTCGCACTTTTCTGCAAAGGGGTATCTACGCGCAGACCATAACTTCCGTTCGTGAAGTTATCATGCTATCATGATGCAGGGTTAGCCTACGCCCAAGCAATGCATTCAAAACTCTAGCTCTCCTATCCATTTAGGTACTCTTTCTTGGGTTCTTAAGGCTCGTGTAAGCATTACTAGCGGACCGACGTGCGGCACTTGGCCCAGAAGTCCGTCACAATACTCTTGGTGGATGTACCGCCGCGAGCCCTATGAAAGACCATTAGTTTTTTGTACGGTTCAATAACAAAACAAACAAGGTACTTACGCTACAAGCATCTTCTGGAACCAACGCCTGTCCTTTTCCTCAACCTTTGGCGCAGGGAATTCAGGACTGAGGAGTGCTGCTTCCATCCACATCTTAGAGCGGGGTTGCTTGGTAATGAGAAGCTTAAGAGGCTCGATGAGGTGTTCGAAGTCACTTCGTGCGGCTTCGCCGGAGACCTGATATATCAGGGCTGTCATGAGATGAGGGCCAAGGACTTGTATGACGGTATCCGATGCTTGTTTGGCAAGAGAAGTCGGGTCATTGGCAGTGGAGAGGAACGTCGACCAGAAAGCAGCGCCAGCACGCTTTGGAAGGACGTCTGCACCCTGGATGCAACGGATGGTGAAAACAAGGGTGAACTCAACAGCTTCTTGCGGTTGTTCTAATAACAGCAGTGCGTTGTGACGAACGATTTGTGTGAGAGACTCAACGCAGCTGTGGGAAACTTCAGGATCCGTGTTTGGCTGTTCCAACTTTGCAAGTAAGAACACAACATGCTCCAGGATCCGTTTTGTCTGAGAAACAATGTCACCCTGTTCCCTGAGGACGTCTGAGTAGGCGTTCAGGAACGAACAAATTGTAGAGAGAACCAGCGGAAGACGAGGTGTGTCAATCGTGGTACAGAGAACAAAGTTTGCGAAGGCAATTGGTGGAAAGAGAAAAGGGCCTGGCGCACGCTCGGCGAAGCCACTCTTGTATATATCGCAGACCGCTTCGATGATGTCGCCATAGTTACCAAGAATCCTATGTACTTGTCAGTAATCAGTAGACCTGAGGGATTGTGGAAGCACATACTCAATCATCATATTCATGCACTTGACGATGCGCGTCTGCAGATCCACCCCGGCTTCGTTTGCGTTCCAAAAGCTGGCTTCTGTAATGTCTGCCTCAAGATTGATGATATGTATCGGAGTTGCGGCGCTTCCACCGATTCTGTCTTCATCAGGAGACTGTAGAGCTTTGCCCATTTGTGCTAGACAAGCAAGCGCAGATGAGCCTGCAACTTGTGCCTCTTCAACCCTGTTCTGGCTCATGTGTTCGAGCGATGCTCGAATGTCTGACTCGATGTAACCAACGAGGATCCCTAGATAATGGCACTTCTCTTCATCAGACGGCAAGGCCTGGAAGATTGCGGTGATGGCGCCAACCACTTTCTCTTTGGTGTAAGGATCAGCTGTTGGAGAATCCAAAAAGCTTTGATATGCTTGAAGGAAATTGTTCAGCTCTGGCACAAGCGACTTCCTGCACGCTGAACAGAGCGAAGCAATTGACTTGGCTGCAGAGTTTGCGGTTTGGGGCGCAGAGAGTGCTGTGAATAAGAAGTTGAGAGGAGCAACGAGGAATTCCGTATGCTTGATGAAGAAAACTGAATAGCGGCCTAGAAGGTCTACTGCAGTACGGCGCGTCCTAGATGGGACTTCGGCGCTAAACACGTTGGCAAACAGTGGAGATCCCAGAAAGTCAGCCAGCGTGCTGTCCCAGGTATCATCTTCTGCGATCGAGTCGGCCAATGCAATGATGCAAAACAAGGACGCCTCGACCTTGACCCAGTCTCTCTCTTGCAGAGAGCTGAGGGCGAGATGTACCAATCCCTTTAGCAACCTCTCGCCACATGCAGCAAATGCAGTTTCGAGAAAGTCGGCAACATCCAACCGGAAAGATTGGAAGCCCTTCATAGTATCTCTATCGAACTGCTGGGACGGTAGACAAACTTTTGAGCAGTATTCCTCTGCCGCTTGAAGGACATGGTCGGCAGATATGGGCGATGAACAGAGGCTGGGGTACTCGTCCTCGATTAAGGGATCGCTCAGAAGATCGGCGTAGGAGCTCCAGAATTCAAGTGCTTGGACACAAACGTCATCGTCTTCTACAGCATACCCGGGGCATCTGAGGACCTGATGCATGATGACTATCCACCTGTTAGCATTCTGTTGCCATAAGTTGCAATTTCTGCAATCCCTTCCCCTGCCTTTCGTGCAATTCGATGATCAAGAAACACGAAAGAAGGACATGCATGAAACCAGACAAGTGAAATGCCTTGGAGAAAAGCTTTGAGATCTTCTGCACCCAGCCACATCAACTGCCGCACCTCTCGCAAGTACTCACCCATAATATGCTGCCAGGAATCAGAATCTCCCACGAGCTGGACTCTGATGGCAGCAGCAAAAGCGAGCAACAAGCTCGTGAAAGTTTGGGACTCCCCTTCCCCAGCCAACAACTCATTGAGTTGCTCTTGTCCCCACGGGCTCATGATCAGCTCGGAGACGAGATTCAGATGTTCCGCGCCAAACAATTCATAGCGCTTGCGAAGCATTTCTGACAAGCCCTCCACTGAATGGTCGGGGTCAGCGTGCACACATTGCAGTGCCGGAAGTATCAGCGTTTGCAATAGCTTCTTCTGCCGAAGACTCTCCTCCGAAGCCTTGTTTCGAGTGACAAAGAAAGCCCAGGCAGCCATACAGTTGAAGCTGTCCTCGTGTAGCTTGCCTGAATCGTCGCCATTGTAAGCCAGGCCATAGTGAATCACCGGTACAATGTCGTCGCAATTCTGGTCGATACGCGTCTCATATTTGGCCTGCTCTTCGCGAGTATAGGTGCTTTTCTTGATTTCTTGGATCAGTGTCTCACCAATCCACAGCACTGGAAGAATGTGTGTCGCGTTCAGAGAGCTGATAACCTGCGGTGTGTCTGGGTATTGACCAAGGTCTGCGACGGAGACCGCTTCCCCATTGGCAAAGGAACAGAGTAGATGGCGGATGCAGTTTGTCCAGGTCGATTTGCCACACAGAAAGTACTGTACAAGAGTAGCGGACAGCTTTCTGGTAACAAGATCCTTCTCGCCCTGGTTGACTAGTCTCACCAGCCAGTTGATGAGGCGCAGCAGAAGCTCACCCGCGGCATCCTCGTCAAGCGATTGCCAGTCCGACGTCAGCTTCACAGTGAACGTGAGAGCGCCGAAGAAGCGCACGTTCAGATCGTCGCTAGAAAGAAGGGCGTCTGCGAGGATCCATCCTTGTTCGGATTTCTGCAACTTCTGAAGCTCTTTTTCAATCTGCCCGATAGTCCTCGGATCGGGATGCAGATATAGGCGCTTCACGAGATCTTCAACCTCGGCAATGGAGGTTGGCGTCGCAACGGGCGCCTCCGACATGGTGTCGGATGGTGCGCGGGCAGATCGGAGCCTGTGGATCGTATTCAGTTCCTCTGTCATGTCCTCAAGCGAGTCGCCCCGGCGTATCATAGCTTCGCATATGAATCCGTAATAGTATCCCGGGCGCGCATGAAGGGCGCGGACGAGCGACGGAGCGAGCGGACTTACGGGAAGGAAAAGGTGGAAGAGGAAAAGAGAGGGTCGGTTTCAGGCAACTTTTATGAAGAGGCGCAATATGGGTTGTAGGGCGTCGGGGGCAGTGAGGCTGTAGGTGGCAGGTAGGTTACGGGTGGGTCGTCGGCGCCCGGCAGAGACGTGATGCGTTGGGCTTTCCCTCAGGCAGGCAAATCTTCCGCTTCGCCCTATCATTCAGTAGTCACCAGCCGTGGAAGCCCTTTATAGCACTCTGCGCGGCTCGTTGCGGAAAGTGATGGCCGGTCTTAAGGGCAACGTTTGTGCCCCGCCGTCCGCCGCGGTTCTGCCGGCGCACCTGAGCTCCCGCTCCCGCGTCACTCACCGAACCCCTCCACACGCCATCTCATCCCACCGCTACATGCTGTTTGTGCGCTGCTTTGCGCGCAACTCGCCTTCTTCTTTGATAGGATCCTTTGTAGGCGCGCGTACCGTCTTCTTCCGCCACGCATTCCATTCCTCATCCATCAGGCGCTCCGCCGTTGCCGACATGGTCACTGTGAACACTACCGAGAGGCTGGCGCATCTGCGCCAATTGATGCGCGACCGCAAGATTGATGTGTACAGTAAGGTAGCCAGCACCTTCGTCTCGCAGAGACTGCTAACCACCTAGCATTATAGTTGTGCCCTCCGAAGATAGCCATCAGTCTGAGTATATTGCGCCTTGCGATGCCCGTCGAGGTTCGACGCCAGATACCCTACACTAGCTATGCCGCGGAAGCTCATGCCCGATAGAATTCATCTCCGGTTTCTCTGGATCCGCCGGGACAGCCGTCATCACCCTGGACAAGGCCGCTCTCGCCACTGATGGTCGCTACTTCAACCAAGCCGAAAAGCAGCTCGACAGCAATTGGGAACTTCTGAAGCAGGGACTGCAGGATGTCCCTACATGGCAAGAATGGACTGCCGAACAGTCGGAAGGAGGAAAAACTGCCGGTGTAGACCCGAGCGTTGTCACAGCTTCTGACGCCCGCAAGCTCAAGGACAAGATCAAGAAGAAGGGTGGTGAAGGCTTGACTGCCGTGAAAGAGAACCTCATCGACATCGTGTGGGGCAATGCTAAGCCACCTCGGCCGAATGAAAAGGTCCAGGTCCAGCCGTACGAATATGCTGGCAAGGAAGTCTCTGAGAAGATCAAGGAACTTCGTGAAGAACTTTCAAAACGCAAGAGCGCTGGCTTCGTAGTTTCAATGCTGGACGAAGTTGCTTGGTTCTTCAACCTTCGAGGAAACGATATTCCTTACAACCCCGTCTTCTTTTCCTACGCCGTTGTTACTCCTACTGCGGCTACGCTCTACGTAAACGACAGCAAGCTGCCACAAGAAGTCAAGAAGCACTTGGGCGACAGCATTACAATCAGGCCTTACGACACGATCTTCACGGATGTGGAGGCTCTGAGTAAAGAGACTGCGTCGACCAACCCTCAAGAGGAGGCAAATGCTGCTCCTCAGAAATACCTTGTCTCAAACAAAGCATCATGGGCACTTGTTGAGGCTTTGGGAGGGGAGAAGAAGGTAGATGAGGTCAGGAGCCCAATCGGAGATGCCAAAGCCATCAAGAATGCTATCGAGATGGAAGGCATGAGAGCATGCCACATCAGAGACGGAGCGGCGCTCATCGAGTATTTCGCTTGGCTCGAGGATCAACTTATTAACAAGGGTGAGAAGCTTGATGAGGTCCAGGCAGCTGACAAGCTTGAGGCGGTTCGCTCGTAAGTCATTCATTTGCAGTTTTAGACGTTTTAAAAACTGACGATGAGACAGCAAACATGATCGTTTCGTGGGTCTATCGTTTGACACAATCTCTTCTACTGGTGCCAACGCCGCCGTCATTCATTACAAGCCCGAGCCCGGCAATTGCTCAGTCATCGATCCCAAGGCAGTCTACCTGTGCGACTCGGGTGCACAATATCTTGATGGAACTACCGATACCACAAGGACACTGCACTTTGGCGAGCCTACGGAGATGGAGAAGAAGGCTTATACTCTTGTACTCAAGGGCAACATCGCACTTGAGCGTGCAAAATTCCCGAAGGGAACCAGCGGGTTTGCCTTGGATTCCCTTGCGCGCCAGTTCTTGTGGGCTGAAGGCCTTGATTACCGCCACGGTACAGGCCATGGTGTCGGCTCATTCTTGAACGTCCACGAAGGGCCTATCGGTATCGGTACGCGTGTGCAGTACTCGGAGATTGCCCTCGCAGTCGGCAATGTCATCTCTGATGGTAAGCGCTCGTGGTTATAGTACACAACTTTTCAATATCGGCTAACGCATTTCGTAGAGCCTGGCTATTATGAGGATGGCAACTTTGGCATCCGTATTGAGAGTAAGTTTCTCCATAGATGATGTTCCGACTTATACTGACACTGCCACAGACATCATCATGGTCCGCGAAGCAGAAACGACGCACAAATTCGGCGATAAGCCGTACCTGGGCTTCGAGCACGTGACAATGGTGCCCATGTGCCGCAAGCTGATTGATGAGACGCTCCTGACACCGGATGAAAAGAAGTGGCTCAACAGTTATCACGCCGAGGTGAAGGAGAAGACCAAGCATTTCTTCGAAAGCTCGGGTGATGCCACCACTCTGAAGTGGCTGGAGAGAGAGACGCAGCCTTACTAGAGGTCGCCATTCAAGAGAAGCACTTTTCAGCAGTATATCACTAGATAGCATTGTGTAATTCTGGGGACGTTGAGCAGGAGCATAGCAAACAAACCGCTTATCATGATGTAGAGGAGGCCTTTAAGGATCAAGGTGATGTCGCTATTAGGCTCTGACAATGAATACAAGATCAGAACATTGTTGCGCGCTCAGCTGACAAGTCACTTAGCGCTTCAAGTGGTAGTCGTAGGCAACTTACGGAACACCAGCGAAGTCATACTCGCTGGGCAAAGCCTCAAGCCAATCACCCAATCACAAAGCAAGTCGATGCATACAATTCTATTAACAACTCCATAACTCCCATGCCAAGCAAGAAAACACCCAAAACAGCTCAAAACAATCACTTCCGCCCACTTAGGACTTGTTGAAACCGACTCTAGTCATGAGTCTTTCAGTCCTGCTCTTCTCCTGCACGACACCCGCGCCCTGGTTGACCTTCTCAAGCAAAATCGCGCCATGCTCCCGGTTGACGCGACCGTACTTCTTGTTGCGCTGGCTGACGTCGAAGAACTCGAGCGGGTCGTCGGCCTGCATGAGCGCGATCGTCTGCACCAGCTCGTCCAAGTTTTCGCGCAGGATGGGGTTCTTCAGGCTGTCGACGAAGGAGGACAGGAACGAGGTGTCCTGCGCGAGCGTCTTGATGGACGCGGGAGAGATGCGGCGGACCGAGTCTTCGAGCGGGAGAGCCTGTGGTGTGGTGAGGTTAGTGGGGTTGCGCGAGTGGGGCCCGGAGTAAGGCGAAGAGGTACGTACCAAGATCGAGGTTGCGGCGTGGCTGAGGGCGTCGAAGTAGATGAGCTCCTTGATCTCGGTGGGCAAGCCTAAGAGAACAGAGTTCATGATGTTCGATAGGTACCGCGTCAGCTCTTGCATGTAGTTGCTGACTTCCGGTGCCGGCTTCGTCGATTCCCTATGACATGCATTAGTCGTGCTTGTTCGCATATTCCCGGCTGAGAGTGTAGCATACCAGTCATACTCGGCCGTTTCGATCAAGTCATCAATCTTGCTGTTGACCAATTCGAAGATTCTCTTCTCGGCAGTCTTCTTGCCTGCTCTGAACTGTTCGGTCGCTTTGAGAACGATCGGTCCCGCCGCCGAGCTCGAGCTACGTGCTTCGAATAGGAGGACTTGCAGCTCCTGGCACGCAATCTCAAAATGCTCAAGGTTGGTGAGGATCTGGACAATTTGGCCAGGATACTGAGAGCTGAGGCGCTCCACCAGCATCTGGCAAACTTTCTCGCAGAGAAGTTCATCGAGTGACTACGCAGTCAGTTTCAAGATTGGATTATAGAGGACTCGGAATGCTTTGCATACTTCTCTGAGTGTGTCGTCGATGACTGTCGACCGCTGGAAGTTGTCGTCTGAGAAAAGGTACATTTGATTAAGGAAGTTGCGAATGTCAATGCAGCAAAGAGGATACATCTGGGAGAATGGAAGAACACAAGGGCATCTAGCAGAACGTCAATAGATCTTCGCGGACATTCAAGTAATATAACATACTCAATCTCCTCGCGCGGCGTTTCTGAGTTGTACCAACTAACGTTGACGACTTTGTCATACTCGTCTTGTGTCTTGATCGGCATTGGCATGTAATCATCTGTAGAAACAATTTCTTGGAAGTCTTCGCTGAACCTTCTCTTCAGCAGTTGAGAGTATTTGTCAAACAAGGTTAGCAACAACGCGTTGAGACTCGTGACCGAGTACTCCCAGCTCTCCATCGCTTGGAGGAAAAGCGCAATCCTTCCCTTGATTCTCAGCAACTTTTCGTCATTGTCGACAGTGTGCAGAGCTTTAGTAATTAGAGCTATGGAACTTTGACACATAGAGTCCCAGAGCTCATCGACGTCGGCAGTCGTGCGCAGGTTTTCTGTTTTCCGCATCGTGGCTCTCTCAACAATAGCGAACCCCGCAATGCTTTCAAGCAAGCTACTCAGATCGCCATCTTCCTCGTCCAGTAGATTAATAGAACTTGGAATTAACAGCTCCTTTTGTCTTCGCCTGGTAGCTGCGTATTCTGCCCGAAACTCGTCGCTACGTCCGAGGGTGTCGTAGATATGGATGGCTTCGAAGAGCGGGGCGAAGTCAACCTTGATTTCTGTTTCATCATCGTTCAGAATATCAAATTCGTCGCTCTCATCTGCCACTAACTCAATAGCAGAGTTGAGTCTGAACTTGCTGAGGTACTCGTCTTGTTTTAACCGTTCCTCGTGGCGCGTGCGCCGCAGGTCTGTATGATAGAAGGCAACCTCGCCCACATACTGCGAAGCCTCTCGAATCCGATACAACCATGTGTTGAGGTCGTTCATGACGGCTTCTGCAATGAGCCTTTGGGTTGCCGGGACGGATTTCTCGATCATCTCAGCAATCTTGTAGCGAGAAACCTCGCGCAGATGTACATTTTGGAGCTCATCGAGAGCACGCAACGCAGCGTAATGGCTCTTTTTGGCGAGAAGATCATGGACTTGATTAGCGAGCCGAAGCACTTCGAGGCAAGCTTCCAAAGCTTTCCTTGCTTCTTCGACATTCTGGCGTACGGCTCTGGCATCGACAAGGGCCTTTTTTTGCTCAGCTAGCTTCTCCGTGCTACCTTGAATGGACTGACTAAGATTCAAAATTTCGGCAGTCAGGTTGACCGTACCCTCGCGTACGCGCAGAAGTTGGTTGACTGAATTCACGAATTCCTGGTGGTTCGTGTTGCACATGCGTTCAATGTCGGACTCCCGCTCGGCGGAAATATGATTCAGGGCCTGAACGATATGGCTTGCACGGTTGTCATTTTGACGTGCATCCTTTAGAAGAGGCGCTAGCTGATCGATGTAATCCGCGTCGGTGTTGGACAGCGTGATCTGAGAGGGTCAACACGTGCCGCTGACGGGAATACGGGGCTGGGCTTCACCTGCTGGATGGCGGCAGCCAAATCATCTGCTGAATCGATGGCAGAAGGCATCGTTGGATGAATACTGCCTCTCAATAGCGGCCGTGACAGGTCCTGGTTCGGGGAGAGGCGTCTCTCCGTGGTATCACCGGGGTGTCAGAATGGGGATCTAGACGTTAGCGCTCCAGCCACGTGTTTCGCGGCCTTTTCCGAAGCGCACAAGTCGTTGGCTATATATGCCTGGGACGTAGGTGCCCCTGAGCGGTAAACCACGAGTATGTATGAAGGGACCCTTTGATGTCTGGCGAAGATGTGTTGTTACGGAGGCTACCTGGAGTGTGGCTTTGATGCGGATGAGGCCTAACGCCGACGCCCATGCACGAGCCCGATTTCAGCCCTATGGCACTAAAACGGATCCCCGCCGCCAATCACCATATTGGGAAACTTTCAACTGCATCTCATCGTGACAAGTGCCAAAGCATCCTTTTCCACGGCAGACTCACGCATAAAGCATTAGATCCAGGCAGTCAGAACATGCTGCAGGTACATCTTCAACAACATCGACCAACAACGGTATAAAGTAATCACGCGGATTAACAGAATTCCATATCTAATGACCAAGCGCCAAACCCAATGGTTGTAGGCCACAAGGCCAACGAGTCACCGCATGCTTTGAGCTGTTGCGCGACTTAAAGATCCAAGACAGTTTGGTGATGAAATCCGGTCCCCTATCCCTCAACACGGTTCAAAGGCATAGATTAGGTATCAGAACTGACACTGAGTGCTTCTTAGTGATACTAAGTGGTGTAATAATGATCAAGTGCCACTCCGACCTATTTAGTGCTTGAGTATGGCAGACAAGGGACTCGTTTCTGTTTTCATGACTAGACTCATCACAACCCGCTTTACAGCTTGATCGGCCCTGTCACCACTACTCGCGTCTGTCAGTGTGGGTCTGAGTGCTGTTGGGTCGCTCAACTCCACTCAGTGGCCTGTGTGAGGGAGGATTTCTGGACAAGACAGTCGTTGGTGGTTGGAGGCTTGGAATTCTGTCCTTCTTAGGGTGTTATGCACTTGCCTCCCCCCTACAAAATACATACTTGCATGTATGTAGATGTTCACGAAGTTTTGCCTAGCAATTTGCGCTTGAGCACACCGTAGTAGCTGCTCTATGTGCGGAGTTGCACTCTTTCTAGTCCTCCGGTCTGATCAGCTCCGCGGCCGAGTTGCGTCTGTGCCTGCCACTGTCGCGCCTTCCCCGCTCGGCCTCTGCCAGTTTAGTTGCAAGAAAGAGCGCTTGAAGGCCAACCCCGCCCCCTCTTTTGGGTTAGCGCCACTGCTCGTTGGAGGTGGCAGCTGCCCTCCTCGGCAAGCGTTGGAGGTGACTGCCTTCCTGCTGCGTCGTCGCCGGTCGCCGCCCTTTAAAAACCTCCCCTCCCCCAACTTTCTTCCTCTCCTTCTTCTCCTCCTTGCCGAACAACAACAAGTCGTACCTTGAGCGAGTCTTGCTTCAAGCCTTACTCTTTCGAGACGTGCTGTTCAACCTCATTTTCTCTTCCTTCCCGTCAACCAAACTTCTCTTCACTCAACTTCACTTGACGATCAACAATGGCGCACATCAGAATGACTGCCGATGGCCAGTTCGAGCTGTCGTCCTCTCCGCTCTCTTCCATCGAGACTACGGGGATGGCTAGTGCTACCTCTCGTTCGTCCATTGAAACCCTGAACTCCTTCTACGAGTCTTCTGTTGGCACCAGCAGCAACGGAGTCGGTAGCAGCAACGGAGTCGGCAACGGAATCAGTAGCGTCAACGTCAACGAAGATGCCTTCAGCAACCAGTTCATTCCCCAGCATGGTCATCCCACCCTCTCGGCTGCCGCTGAGGCCTTCAAGCCTGCCGCCGAGGCCTTCAAGCCTACCAACCGTCCCATGTATGGCAGCAATGGCAACCCGATTCTTGTGCCTCCCACACGCCCCTTCGGACCGGCTGAATCGGCGTTCACCACTGAGTTCTTCGGTCTCTGCACTCGCTACGTGGTCATTCACGGTTGCAACACCAATACTTTGACCGTTGGACAGATCAAGACCAAGGTTGCTGTAAGTGTTCCATTTCATGGGTTCGTGAGGACAGTGGCTAATGATTCTTTAGAGCCTCACTGGTGGCAACGGCTACACTATCACCTTCTCCCATCCTCACAGTGGTGCGTTCAAGCAGGGCAACCATGCCTACATCGGCTTCGACAGACTCACTCGCGCCATGGACTTCATCATGAACAATTCCCTGAACCCACTTGGTACCCGCGAGTACATGGCTCTGAAGGGATACCTTGATGCTGTTGGCATGCGTGACACTCGCACTCATGCGAACAACTTCGAGGGCCAGCTCGTCCTTCAGATCATGCTCGTCAACACCCCGGGCTTCGAGCTCGTCCCTAGCGCTGAGGAATGCTACTCTGTTGCACTGGCCTGGCTTGACGCTGCCATGGGTGGCAAAGAACTTCGTGCCATGGGCCCTCTTGGTCCAGTCCACAACGCCAGAGGTCCCGGCTATGCCTACCGCATCGAACTCGACTCGCTCACCATGGCGAGCTTCTTGCTTCATGCCAAGAACGGCGACGGGGTTTTTGTAAGTTCACTGAATCCCTCAAACAGGTGCCGACTAACAGCTATTTTAGGGAACCAACTACATAGGCACTGTTGAAGCCTACTACCCTACCGGATACCTTCCGCTTGAGCTCCGTAGATTCGACCATCCTCGCCGCGATCATCGCCACCACGAGTTCCGTGCAACCATCAACCGCGAGAACCCCTCCATTAATGCTGCCAACGCCATTGATATGAACCGTATCTTGGCGGGCCTTGATGTTCGCACAACCGTCATGTTGCGAAACATCCCAAACCAGATGACCACGTATGATGTTGAATCGGTCCTGCGCCTGTACGTCCCTGGTGCCTACGACTTCCTCTACTTGCGCATCGATTTCCGCAACATGTCCAACGTTGGCTATGCCTTCGTCAATTTTGCTTCTCCCTTGGACATTGTTGTCTTCTACCAGCACCTGCGTACCAACGGTTGGCCTGAGACTCGTTCTCGCAAGATCGGGGCTGTCTCCTATGCCACCATTCAAGGCACTGAAGCCCTCGTCGAGAAGTTCAGAAACTCCTCTGTCATGTTCGAGACCCCCATGTGCCGTCCTCGTTTGTTCATCTCTCAGGCGGATGCTCATGCTGTGGCTGAGGATCACGGTGATGACAGCTACCTTGGCCTAGTTGGCGCCGAAGTCCCCTTCCCGCCGCCCAACAATGAGGCGAAGCTCCAGCGCTCCCGTCAGAACGCTGAAACGCAAGGTCTTTGGCCTGCTCACTCCAGGGATGAACACCGCCGCCACCACAGTGGCCACTTCGATCGCGGCAACCCTCATGCTACTGGGCCTGTCAGCTACCAGAGTGCCATATATCCTGGCCAGCCGTCCCACCACTATGTTCCTCGCGGCAATGCCATGTCCACCATCTTGACTCGCAACCGTAACCACGGTGGATACGCTCGCCGCACTCATGTGCAGCACAGAGGCCCCTTCTACAAGTAGGGAGCATTATGCTCTACGCCCGAAGTTGTCAACTCATCGAACTGTATCCTGGAAGGACTTTTGGTCAAACCAGCTCGATGGCTACTTCTTCCTGCTTGAATCAAGCCTTTTCGAAGATTTTCTTCGCACGATGCTTCAAAACTTGATCTGTGTTCATTGGGCTGGTCTTGGGGTGTGCGACCACGCCTGTAGGATACGCCACTTGTCACTGAAGTTTGTCCCTCCTCTCTTAATCGAGATTGTCTCACTTCCCTCACTTGTGGAGGACGTTATCTTCGGCGGTTGTTTTCGTTTCAGAGACTGGATGATTTGCTGCTTTTGCTCTCTAAAATGGGTTTTCTTTTACGTTTACATTTCCCTTCCCCACCCCTTTAACTTTTACACTTCCCCAATGCCCCCATTTCCCCTTTACAGTTGACACTTTTTAAGACTTGGCACTTTACACTTTTTTTTTTTTCAACACTTTCGCTTTTTCCAACTTACAGATCACATCAGCACACGGACTTCTTCATGATATTGCAAGTTTTGGGAGTCTGGGAAACGGCGCGGTCGAAAACATGATTTCAACGACAGATGCAGAGTTCTTTTGCACTTTTTTTGCAGCTTTTTTCACTTAGCTAGCGCACATGCTCATTGCAAGTAGGATTAGCAGGTCATGAATCAACGGCTCATATTTAATTTACTGGTGCAACTACCTATGTGATGCGACATGTGACTTCTTGAGCTATGCACGATGAATCAAGTGGAACTTTGTAATTTTTTTTATCTACTACTTTGATTTATGTTTTATTTATTTATTTGCTACATACATGTGATACTCAAAACAATGCAATTTGAAGCTGACAAGCATGCGTACGATTTTGAACCCCAGCAGATATCTCTGCCACGGCCGGGAATCGAACTCACGCCTCCTAATCGCGACATAGCCCAAGTGCCCAGTTGGGTGAATGCATAATGCAAACACCTTCCTGACCACATAGCCCACGAAGCTCTCAAGGATTGATTATGAGATTGAGGCCTGCCAGATAGCATTATAACCATCACCCATGGTGGTCCTGCCTTTCGGAGCTACCGCAGCCGGCGAGCTAGGCTGCAGGGGGGGCAACAGCAACAGCAGGTGCCCCGGTGCATACAGGAAGGGGGCAGCCCCTCCCTGAGCCATGACGGCTTCCACGACGGGCTCGAGCAGCCTGCAGCCAACTAGACGGACGGATGTGGGTTGCTAGCATGTGCACATGGTGTAGAGGTGTCCTTGATGCGGCGGCTACCAGGCCAAGCTGTCCCACATGAATGCATGAGATGCCATGATCCTTGATGATACTGCAGCTTTGTGAAGTGTAGACGGTGAACAGCATAGGCTTGCGGCGCCGGCAAGGCTGTGCGGGCGGGCATGTCGCTATCGCCAGGGAGCTCATGGTGTTGCAGACCATCCACGAAGCCGCCCGACTCTTCGACCACGACACTTCCGCAATATTCTATGATCGACAGCCCGAGAAGCAGCAGCACAGGCAGCGGAGTTGCCAACTTGTCTGGGTACACCGGTTCCGGGACCGGAGGGCTTGGTGTTGGCACACCGGGGCGGCGTTACGGAGACGGTCGCAAGGAGACCCTCAACCCTCAGCACCACACCCTGTCCGACGGAGGTGAAGGCATGAGAGGTATGCTACCTCCATTGTGATGTACAAGATGCCAACATCTCTTTGTACTGACTCCGTAGTATGTAGTGCGACTGGACGAACGCTCGGAGTTGGCACCAACCAGCGCCATCGCAGGCAAACCACAACCACGGACAGAGACAGGAGGCAAACCGAGGATATCAAACAACGGCAGAGCTTGCGTACGGGTCTTACGATGGCGGAACGACATGAAATCGTCGCTAGGTGCCAACAGCAAGCCAAAGGGATCCAGAACGGCGAGCCAGCTCGACGGACACAGCGACAGCACCATCAGCTTGACTATGAGCCACCACGTGCATTCGGTATGCGGGCCAGGCGACACGATACGTACTCATGAGAGCATCCTGCTTGCTCTGGTCCTTTGAAGAGCCGCCGGACGATGTGCCCATCAAGGCCATCCCTCTTTCACACCAAGGCACCATCTGCAACAGAGCGCAAGGACAGGCAGATTTTGGCAGACTGCCTCCAGTATGACCCAGGATAAATGGCTTAGGGAGGAGGTGAAGACAAATCGGCAACCACTAGGGGTTACATGCTACTGGGTTGAAGCATCCGCGGGAGCTTAAACAAACAGTACGGCGTGTGCTGGCAAGAAGGATAGCCCATGTCTCAAAAGCGCGAGAGCCTTTCACGGCTGGAATCGATTGCCTGGACTGATACGGCGCCAGTGTCCATAGAGGAGATGACGACTCTTGGCCAGGAACGCAATGATGACCGGCGCCCGCCGGTATGCACATCCCAATGGAACAAGGGCCATACAAGCTATGTGAGCTGGCTGCGTCATGAAATCCAACAAGGAGGTCTTTAACGCAACGGATACAGAGGACGGTCACAGACAGAGGGCGAATGCTGCCTTGGGTTGTGCCGCTCGTTGCCATGCTCCAGGCTGATGTGGCAAAAAGCAGCAGGACCAGCTTTGGTAGTGGAAAGGGAACATGGAAGCCAGGTAACCATGATGCCATGGAAAAAAGCTTTCGGTAAGTCAGAGGCTTGGTAATGCCCCAGAGCCTCCAGATGGCAACAGGAAGCATCGGCTAGAACATCCTCTGCCCATTGGACAAAGGCAACAGAGATTGCTAAAGAAGGATACTCAGCTTCTTGGTTTGGCCTTCCACCACAAATCAGGATGTGTTTGTACAGGCGGCTATGTGCAGCCGGCTAGATGCAGCCGGCTAGATGCAGCAGCCATTGGCGGCCCCCCACAAAGAGTGGACTGGAGGAGACAAAAGCCTGAGGAAGGAAGGCATCAAAGGATACTTTCGCCTGAACAAAAATCAGAGGCAATAGATTGGTCTTTTCAAGGCGAAAGTAAGAGCATGGAAATGTTTAAACCAGGCATAGCCCGAAACCTGGTTGTATAATGCCAAATGAGCGACCGGAAAATTGATCAGTCAATCCTCCTGGCTAGGGAGTTGGAAGTAAGAGCTTCGGATTATTTGTTGAAATCCAGGGTGTCGTGTGATACCTCTGCGGCGTGGCCCCTAACGCAATTGAATTGGCTCTACTGAGCCATTGAGTTTGCTGAAGCACCAAGTCGCAAGCCAGTGGCACCTGCAGGCTATCCAGTGACGAGTCTGCTGTCATGGTCATTCTAGTTCCTGCCTGTCTTTTGACAGTTTATTAGAAGACGAGAATAAGTGCCGAGTGGTGGTCATGGGTATGCCAACGATCCAGTGTCTCCTACTCAAGACCCCGATTGCTCAATACAAATGTTGCAGCAAACTCGGTTTCAGATGATGTACCGGAGTCTAGGAGAGCGAATCTTACTCGACTCTGAATCCATACCCGCCGGCTCAACGCCATATGGATGCTCTTACTCATCGTTCCCTTCCTTCAAGAATAACTGGTACTGGTTTTCGTCAATGTTTTCCTAGCTCTTCAAATCATCGCACGTTTAGGACATGCCCCGCACATCAAGGTCTGGTGCTGTTTCGGTCTTGAAACGAAAATGTTGATGTAGTCAACATACGTCGACCCTTTTGACTTCGACCCTTTTGACTGAAGATATTTCGAGTCTAGCGGACATGCAACCCAGGAGTTAAGTCGTCTCCTTGGCTGACACCCCCCAACTGCAGTGTAGCGTAAGACCTTTAGGGGTTTAGCAATTGGATCTCTCCAAACACGTTGCCACGGTTGTCGGTCATCCATTGAGGTTCCTGTTTGCCGTCTGGCATTGAGGTGCCCAGAAGAGAGTGTGCTCTGGTGTGAGTGCCGCATGTATGGTTCGTCAGAGGATTATGTTCAGAGAGATGTCGCTACGAGTTGGATCGCTACGAGTTGGATCGCTACGAGTTGGATATGATCACGAGCAGAAGGTTCCTTTCCTGCCGTATCAACCTTTGCGGTTGCTCTTGGAAAGCCCAGAGAAGGTACCTATGTTTTTATTTTGGTGTAAGCTCACAGCTGCTCCTACACTCTACGGCAAGGGCAGTGTCCAGGAAAGATGCTTACCTCAAGGAAGCCGACCACAAAATAGTTTCCGAGCCATCAGTATGGTGGGAGCCAGCTCTCCTAGTCCGCAGGTCCATCGGTATGCCCGTACTCCAGCTGATGTAACCGCATCGTTTCCAGCAGCCATGAGAGGCAACCGAGAGTGTAGGCACGGCCTTTTATTCCATGGCTGATGCGGCAAAAAGGTCAAGGACGTGCGGCAAAAGGCGCTGGCGGAGAATGAGGTATAATGATATCGCCCCCTGCTTCTAGAGCGTAGTCCCAATGATGAAGCAGAGCCGAAATCTCCGGCGAAGGGGTTATTATACGGCCTGGCCTCCGCTGAACTCGACTTCGTTGTTGAAACCTGCAGCCATCAGCTGAAAAGCCCCTGCCAGGCACCGGGATGGTATCCAGCGCCCGCTGAAGCTTCTCAGAGAGGCCGTGAACTTGCACCAGGATGACGAACCTGGGCTTTGACCAAGCCGTTGTCGAAGAGAATAAAGGGCGTCTCATGCACCCGATCTGCGAGTTCGACAGGAAGGCCTTCGTTGGTGGTCGTCAAGGCGGAGGTGGGTTGTCGGGCTCTTGGTGCTCTCCAGGAGCGACATCGTGGGTGTGGTTGCCCAGGTTTGCTGCCCAGACACCCAGGCCAAAGGGGCGTTCGGGACCTGCGATGCGCCAAACACAGCAACACCAAGGCATCGTAGTCGCGCAGTACTCTGTACTGCCAGCATCAGTTGCCTAACAGGTAGAAAACATAGACAACGACGCTGGTGAAGGGGCAGTGGGGGTGCGGCTTGGGAATGCACGCCAATGTCTCATCTCTTGGGCACCATTACAGACTCAAGTAGACTGCGGCAACACACTTTCAGTTTGGAACCTTTCGGCCTTTCCCCAGAACAACGAAGCTTGAGCAGTAGAATCCAACATACGGACTTACAGCGTCCTTGAGAGACACGGCATCGACTCTCAGTATCTCCTCAACCTCGCAAACCAGGCTTCATACATCCACGTTCTACAAAATGATACTCCCGTCTACCGGTAGCTGGCATCATGATGCTTTGCACGCGACCCAGCCAGTGATACTCGAGACTCGATACGATAATAGGAGGAGGCTAGGACATCTATTTGATATCGGTATCATCTTCCATCGGAGCATCTGCAAGCTGAGGGGTGTCCAGTCGCAGCAATAGGTCGAACCTCTCGCGATATGATGCGATGACCTGTTACATGTGTGGTGTTCGTTCGAGGATGCTCCAGGGCCCCTGGTAGCCACAGGGAAGACCGTGCTCCGAAGATACCCCGCTGTGCAAAACAACGAACCTTTTCCTACAAAGAACATTTTTTTAGCGGCACACTCGTTTTCAAGCAGCAATCCAACACTGGGAGTCAGTGTACTGTGCGGATGAGCGTTGTGCTACTCACAACTGCAAAGAAGGGACATGCGTGGCTGAATCCAAGAAACAAGCTCTCCGCACGCTGCAGATACATTGTCACACCATTGCGAGAACTAACTCTCTCTGAGAAACAAGAAAATTTGAAAAGCTGAGGCTGCAGAGTCAACAATTAACGCTTTGGAAGTAGTCGTTGGCAGATACCTACAAATAGGACGACAACTCCTTGAAACAACAAAGGCTTAATGCCTATAGAGCCACAGCTAGCCTGTGTGTGATTTTGACAGGCGCATCCAAGGAGCAGGCCCTTTTTTAACTTTTTGGTAGGCTCTTTAGTTCCGTTATGTTCCTTCCATCACCTTCCCCGAGCTATTCAGACCACATCGTCTTCGACTCTCATGTCTGTATTGTACTCGTCATGACAATATCCTTCACACTGAGAACAATGCCCCTTGTCTTCTACTCCATACACGCACGCCGCTTCTCACCTAGGATGACGCCTATTGCGATGAGAAACCATAAGAAATCGTTTTACATGCTAGATTTCCTATATTTGGGTTAGCCAAGGCTACCATTACCTTTGTCGTCACCGATGACCCTTCGAATCAACTGTCTCCATACCCATGTGCCTGAAGATAGACTACAAAATGCCCTTTCACTAACGTTCGGCAGAAACATAAAGAAACAAACGCGTAATTGTCAAAGCAGCATGGCACCTAAAGATGACGCTGCCGGTGCAATCCCACACCTTAAGCCGAAAGACATCGACGAACTCAAGACCCTGAACGACCTCCTCCACCTGATCTTTCATCGCAACAAAAACCAGCACCACCTAAGCTTCTGGTGGCGTGGCTTTGCTACCTTCCGGCGGGAGTACCAACATCTACTCGCCGAATACGAAGCTTCCAAAACGAACAAGACATCCAAGAAGCGCGCAAAAGCTAGACTGGACACCTGGAAGCAAATTCGTGTACCCCAATGGTACCTGTAAGCAAACCTTCTTCCATGCCGTTACCCTTTCAGAACCCACTGACACATCACACAGGTCGTTCACGCACTTAATCAGCTCGAACCAATTCAGTGCCATCGGTCTTGCGCTGCTTACAATCCTAGCTACGGTATCCTCACTCTTCGGTATCACAGCGGCGCTCCAAGAAGAAGGCGAACAACACATCCAGGAGAGGCTACGTGAATTTGCGCAGAAAGATGCTAGAGAGCTGTTCGCAGCGACGGCGGACGGGAAGAAAGACGAGGATGTTGGTGAAGTCATCAAGAGACCTCGCGATCCGGAGCCGGAGCAGGAGCCTAAGCAACGTCCTGCTAAGAAGAAGGTCGTAGAGACGGCAAAGAAGAAGAAAAAGAAGGGCAAGAATGCTATTGATGATCTCTTTGCGGGGTTGTAGCAAGTAGACAATGGATGTTCTACTGAGCGACAAGAGAACATGTACTCTAGCACATCTTACTACGTGAATTTCTTGATTATTATCATTGCTGCATCCCATGGGGCATTAAAGGGTCTTTTTCGAGATTAATAACATATATCGCATCACTGTTTAAACTAATTTATGCCCACAACTATACATTTCATCAAATTATTACGATTAACAACATAAGCAGCTCTATATACCCTTACAACAGAGGGCATAGCGTGTTCCCGTAACACATTCCACACATATCTAAGTAAATCAATCATTGCCCGTCGAATACTCTCCCATCTCTTTGGATCTACTCCACACCCCAAACACCCAAGACGTCCTTCCTCCCCTCGACACCCTCGCTACCCCTCTTCTCCAGCTTCTTTACCCTCCTCACCAACATGCCGACGCCGAGTGGTCCAATAATCGTGCACAGCATGATGGCCCAAGTGACCACGAGGTAAATCTCCGAGTCACCAGATGACGATGAAGAAGAGGAGAAAATGCCTTTGCTCTCGGCGAGTGAGGAGATCAGGAAGCCGATTTCGCCACGGGCTACCATAGCGGAACCAAGGATGGAGGCGGGGTAAAGCGAGAGCGGCTTTTTGGGGCCAGCGGAAGTGTGAGACGGCGGTGATGCGGCAGATCTTTGAGCGTGAGACTCGCTAGCCGACGAGAGCTCATGGGTGGTTGAGGCAGTCTGGTTGTTAGACTGCGATGCCAATGCTTGCTGGCCCTTTTGCAGTGTAGCTTTTTTCTTGTTAATCGGCTCGGCATCGGTGGTCTTTTTATCCTTCTTGGATTCCGCATTTTTGGCCGACCCCCAAAGATGCGGGATCTGCGGAATGCGGCGACGGGACTTCAACTTTTCAGGGATATATGGCGAAATAGAGAAACGAATGAGCCAGATTCCACAGACGAGTTTTCCGAATAACATGGGGATTGTGTACACAATGCCGCGCCAGATGATCGACCCGGTAAACATATGCGATATGGGAATAGAAAATCCTATAGATGCCTGCGATCCGTGTCAGTTGCTCTATATATCTAATAACTTTTAGGGATTAAATTTACGAAGAAAAGAGGCTTGAGGATCCTTTCAACGGGCTGTTGGTAGTACTCCTCATAGATAACAAAGCCCGAAGTGTCGTTTGACACTGGCCTTTGGCTTCCCAGGCCGTTGTTATCAGTGGAGCCAGTATATTTCACAGACGGACGATTATGAGTGCCTTCAGGCTGTTGTCCTGATGCCTTGTGCTTTGATATCTGCGCATGGGGCAGCTCAGTATCCCACCAGCTTATGCATGCACCGGCAAGGTAGGCCGTAAATAGATTCGATGTTCCAGCATAAGAGCCTCCAGCGACCATGGCGACTAGGATCAGCGTGTGGATTAAGAAAACGACCCGCTCCAACGACACAAGCTTATTGAACGTGCTTGACGAGTTTGACTCGCGAAGTCGGTTCACGTAGAGCGTTCCAGGCCTTACGATTAGCCAGCACGCAAGGGGCACAAGTATGCCAAAGGCTATGGAGACAAAAACGGGTCTGATCACAGTGGTGGAGTTGAAGGACGAGGAAGATCCTCCGAGGTTTGAAATTACCTGTACCATGACAAGGCCGACGACGTCATCCATCATGGCTGCACTTGTCAAAACGACGCCAAGGCGGGACTTGGTCAGACCGCTGGTGGATAGAACGGTAAAGGTGGTTCCCAGGCTGGTGGAGCATAGGGCTGCACCTGCGGAGAAGGCCTGGAGAGGGGTTGCGCCAAGCAGTTGCTGGAGGACGAAGGAGAGGCCGATGGGGACACTAATACCGGTGATAGCAACGGCAATCGACAGCAGCAGATTAGCCTTCAAGGAGGAAAAGGAGGTTGAAAGGCCGCCTGGCAAACGAAATGATCAGCACGGGACTACTATTTATATAAATTATATCCGAGAGGACGCGCGCGCACCTTCGAACACCAAGAGGATCAAGCCTAGATAGCCTAGCTGGACAACGACGTGCTCGACGCTCTCGGCGAGCCATTTGGCGCCGGGAGTCCCCCATGCGACGCCGACGAAGATCTGGCCGAGCAGGCCGCAGTAGACGGAGTGGTCGAGGAGGAAATTGACGACATTGAGCAGCAGCAGAAATGAGGCATGGACGAGGATGGTGACAATGGTTGGCTCGTCGTAGGGCAGAGAGGCGGCCATGGCGGCAGAGAGGTTGTCAAGTCTGCACCTTGCGGTAGGGAGAGAATGATTAGCGGGCCTCTGGCAGCTTATTACGTCGTCGGTGAAGGGATGGGCGGCGGCGCTCGACCCGCGACTCGAGGCTTCCGTTCGGAAGCACGCGCCGGGGATCTCCCTTGCGCCTGCTCTGCCGGACAGGGTCTGTCGAGCCTCTATTGTTTGCACCACCGTCAACAACAACCCGCTCTCTCCCGCTCTCCCGCTCTCCCTCCCACCCGCTCCTCTCCAGTCGCCAATGCTGCGCCAACACCATGGCCCCGCTTGAGCAGCATTGGGTCATCGTCCAGCAAAAGACCTTCACCAAATGGTGAGTCGCCGCCCCCCCGCTCGCGCCGAGGCCGCCAGCACTGGCACTGACGCCCTCTGCAGGCTTAACAGCAAACTCTCCGTGCGGAACCTCGTCATAACCGACCTCTGTCCAGACCTCTCCGATGGCGTCCTCCTCATCCACCTCCTCGAGATCCTCAGCCAGGAATCCCTCGGCCGCTATGCCTCCAAGCCCAAGCTGCGCGTGCAGCGCTTCGAAAATGTCAACAAGGCGCTGGACTTCGTTAAGGGGCGTGGCATCCAGATGGTCAACATGGGCGCCGAGGATGTCGTCGACGGCAACAAGAAGATCATCCTCGGTCTGATCTGGACGCTGATTCTCCGCTTCACCATCAGCGACATCAACGCCGAAGGTTTGAGCGCCAAGGAGGGCTTGCTGCTGTGGTGTCAGAGGAAGACTGCTTGCTACGACGAGGTTGAAGTTCGCAACTTCTCGGACAGCTGGAATGACGGCCTGGCTTTGTACGGTCCCCGCCCCCACAAACTACCGCTAAACTGCTAATGACGCGTCGTAGTTGCGCTTTGCTTGATATCCACCGCCCCGACCTCATCGACTATGACGCCTTGGACAAAAACGACCACCATGGCAACATGAAGCTAGCTTTCGAAATTGCCTCCAAGGAGATCGGCATCCCAGACTTGCTTGATGTCGAGGACGTTTGCGACGTCGCCAAACCGGATGAGCGCTCTTTGATGACCTACATCGCCTACTGGTTCCACGCTTTCTCGCAGATGGAGCGCGTCGAAAACGCCGGTCGTCGTGTGGAGAAATTCGTGCAGAACATGCACGGCGCCTGGCAGATGCAAAACGACTTCGAACGCCGGATGAGGGAGCTTTTGCGTCAAATTGCCGAGCAGATCAAACGCTGGCAAGAAGCTACTTTTGAAGGCACATACACTGACGCCAAGCTCCAATCGAGCGAGTTCACGTCGTATAAGCGCAGCCAAAAGCGGAAGTGGGTAGCGGAGAAATCGGACTTGGTGGGCCTTTTGGGCAACATTAAAACGAAGCTCAGCACATACCGGCTGCGACCGTATACACCGCCGCCAGAGTTGAGCCCGGAAGCCCTCGACATGGCTTGGGGAGGACTGCTGAAAGCGGAGCGCGAGAGGAGCCAGATCATCAACGAGACCATTCGAGAGTAAGTCAAACCTTGCTGCACCATAATAACCTCTAACCGTGCGCGCAGCATCAAGAATGCTCTCCGTCGATCTTTCGCTGACAAGGCGAATGATCTGGCACTTGCGCTCAACACACTGTCCACCTCGCTTTCTGGCCTCGAGGGCGAGGTAGAAGACCAATTGCAGCATACCCAAAGACTCAGCGAGAACCTCCAACCGCTGGACGAATTCCTCGACATAATCTCAGATATCGACCAGCAGTGCCTAGAGGCAAACATTGAGGAGAATGACTTCACGACCTACACATACGATGAGCTCGATTATGAGCTTGGTTTGGTGAAGTCCAGCGTATCGAAGAAACTTGCTTTCTTGGAGAACCAGATGGTCGCGCGCAACATGACCAATCTCACGCCCATCCAACTCGAAGAATTCGAATCTGTGTTCCGACATTTCGACCGCGATGTCAGCAACTCGCTGACGGAGCTCGAGTTCTCGGCTGCACTTGCTAGTTTGGGTCTTGTGTACGACGAGGATGAAATGCACGAGAAGTTTCTCGAAACGAGCGATGGCAATCACTTTGTCACGTTCGAACAGTTCATTCGATTCATGGTCGACGAGACGGAGGATCAGAACACGGCAGAGCAGGTTTTCGACAGCTTCCGGGAGGTTGCAGACGGCAAGGTGAGTTTTGAGAATGCATTGTCCCGTGTCAAAGAGAGACATAATCTAACCAAGGCAGCCGTACGTTACCGAACTCGATCTGCGGCATTCGCTTGTGCCTGACGAGATCATCGAGGATTTGATTTCGACCATGCCGGAGCACAAGGGTCCCGACCTGCAGGAGGATCGCGAATTGGCCAAGTACGACTACGTGGAGTTCATGAACCGCTTCTTGTCGGGACAGTCGAGAGCAGAGCGTAATGGCGAAGACGTGGAGGAGGTGGGGGAGGTGTACGAGGAGGAGGAGTGATTGAGGGAGTGAGGGAGTAGAAGTGGTAGCAGTAGTAGTAATGATGGGCGCGTTGGGCGGGGGCGTTGGATTTGCGTAGGTATACCGAAGCGTAGCTGCGGCTGCGGTGGCGGCGGCATTGGAGCGGACGGCGTTTTGAATATACTACATAACACCTTTGGGTGTCACGGGTCTGTAATTAGAACAATGGAAGCGTGGTCGACCGCTGACGGGAGGAGGGCGTTGTGTGAAGCGGGGACGGCGGGCCTGAAACAAGAGGGTGTTGCGACGGGCGGCGAGAGCAGATCTCAATCCTTTGGTGCAGTCCACGCGGTCCCCTGGACTGGCTCGCTTGCAAGCAGAGTCCCTCCCGTGCACACCCCCCAAGTTTGTTGCCGCCCCCCCCTCGTGCCAAAACCCAGGGTGCCAGGGACCGTTGACGGGCAACCTTCTTTGAGCCAGCCATAGTTAATCCGCAGCGCCCAACACCTCGAGTCCTCTTCACTCTCCGACTCTCGCAACCTTAAAAAACGCACGCGCACAAAGAGCCAGCGCCACGCCCCCCTCCTCTCTCCCGCCGCCCAAGCATTCCTGCGTCGGCGCCAGCATTGACTCGGCCCAGCACCCGCCCGCCGCTCAGGTCGCGCGTTGAGCCTCACCTCAGTTGGACGCTCATAAACCCTCAAAGCACCCCCCGCCCCTAAACTTTCGCGATTGTCTTTCCGCCGCTGCTGAGGGCCAGTTCCGCGCTGCTGCTCAAACTCCCGCGGCACGCAGCTGCGCGCGGTTGTGTCCGTCGATAGTCCTCCGGCCTACCGCCTACCCCTCGACCCAGGCGCCGGCACCACCGCTCACAGCACTCTCCTGACAGCGGCCATTGCCACGTCGCTCCCCAGACCAATCGTCCAACGGGCAAGGCTCATCATCAGCCGTAAGTGCGCCCAATTCGCGCCTCTCTTCCTCCGCCTGGCGGCCCCGTCTCCGCAAAGGAGACCTCCGCACGCCAGCTTGACCTTCACTCCACAGCTCGGACCCTTGCGATCCGCGCTTGTCTTTTATAAATACGGCTGACCCGACTCCTCGCTCGCAGAATGTACAAACACGAACAGTTTATGAACCCTGGCCCTGCGCCCCGCCCCCCAACTGACCGCCCGCGCCTTGCGCTCACCCCCTCTACCCAGAACCTCCCAGGCAACATGTCGGCCATGAGCCTGAACTCACCCGGCGGCCTCAATGGTTCGCAGCCATCCCTCATCCGCACACAGACCAGCAGCCCCGGCGGCGTACACCAGGTTATCAAGGACGGCTGGGCCAAGGTCAAGGAAGAGGGCATTGTCAAGGGAATGTTCTGGTCGGAGAAGTTCCTGGTGCTTCGTGAATACCAGCTCGACTTTCTGAAGAGCAACAACTCGCCCAAGGTTTCTTTCTCCATCCAGCTTCGCGATGTTACAAACATTCAGCGGTCCGAGGACTATCCTTACTCGTTCGAGATTATTCGGACTGCCAACACCAACAACGGCGCATCGCCTCCTCGCGATGGCCCCACAAAGCAGCTCATCTGCAAGGTCGAAACTGACGACGAGGTCTACGCATGGATTGACTCCATCTACCAGCGCTGCCCCAGCATGGGCGGTGTGAGTAACCCCACCAACTTCACTCACCGCGTACACGTGGGCTTCGACCCCACCAGCGGCGCTTTCGTCGGCCTACCGGTTGAGTGGGAGAAGCTCCTCACGGCTTCCGCCATCACCAAGGATGATTACCAGAAGAACCCCAAGGCTGTCCTCGAGGTTCTTGAGTTCTACACTGAGAAGCTTGTCAAGCGCGCTGAAGACCCTGCGCAATTCTCCAGCCTCACCCCCACTCCCGGTCTGGATGCCCAGAACAAGCAGCTCGGCTACCCCTCCAGCGGTGCCTCGATTGCTCCGCCGCGTCCTGCTCCGCCCAACGGCTTCCAACGCCAGGACAGCTCTAACACCGTCCGTTCAAACGGCAGTGGCCAGGCGCAGGCCGATGCGCGCGCCGACGAAGAGCGGCGCCGCAGGCGTGAAGATGAAGCTCGGAAGCAGCGCGAGCGTGAGAGAGAGGAACAGCGCCGTGAGACAGAGCGTAGAGAGCGTGAGGAGCAGGCTGCCTACAACGCCTCTCTTCCTCAGAAATCTGTTCCCATGGCCAAGCAGGAGATTGGTGGCTACGGTGGTGATGACAGCAGGGATGCGAGCCCCGCTCGCTCGCAGGCAGACCGTTACAACCCGCAGCGCCCTGCTCCTCCTGCTCCTGGTCAATCCCGCCAGCAGCAGCCGCCCGGATCGCTTCGCCAGATGGCCGCCCAACGCCAGGCTCCGTCGGCACCCAACAAGGCTACTAACGGTACCTACCAGCCTTCTGGTCAAAAGCAGCCCGCCTCGAAGCCCCAGTACGCTCCGAGTCACGGTGCTGCTTCGAGCCAGACGCGCATCCCTGGCCCGGCCGCTCCCAAGCCCCTCAATGTTGCCAAGCCTGCTGCCTCGCAAAGCGATGCGGTCAAGAAGGCCGAGGCGGCTCTCACCAAGAAGGAGGAGCCCTCCTCCTCTTCGCGTAAGGAGGTCCGCATGTCTAGCATGTCCGAGAGTGAGGTCATGGCCAGGCTGCGCGAAGTTGTGTCCAAGGAGAAGCCTCTCGACTCTTACAACAAGCAGAAGAAGATTGGCCAGGGTGCGTCCGGTTCCGTCTACGTCGCGCGCATCCGCGAGAGCGCTCCGTCTCCGATGGCCCGTAGGCTCCTGGCGGAGCACGGCAACAAGGCCCAGGTTGCCATCAAGCAGATGGATCTGCGCAACCAGCCCCGCAAGGAACTGATCGTCAACGAAATCATTGTCATGAAGGACTCCAAGCACCCCAACATCGTCAACTTCCTCGACGCCTTCCTGCAGGAGGAGCAGTCAGAGCTGTGGGTCGTCATGGAGTTCATGGAGGGTGGTGCGTTGACCGACGTTATTGACAACAACTCGACCATTACCGAGGACCAGATTGCCACTATTTGCTTCGAGGTGAGTGCGCGTACATGCTTAAAGCAGAGGTATCCATGTTCCCAGTTTCAGGTCGCTAACATTCGCAAAACCAGACTTGCAAGGGTCTCGAGCACCTTCACAACCAAAACATTATCCACCGTGACATCAAGTCGGATAACGTTCTCCTTGACGCTCGTGGCAACGTCAAGATCACTGACTTCGGTTTCTGTGCCAAGCTCACCGAGCAACGCAGCAAGCGCGCCACCATGGTCGGTACGCCGTACTGGATGGCGCCGGAAGTCGTCAAGCAGAAGGAGTATGGCAGCAAGGTTGATATCTGGTCGTTGGGTATCATGGCCATTGAGATGATTGAATCCGAGCCGCCATACCTTAACGAGGAGCCCCTCAAGGCCCTCTACCTCATTGCCACCAACGGCACTCCCCGCCTCAAGAAGCCCGACAAGCTTTCCAAGGAGCTGAAGGCCTTCTTGAGTGTGTGCTTGTGCGTTGACGTGCGGTCGCGTGCAACCGCGGGCGAGCTCATCAGCCACGACTTCCTCAAGACGGGCTGTCCCCTTCCCAGCCTGTCGAGCCTGCTGGCGTTCCGCAGGAGCGGGTCGCACTAAGCAAAGGCAACTTTCCTCACGCCTTGCAATTGCAGAACGACGATGGTATCGACGAATCGTAACTTTCCGGACCGAATTCAATGGATGAATCAGGGCTCTCACAACTTCTTTACAACCACTCACAAAAGGATACCCAATTGCGACTTGCCCCAGTTTGTACACGGCCGAAAAACAGCGACACTTTTTCTTCCCCCTTCTGCACCCACTCTTCCCCGTCGAAGTTCTCCCATTGAGGATTGGTCCGTTGCAACCCCTCACTGCTGCGGCGTGGCCTGAGGAATGCCACGCATAGCGCAACGAGTGAAGTCGACAGTCTTTATTTCCCAAATGAGCGAAGCGTATTCAGGGCGATGGTGGTTTCTTGTTCTTTGGCTTTTTCTCTTGCGATTTTCTTCGAAACTGGTGCGCACGGACTTTGTGAGCCTCTTCATTGCGAGGCTACGGCACGGAATGCATGGATATGAGTAGAAAGAAGGCGAAAGGCTTTGACACACTGCATGCGAGATGGCGAGTTGTTTTTCCCCCGCTCCCTGGTTTTTGCACAGCGCGCATACACGCACGCTGGAGCAAACAGGAACGGCTCTTGGCTTTCACTTTTTCTTTCCGACTCTTGTTTAGTCGGTTCCTGCTGCCTTTACTCACGAAGTGCTGCTCACACCCAGTCCCCATATTTTGCTTTCTTGGTTGGATCCCCCCCCCCCTTTTTTTTTTTTAGTTTAACGAAACCCTTTTTTCCTCTCTTCTACCCACTATTGCTCTCTTCGGTCGTGCGGAGACTGACTTGTCTTTTGTCTCTTCTTTCTCTCTGTTGAAGGGAGGAGGGGCGGACATATATGCATGGACTTGGAGCGGAGGCGGTGGAAGAGGGGTGCCGCGGCTAGAGATTCGCGTGGGTTTAAGAGGTCATCGGTCGTAGGGCACGATAGATATGAATTCACGGTTCTTAGACCAAAGGGCTTCGCGCTTGTGGTGGTGATGATGCCACGAGTGCGTGCGTTCTACAATACACATTGGCGGCACGGTACGGTACGGTCCAGAGGACTCTACGTACGGCGCAGGCCCGCCCAGGCAGCACCCGTATCCTGCTGCCTGCCCATCCAGCCACGCAGCCAGTAGCCACCCTCCCTGCCTCGCCCCCATATATCCCCCCCTTCATATCTCCCTCCATCCACCTTCCCTCTCATTCCATCTTCTATCATCTCATCCTCGCGCCATCTCTCGCTGCTGCTGCTGACAAACGCCCTTCCTAGAC